CAGACTTGATTGCAAATATGCTTTGCCCGAAATCAACAATCAGGGTTCTTCTGGTGAAGTGTTCAAACCGCCCAACCGTACCAAGGCGATGCACCACTGTATACACCCAGAGCCTCTCTTGGTACCTCAAGATGTACTTGGGGGCACGGGAATCGAAGTACATCCTCACAAGGTATATGACCTGAAGTGGGGGTTGGATTCGTAATTTGCTCAGATAAAGGTCAACTCCAGATGTTTTGTTTGTAGGGGTGGGATCCGGGTCACGTTTGGAGGAAAGTCCCCCCCTTATTCATTTGCCTGGTTTATTTATCCGGGGTCAACGATCCAAAGCTGCTTGGGAGGGTTTTGGAAATCTTGTTCTGCGATTCCCCCCACTGAAGCACGGGACCCGAATTATATAGGGGGAGACACGGTTGAAATTTGCGTGCACGTGCATTGTCCCCTCTCCGATGAATGGTGATCCTAGCGCAAAACAATTGAACATGGGGCATCCTGCGTCAAGAAAATTGCCAGAAGGCACCACCATAGGATTTACGCTTGCCACTTTTTGCGACAACAAGAGAATCCCCTTTCAAGTAAGATTCAACAGTCATGATTGATGGTTGAAGGACAACTATTTTGGTAGCACAAGGGGATGTTGTACACCCATGAGCAGTGCAAGGTGCTGACCATGCAGCAACCACTGAGAGGAATCATGTTATCCGGTGGGGAAAGCCTCAAACCCGCTGACTTGGGGAACAGACTCTTGGATCCCACAACCTTGCCACAAATGTGAGTCATGTAAGCTCAAAGGTCCATGACATGCTCCTGCTTCTTTCTTTCTTTTTTTTAAATATCAACCTCCTTGTTTTCTGTTTTCGGCAACCCGCCCCACCGTGCGGTGCTGAATGACCCGAAGCCCATCAGCTGAGGTGGCGAAAGAGCTGGTGGATGCGCTGCTGCACTGCCGCGTCGCTTGGGCGAAAAGAACATTATGGGGAATCCCAAGGATTCCTTTTTGGGCATTCGCGGTATTTCCCACTTCCCGAGTTCCTGGACTTACGCTACTTTTTAAGTTTAGACCATTGTTGAACAAAAAGTCGGGACTTTTTCTGGCCAATCCCTCAGGAGGTGAGTATTTCCCGTAACATCACCTCAAAGGAAGCTCGCTTCGAGTTGGCGCACAAGCTGAGGTTGCAACCGCCAACAATGGCAAATATAGGGAACCGCGGTGTTAGGTTGGGTTAAAAGGCCAGCAAAGAAAACACCGAAGCCCACTTTTGGGGGTTGACACATACTACCTATCTGAGAAGTTGGTTCACTAGCTCACTGGGTAACACACACGCGAGATTTAAGCCAGGATGAAGGTCCTCTGCTAACAGGTTCCTGTTTCCAGTACAGGAATGGAGGTAACACATGTCCGTAGTTGGCCTTTTTACCTCAGTTGTGTCTAAATTAAATGGCACTGGTTGCAGGTTGGTTCTATTCATGTACGAGAGCCATCTCATTTACTCAAAAAGGACAGCTGCAAAAACTGGGTCCGGGCCATTGGAGAGCCACAGGGGACCTCAGTTTTTGTGTCCATGCTGGTATACTCGGATTCTGCCTCATGCTTGAAATCTGAAGATGCGCCTAGGTCCTGGGGTTTGTCAGGTGGCCCACGTCACCAGCTCAACTCAGTGCTGCCAGCCGCCGCCTTTTGTTTGGAAGTTGGGTGGTCGCAGAGAACCCCTCGGCCGGTGGGTTTTTCAGCTGCTCGCTGCGTGCAGATGAGAAACATCATGGAACGTTACGACTATGTCGAGCTGTGGGGTGTGTCGACAATTGGTGGACCTTCCCCCTTAGACCAAAACCTAACTCCAAAAAGACCCAACCGGAGCTCAGATTTTCTTAAGCTCGGAACCCTCCGCGACGGGATTTGCCCGTTGGGTCCAAAAGAGGTCAATATGTTGGGAGGTGAACTTGGCTTCCCCTTTCTGGCTGCCCAATCCTGGAGGCTTCGGCAGGACCCTGGTTGAGGTTTGGGATCACATGGCATTGAACATTCGGACCGGGACCCAAAGAAGAATCGCGTCTTTCCCCCGAGGTTTCCCTTGTATCAACCACAATTCTGTTCGTCGGCCACAGGGCAAATCAAACTGAGAGGTCTGGCTTTTCAATCCCCGAATCCCCCGCTGAACTTGATCAACCTTTCTAGCTGCTGGTTGTTGTCGTCGTTTGGCCTTGTTGACATGTATCCGGTTGCCGTTTGAGAGGTACATGCGTGCCTGTCGCACGTTTGCGGTTTCTCTTTTGGCCTATGGCTGGGTTGCGCGGTCTCCGCCTCTCACCTTGTGCGAGAAAGTTTGGAGTTGGATTCATGTTGGCAGTCGGCGTATTCGTGCTTCCTCTCCGTGGCTTCGCGCTGCGCTTTTTGGCGGTGGTATGTACTTGGACGCGTTGTTTGCTACGCAGTGCATTTTGTCTAAGGCTCAGAAGCGACGTGGCCTTGTTTGGGGTACGCAGGTTGGCACACCAGCCAAGGCCCTTGCTGCTTGGTTGGTTTGTCACGGCTGGCGTGCTGTTCGTGAGTGGGTTTGGTGTCACGACCTTACCGGGACACTCAATTTGACTGTTGACGATGAGGCTTCCTCTCGTCAGCACATCATCCGAGAGGCTTGGAGGGCGTGGTGCTTGGGGCAGCACATGGCGTCAGACAGTTGTGACGCAAATCTTGATTGTTTTGCTAATGGCTACTTTGGCAGCGTGGATTGGAAAGCCACTCGCAAGTTCGCTGCTTCTTGTGCTGAGGGCTGTACGATTTGCACGCGCGCGTCTTGCTCGCCTGCTGCCTCGGTCGGCCGAGCACATGTTTCGCGTGGTTGTTTTGGCCCGGTTGTCATGAGGAGCTGGGCACATGGGAGCATGTGGCTTGGGCTTGTCCTTACAGACCGGCTGATATCCTCATTCCTCCGCGTCCAGGTGAGTTCCTGGACAGGCAGTCGACATGAATGCCGTGCGTTCTTGGTTAGTTGGCGAGCCTGATTCGTGAGTAGCCTCCTGGCCTCGGTCACTTTGTTGCCCTTCTGGCTCCCGCGGGCTGCCTCTTTGGCTGCCGCTGCGGTTCGGCCGTTGGTTGGCTGGTTGGTGGTTCGGTTGGCTGGTTGGTGGTGGTTGCGGCCGGCTCCATGTTTCCATGGTTCTTCGGCCTTGAACGGGCGGCGGGGTCGGCTCGACCGGCCCCACATCCGTGTGCAGTTCGCTCGGGGGCTGCCACAACGTCTACACACAGCTGCTGGTTGTTGTTGTCGTTTTTGTGCAGAGCTGCCAAAGGACGCCGACGCCTTTTTTTTTCCAAGTCAGGGATGTAGGGTGGAATTGCCTGTCGTTTCCGCTTGAAACAACTTATGACATGATTTCCCAATTGAACAGCGGACACACCCCAAATGGAATGGGTCTCCCAAAAACGAAGCCCCGTTCTTTTGCGTCAAAACAAGGGGTTAAGGAGTCATCTGCCAGTTTCCTCCAAAAGGGCCGTTCAAGGTTGTTCCTTCATGATTTATTTTCCCTGCTGAGCCATTCTGGGACGCTGTTTTACCCAAGATTCTATCTGGGAAGGTGCCCCCCTCCCCCCACACCCCACCCATGAGCCTCGTGTCGGCTGTAGGCGCTGAGTTTGGACCTGGTGGAAGCCTTTGAGAAGTGGCGAATCGCCGGCAGCCGCGGGGGCCCGGAACTCAAGACCAGGAAAACGAACCGCAAAGCTTCCGGTTTGGAGTTCGCTTTGAGGGAAGGGCCCCCAGTTTTGGCCAAGGGTCTTGTTTTTCCATGTGGGAAAAGATCGAATCTTTTCAGTGGGTTTCCAACCAATGATCATCCCACATAACAGACCTTTTAATCAACCCCCACATTTGCCGCCAAAAGTGATTCACTACCAGTAGCACGATTTTTTTTTGGGCGGGAACGCCCAATCATGTTGAGGGTTCCCATTTTTTAGAGGACCAGAGTTTCAAGTCTCCAAACTCATTGAGGAGGAATCTGAAGGGATGGAGGGGCTGCCAAGCCGTAGCAGAGGTACATTTTTCAAGCCAAGCACTTTTTGAAGTTCCCCTAAAAGACACGGTGGCACCCTTCCGTGGCTGGATTCTTGCCAAACATCGAACCAAATCTGGTATAGACACCGCTGTTTTTCTCTAAAAGCTCGAACCAAGACTGGCATAGAAACACTCCCCACAAAGAAGTTGGCCATAAAACTGTCTCCTTGTATGAGTTTGCTCGTGACTGCGAGGGTTCTTATGCTGCGGATGTGGATGCGTTGCTCGAGACACGCGCCTTAAGCGCGGGAGCTCACTGTCTCTCACGTGCACAGCACTTGCAGAAACGGGTGTTTCTTTGTTTGAGACGAGCCTTGTTTGGACCTCCCTTGTGATATCATTTTACATTTCGAGGTTCACTATTTAGTTGTGGCTGCAACAATCCAAAGATGTATTTTTGATTGATCAATTCTTGCGGCTTTGCTTAAGCAGGAGCAATGATCTGCGAAGATCAACTGGTTGAGGCGGCATGCGGCATGGCGACGGAGGGTGGCTCAAATCCCATCGCAGCATGGCAAATTTGGCTCTGGTTTGGTGTTCATCTCAAGGTCAGGCGGTGGACAAGGGGTTGCATAAGGGCTGCTGAGGCAACAACCAGCGACAGCCAAAGACCAAACAGCAGAAACCGATTCACTTCTCAGAGGTTCACCCGACGAATAGGAGAAAGCTCCACCAGTAGAATCATCGGGAAATCTGAACCTCTGAAGGCTGGCATTTTCTCAACCACGCGCAGAACGTTGTTCAGCGGCTTCCATTTTCTCTTTCTGTTTGTGTTTGATGGGTTCCCCACTGAACTGCACCCCTCTCCCTCCCAAATGGTCACCCTTAAACTCCACGATCGCTGGTGGGTTCCCCACCAAAAATGGACTCAGACCCAAAGAACGGCCCCCCCTTCAAGCACATCGGGTCGCTCGCTTCTCCGATCGACCCAAGCGCAAGCGCGTGGTCATGACTGCGGGGCTGCCCTCGGGGGCTCTGAGACCGCCCGTGGCTGTCGGGCCCTTGCTGGATGATGGCCCGGAGGCGCGCATTTTTGATGCCAAATGGGATGCCCACCAGTCGCTCCCCTGGAAATTCACATGGAACCCCCCCAGAGAACGGTATCCTCCAAATAGAGATTCCTCTAGTTTTGCTGGTTCCATGTTTGATCTGGGGGCAAGCCTAAACGATGGGGTTCAACTGGAAAGATATCCCTTGAACTTAGTGGACATCGATCCTGGGGTTCCTGTCAGCCAGTATTTGGGACAACATTCAAGACTGATTCACTAACAGATGTGGCTTTCTGTCTTGATCCTTACAATGGGTTTTGGGTTCTTTACCAGGTGTAGAATATGACTCACATGAGTTTTGTGCAAAGCACACCCTCCACCAAGGTTTTGGCGATCAGATTATTTCGTTGGCCTGTGGTGAGTTTACTCCCGCATGATTCACTCAGCAGTGCGCATGAGGGCCGCAGGTGTCTTCGCTGTTTGCGAGGTGGTTCTCCGTGCACCACCTTGCTGGAAAAATGCACCTCCCACGTGCCAACGGTATGCCAAGCTGGTCCTATGTCCCTAAAAACAGGGGCGAAAGGACCACGCGGGCTACCTCTCCTGGTGGCCAGGAGACCACCTTTCAGGCCTCTCCCAACAAGAGCTTCCGCAGCGGAGACGTGGCGAAATGGGAGGTGGGTTTGCAACTCACGAAGGCTTTCTTCTACACCAAGGGCAAGCTCACCTGGGGTAAAGCCAGCTCACCCCATGATCCCCTTTGGTGTTGCTTCGTGGTTGGCAAATTAATAGGTGTGCAGATTTCGCGTTTGGATTGCTGATTTGATGTTGATTGCCTAGCCCTTTCAAGCTGGGGACACTCACCTCGGAAGCGTTGCACGTCGCTTTTCGATGGAAGCTCATGATGCAAGTCATCCTTTGTTTTGGGTAAAAGGTGGGGACAACGGTACCATGTTTGGGAGCGATTGAAGGGAAGCCAAAGGGAAATCGCCCAGTTTGCGGGTTCCCATATGAGACACCCCCACTCCCCCTTGACGCCTGGGTCCGCTTCTGAGCTTCGGCTGAAACAGGGCCCTATGAAACTTGTTCCCTTTTTCGGGGACAGCCCGTATCCTCCCGTGACATCATGTGCCACATGTTAAGGTTCTGGCTTGAAGATGTCAATTTTGAGGCGAACCATGGCAACTGGATTTTTTCCCGAATACAATAGTTATATCAGAAAATAGGGCAGAAACAAAAGGTTCAGGTTAAAAAAAGGTTCCAAGATGGACGAAAACCGGTTACCCTATGTATGTACAGTACATATCATCTTCTTTCTTTCTTTCTTTCTTTCTTTCTTTCTTTCTTTCTTTCTTTCTTTCTTTCTTTCTTTCTTTCTTTCTTTCTTTCTCTCTCTCTCTCTCGCTCTCTCTTTCTATTTCTCTCTCTACATCTGAAACTTTCAATATCAACAGGTCCATGACCAGACAGACATAGATGTAGACGTGTGGAGATCTTGATCCACTCCGGCGCCAAGGGGGCTGGAGCTTTCCGCCGGTGGGAGGCGACGATGTGCGCTGGGACCGCTGGGACCCGGAGCCGACGGGGCTGGTGCCGACGGGGCCGACGGGCGAGCGGGAGTCCTTCTCGCGGAGCTTCGCGGAGCGAGGCGGGAGGTTCGGTTTCAGAGGGGAAGCCTGGGAAACATGGAGGGTTCGGTTCGACAAAATGGCTCCAGGAACTGGGTTCCCACTGGGTTTCGGGAGAAAATGGAAGAGTTGGCAGGAACCAAGCAGTGTTTATTGCGTCTGGCGGGTGCTTAGCATGGGCTGGCATCAAACCTCCAGCCCTGCAGCTTGCAAGGTTGGAACTTGGGGCTCTTTGCTTTAACAGCTTAAGTGGGGTCCCAATTCATACCCCATTGGTTTCAGTTTGCTGTCGCTTTGACCATCCAACCCAATCCGGGAACCCGAGTTTAGGGTGCCGGTGAACTCCATGCCCTTCCGTTCCTGTTCAGGTTGTTGAAGCATCACCTTTGCTTGCACCCAACCATGCCCCCCCAGTGAAAATGCGTAGGGGGTTATATAAAGAGAAACGGCAGGTTTTGAGCAGAAAGGGGGCGGTGGTTTGGACAATTGGGGGTTGAGACAATTGGGGGTTGCATCATGGTGAAAGTAGATGGCACAATTTCCTTTGTGTGAGTGAGCAAAGGGCATGTTTGAATCAAAATGGGCGAATTGGTGCTGCCTCACTGTAAAGTTCCCCAAAGTTCATTTTCCTTTGAGGGTACCCTTTTGGGGCTGGCTTCTTTTAGGAGTTCAAAGGGACCCCGCGCATTGGCGCTGCCGCCCGCGCCAGACCTTGACACCCGCAGACCTTGGCGGGGCTGGGCGATCGACGAAGGAAGCCATGGGTGAGCGGTGAGGAAATCTGGTGCTATATGTTTTTGCAGGTCTTTGTACCAGTTGTTTTCTTAAAGTTATTTTTCTGCACAAGCCAACCTCTGATTTTGGACACTTGGGATTTTGGACATTGGACAAAGCAGTTGGGGGCTGCTGGTACGTTCTTTTGTTTACAAGCCAACAACGCAAGCAGCAAAGACGAGAACTTCGGGGAGACCAAAACCGAACCGCATTTTGAGGAGTTCTGTCCAGTATAAGGCACACCACCACTCGTTTCCCAGTGCTCTCAGTGCGCCCAATGGGTAGAATTTGCCCAAGAGTACCATAGACTGCATCAGGCCTCTTGGCACTTGGTGCTTCTATTCTGGGGGAGTCTTTGTTGGGGGCTTGACACAGGACAATTTGTGGTTTCCACGGGGTGTTGCCTTCTCGATTGCGTCAATCAAGCGCCAACCGGAGGCGACTTGACTCCAGGCGAGAAGATATCCCGAAACCAGAAACATGTCCCCCATATTCTGGGCAACCTGAGGAACACCACTCACTGGCCGGTGCTGTTTCCCGTATCCCGGGCGATTGCTGCGACGCTCCTAGTTTTCCGCACCACTGGCTTCAAGACTGGGCCATGGTGTCCAATGCTCCCCGAAGCATTGGCCAGCGACTTCGCAATGGAGATTTTCATTGCGACCAGTTTCCTTCATGAGTTTGCTTTACTGAGCGATTCCTTATTTCAGCCGTGTGACTCGTAGCATTTCCCATTTTTCTTTGAGAATATTGTTGCGGGCAAACATTCTAACGAGACGGGATTGGGACCCACCCATTGGGGTCTTTATGTGAAATATTGTACGGGTAGAGAAAAGGACACTCGGACATGACTATGGGACAAAGTTAAACCGCTAGAATAGAAGACCGCAGGTTCCTCAGGTATAGTCCTGATTTCCATTTACCAGGGTTCCATTTTGGGCGCACATTGACCCACAGCCACATGACCTGCGTGCGGGCCCTGGCCAGGAGACGAGGACTGGCGGGAGGCGCCGGCGGCCCGCGAGCCGCTGCCGGCAAGGGAGGCGCGACGGGCTGGCCAAGACGTGGATGGCTCGTCTTCTTCTTCTTGGTAGGTTTGAAAGGGAAACTAGAGGAAAACCCGCTTCTTGTAAAAAGGGTGACCCAGCTGGATGCGTTTATTTCTGAGGCTGCTTTTGTTTTGGGTGGTTTTAAAAGGAACCACAAGGACAATCCGCCGTGTTTTGGAACCCCCAACACATTTTTTGACATACACACGTACACAGAACACATTGATTTCAAGGCCTTTTTCGCTTCGGGTCGGTGGCTCTCACCAAGAGATGTGAGACAGCCATATGGTTTCCCACTTGCCCTCGACAATCAGAGATTCAAATCGCCAAACCGATCCAAACCACCAAGCAAGGTGATCGGGGAGGGATCCATGGCCAGAAGGAGTTCTGACCACACCTGATCCGTTTGGGGCCATGGGGGACGGCTCAATTTTCTACCCCATGGGTGTCCTTTTCAGGATTTGGCCGACCAAAATGAAGTTCGGGCTTCCTTTTGGTTTGCTTGCAACACCACCAACGAAGGGTACCGCAAAAAACACCAACCCGCCATAAAGCCACCCCCACATTGTGGTAGGTTTGTTGGGTTTCGGTTCCCACATTCTGGGATACCAACACGCGCTCTGCGGCGACTCGCTCCAGACCTTCCCGGCTGTGTCAGCGCTGGCGCCGCCCTCGCCCGCGAGGGCACAGGCGCGAGTTGACTCACTTCGAGTTTGGAAATTTGAGTTGTGGTAATGCGTGGAATTCACGTTGAAACTAGAGGTGTCCCTTCAGGTTGTAAGTCATAAAGTCATAACATTTCAAGCGGGATTTCTCTTGTCGGTTGACAAATCATTTTTCTCAAGGCTTATTATTGGAACTATAGGTACCCGTGTTGGTCAGTTTGTGTGAACATAGCTTGTTTCAGCGTGGTTCCCAACGTTTGCCAGTGCCGTGACTAACCAGCGGACGTCCAAGCGGAGGAACGGAGACGTTCCTCTCTTCTACGAGTTGAGGTTCACATGTGTGTGTGTGTGTGTGTGTTTTTGGAGGCTGCCGTGTTTGGATGCTTTCAAAGGGAAACCAACAGGACACCACCCATTGTGGGGGTTACCTGATTGTGACACTCGTCCAGAGGCGAGCCACAATCAAAGCGCGCGTAGGTGAGGGTAACGGACCAGTCTCAGCCATCAATAGCGGGGCAGGTTCAGGTTGGCACCATCTCACTTGATATCAAGGCAGGCCACGCCAGGCTTCAGGTTGGTGAAACAAGCTTGATTTACAAACAGATTTCACCTGACAAGTCGGGCCGTTTCCCCTCTTTTTAGGGACCCTCAAAATGAGAGGTTTGCTGTTGGCACCCCAAAAAACGGGCACGTGACCCTCGTGCGCCACAAATGCTTTTCCAGGGATCAGATTCAATTCCCAAAGGGCGCCCCAAACGCTTCCAAATGCCTCAGCTCCCCCAGGGCCAGACATGTCCATCACTATGTGGGTATTGTGCCTTTCGGTGGGTGCCGTGAGAAAAGCTTGGTTTAGAGGGGAGCGAGAAGGAACCACTAAAGGTTGGTTTTGGTGGGAGCCAGGAGACAATTTTGAGGGTTCCAACTCCTTTCAACACCCCATCTCATTCGCGTGAAGCACCTATGGATTGGCCAGGCCAGCTCCCCAGTGCCCGTGACCAGGCGTGAGAAGTAGAGCACATGAAGGGGCGCGGGTGTCGTTCCTTGGCGAGGGGTGATCCTTCCATCCCCCCAAAGGGGTGGGATTGAAGGGGAACCTGACGGGAAAGCAACATTTCGGGGTCCTCTGATGTTGGAAATCCCAACCCTCGTGAAGGTTCCTGTTGGAAATTCTTGCACTTGCTTCCGGAAGCATTTGACAGGATCTTTCTATGTGTGGAACAAGCTTGATCTCACCTCATTTAGCATTCGTGGGCATTGGAGAATGACCGATCTGATTCACAGATCAGCCATCGTGGAACCCTGTTGCTGTTTTGCAAGTTGAAAGGAACGGGGCGGCCGTGCAACTCTGCTTGATCAGCTGGATGCAGCACTGTCGAGCAACTGACAAGCAAACAAAGTTGCCCAAAATCAGTGGTGTGTGGTCTCAAGCTGCCATCGGGGCTTCTTTAATGAAACAGAATCACTCACCAGAACAATTGCCGTCTTCTTCGCGGCTGCAAAGGGTCCTTGCCCTGATCCCGGGAAACGGATGCACCGCGTCTACATCGCCTCAAGAAAGGCAAACAACAATTGCGTTTCTGCGATTGCAAAATCTCTACTCCGCGGCTTCCACTTCGCGCAGGGCACCGGAGCGCGAGATCCTGCGCCCTGCGAGATCTGTTGCCCCGGTGGTGCTGCCTGCGGCGGCGGTCCCGCGGCCGGTGCCGGTGCCTATGCCGCTGTCGGCGACGCCGCAGACGCCGCACGTGTTGCAGGCAGGCTGGTGTTTCAAGCTTTGGTTGAACATGAATGGAACCAAAAGCTGGTTTCAGTACCCCCTCCACCTATGTTGTGAGTTTGCGTGGGGGTGTCTGAAATTAGGGGTCCCAACTGATGAGATACTTGTGGCTTGAACATGGTTGGTGCTTGCGCAACCCTCCCCCAAAGGTTTGTTTTGATGTCCGCCCAAAGCGTTTTTTCAGTAGTAATTATACCTAGTTCAGGGTTGTTTGAAAGGGACTTGCCGCCTTCCAGTTTTGGGGATGCAACACTTGCTGCATATCCCACTTTTTCCCGGGTAACTTGTCCCCCTTCCTCCGATCCTGCTGTCCAGACCAGAGGCAACAGCTGGTTCTTGAGAAGAAGGACGGTTGCAAAGGTCGGAAAAGGAATCACCGCCTGGAACTCCCAGACTAGCAATGACCTTGCGCTTCGACCAGGCGCCGTCCGCGTGCCCCTTTTGCGGCAACGTCTACGCCGCTGACTCGGTCTTCTGCCGGCGCTGCTACTCGGTCAAAGTCTGGGGCGCAATAATTTCATGTTTACCACAAGCCAGGTGAAATGAAATGAAGCAATCTTTCTATTTGTCTTCCTTCCTTCCTTCCTTCCTTCCTTCCTTCCTTCCTTCCTTCCTTTCTTTCTTTCTTTCTTTCTTTCTTTCTTTCTTTCTTTCTTTCTTTCTTTCTTTCTTTCTTTCTTTCTTTCCTTCCTTCCTTCCTTCTTTCTTTCTTTCTTTCTTTCTTTCTTTCCTTCTTTGCTTCTCTCTTTCTATCTTTCTATCTTTTTATCGTTTTATCTTGGTATCCTTCTATCTACCCATCTATCCATCTATCCATCTGTCCATCATTGTATCTATCTATCTATCTATCTATCTATCTATCTATCTATCTATCTATCTAATCTATCTATCTATCTATCCATCTATCTATCTATCTATCTATCTATCTATCTATCTATCTATCTATCTATCTAATCTATCTATCTATCTATCTATCTATCTATCTATCTATCTATCTATCTATCTATCTATCTATCTATCTATCTATCTATCTATCTAATCTAAATATAATCTAAATATAATCTAAATCTAAATCCAATCTAATCTAGTCTAATCTATCTTATCTTATCTTTATCTTAAACATATCTTATCTTTATCTTTATATTTTCCTTTCTTTTCTTATCCTATCCTATCTTATCTCATCTTATCTATCGTCCTTTCTTTCGTTATATCTTTCTATCTGTCTGTCTGTCTTTCCTTCTTTCCTTGTATCGTTCTACCTATCCTTCTTTCTTTTATCTATCTTAGTGGTTGGTTTCCTTTGCATATTCTTCAAGCAGCACTTTGAGATCATGTCCCTTCATATCATTGGTGTCGGGCGTAGGCGGGCAGCGGCGATCCGCTCCGACCCGCGCGCCTGCGGTCGCGCCCGCTGCGATGATCGCGCCGGGCCGCTCGCTGGCCCTGGCGGAGCAATTCGCAGGGGCGGCGCCGCCGAATCTGCGGGCGGCGCAGGTGGCGTACCCGGCGCGGCAGGTGGACGTCCAGGAGCCCGCAAGAGCGAGTCGAGCGACGTGAGGGACATGGGGGGTTCGGGGGGAAGGGAGGTAGGTGGCTGTCGGAAAGGCAGATGTCAGGGCTGTCCAATGTCTCTGGAAGCTTAATCCCTGATCACTCCCCAGAGTTCTCTGCTTTAACACTTCGTCTCAAGGAAACAGAAATGTACAGAACCTAGAGAAACAACGAGCAGAAAATCGGGCTCAAGGCTTGGCCTGGCTTTTGCCGATGGCTTTTGGTTCTGAAGGCGCTTTCCAGCGCTTTGGCGCCGTTGGCAGCGGCGAATCTCCCGCACCGGGCGCGGATGAGTCCGCTGATCGAGAGCGGGGACCTGGTGAGGCCAGCCGTTGGGGTGAAATCGCCATGTCTTGTTCGAAGGGAAGCCAAACATGCAAACCACAAGGGACTGAACCAAAAGGTGACGGCAGTGATGGCTAAACTCGCCCACGTTTTGTCATGTGTTTCGAAAGGGAGAAGAGGATGGAATCAAAAGAGGGAGACCGACTGTTGTCACGGCTTGCCTTTTGAGCGCCTTTTGAGGAAAAAATGAACAAGGCCTCCACAGCAAAAACGCAACATCCGTTTGAAGCAGGTCCCTTTATAGGCTGGGAGCTTAGGTGCCTAAGAAAAAAGGGTGGAAAGGCAGCTAGCCCTGAAATCTAATACATCCTGGGATTGCACCTGAGAAGTTACTTGCATTTGTGGGACAGAGAGGTGCTGGACTCCGAGCTTTTCTTGAAAGAAACCCTCCCCCATAGCAAGCCGGGAGGAACCATCAACATGTTGGGTTGCCGGGGGCGGTTGGCCCGGGACGATGGCGAGTTGAAAGTGCATCGCATTGAACAGGTGCTCAAATGTGCCACGAATCACTGCATTTTCAAGCATGCCTCCCAGGAATGTCGCTTACCAAACCCTGCAACTTCGCGTACCCGAGATAACAACTGGAGTACGCTGCCGTGACAGTTCCACGTTTTTTTAATCAGCGGACGTATATATGTTCCAGGCTTCCTTGGCCCCCCCCTCCACCCCCCCCCAATGGTCATGCTCAGTCGGGAAGGTAGCACAGTGTGACCCTACAAGCCCCCCGCCCCCCTGTGGGATGGGTGGGGGGGTCCATGGTTCCCACCGTGTGGGAATGGGGGGTGGGGAGAATGGTGGCACAGTGTGACCGCAAAGCCCCCCGCGACCATGGTTCCCACACCGCCCGCTGGGGCAGCAAGTAAAGTGCGTTTGCCACTGGCGCGTTGCAGCGCACTTGGTTGGCACTTGGTTGTGGCGCTGCAAACCACAAACTGCGTCGTGGCATCGCGCACTGTCAGTTGCGACAGCGCTGCAACTTGTCGCATGCTGCAAAATGAGCAAATCGCATTGCAGCGCATCACACGAACAGCGCCGCAAGCGCGCCCACAACGTCGCGCGCACACTGGAGCAAGCCGCCCCACAAGCCCCCCCCCCCCCTGTGGGGGGCCCCCCCCCTGGATGGACCCATACCATTGGGGGGGGGGGGGGGGGGGGGGACTACGGGAACATATATATATATATATATATATGTATATATGTATGTATATATAAATAGATATACATATATATATATATACATATGTATATGTATGTATATATAAATAGATATACATATATATATATACATATGTATATGTATGTATATATAAATAGATATATATATATATATTTAAATAAATAGACATATATATATATATATAAATAACAATCGATATATATATATATATACGTACATGCCCCCGTGTTTTGCTTTGATTGGGTGGGTTTACGACAAGCCCCAAAGCACTGTCAACCTAAACACCACAAGGATGAGTCCTGAGCCTACCACAGAAAACAAGTCCAGGTGGAGGCCCAACGTTCCTTTCGAAGTCTAGCCTGGGAATCTGCAGCATGACTTCTCGAACTGCCGCCCCGGTCGGGTCCGGGTTGATCGCGTTGCAGCAAATCTCGTGTAGAGCATCCACATACCGCACATCTTCATGCCACCACTTTCGCAAAAACGGAATGGGCGATACCTTCGCCAAACGAAGTAGTATGACCAAAGCTGAACCTGCAGACTCCATCTGCCTGAGCACTCAAGAAGGTGCAAGCACGTTACAAAGCAATCCTGCATTACATCACCCCGGCCGAACATGAACGCTATCGTCCCCACCCCACCCCACCCCAAGAGCGGTCACCTCTCATCTCATGAGCGCTATCATCCCCACCCCACCCCACCCCACCCCACCCCACCCCACCCCACCCCACCCCACCCCACCCCAAAGAGCGGTCGCCTCTCCTCTCATGAACGCTATCATCCCAACCCCACCCCACCCACCCCACCCCACCCCAAAGAGCGGTCACCTCTCATCTCATGAACGCTATCATCCCCACCCCACCCCACCCCACCCCAAAAAGCGGTCACCTCTCATCTCATGAACACTATCATCCCCACCCCACCCCACCCCACCCCACCCCACCCCACCCCACCCCACCCCGGGCCAACCCCCCCCCGTCAACCCAACATGTTGTTTTTGAGCGCGGTGCCCGACTTGGAGACCCCATGACCACATATATGACACGTATATATATACAATGACTATGTGAATGGACTTCAACGAGCAAAAGGTAGATCATGGGGGGGGGGGGGGCTTATGGTCACCCCCCATGATCCACGCCTAGAGTGCTAGACATGCCCAGAGGGTTGGATGGAAGACTTAACACTGTGCGCATTTATAGATTTTGGCTCCTGCTGTTTGAATCGCCAACCAGCTTTTCACCACCAAACAACGGACTTCTCACCACATTCTGCTTCCAAGGGTACCTTTGATAGAAGCATAAAGTGCTGAGATCTATAGAACTGCAACCTAAATCATAGGAAGTTCCTTATAGAGTTGCAACCTAAATCAAAGAAAGTTCTTCATAGCACTGCGACCTAAATCGTGCAAATGGTTTTCGAATTGCAACCTAAACCATAGACAGTTCTTCATTGAGTTGCGGCCTAAATTATCCAAGGTGTCCTTTTAGAACTGTAACTTCACTCATAGTTTTTCATGGAACTGCAACCCAAATCATAGAAGTTCCTCATAGACTGCAACCTAAAGCACAGAAGGCGTTTTAGAGAACTGCAGCCTAAATATTATAAGCTTCTTTGTAGACCCGCAACCTAAATCATAGAAAGTGTTCTATAGAACTTTGACCTAATCCATAGAAATTGTTTTATAGAATTGCAACCTTTCTTATAGAAAGAGTGTTGTACAAGTGCAGCCTAAATTGTAGAAAGTTCTTCATAGAGCTGCAATCTAAAGCATAGAAACTGGTTTGTAGAGTTGCAACCTGAAGAACTGCAACCTACATCATAGAAAGGGCAGTATAGCACTGCAACCTAAACCATAGACATTGTGTTATAGAACTGCAACCTATGTCATAGAAAGGGCAGTATAGCACTGCAACCTAAACCATAGACATTGTGTTATAGAACTGCAACCTATATCACAGATAGTTCTTCATAGAACTGCAATGAATCGTAGAAGCTTCTTTAGAGAATTGCAACCTAAGTCGTCAATCATAGAAAGTGCTTCATAGAGTTGCAACCTAATTTATAGAAATTGTTTATAGAATTGCAACCTAAACCACGGAGAACTGCAACCTAAATCATAGAAAATGATTTTTAGAACTGCAACCTAAATCGCAGAAATTGTTTGCTGAGGTTGCAACCTAAATTGTAGAAAGTTCTTCAGAGAACTGCAACCTAAATCGTAGAAAGTTCTGCATCCTAAATCATAGAAAGTGGTGTACAGATCTCCAACCTCAACCATAGAAAGGCTGCAACCTAAATGGTAGAACGTGTTTTATAGAACTGCAAACCTGAACCATAGAAAGTGTTGTTTAGAATTGCAACTTAACTCATGGAAAGTGCTGTGTAGAACTGCAACTTGTCTCATGGAAAGTGTCAACTTACATCAGAAAGCGGTTTAATACTTCTTCAATACCTGGCTGAGGAGCAGAGGCCTCTCAACACTTTCCACAAAATGCTGAGAGGGCGAACCTAAAACCTAGTCTCAGGAACGCTTGGGCTGGCTGGAGCCCAGGCTCGTTTTTTTCCACGTGTTTTTGGGTACTCTCTTGACACTTTGTGCTCTTACAAGCTAAAAACGCTAGGATTTTTAGGTCCTTTCAACATTTTGTGCTTGCAAGCAGAAAGTGTCGAGAGCTTTCCAAAAAAGCAAAAAACCCTAGCCTAGGCAGCCCAAGAGTCCCTGAGACTATGTTTTCAGTTTTTTTTGGGTACTGTCTCAGCGCTTTCTGGTCTCTAGCTAGGCACTTTCTGCTTCTAAGAGCACAGAATGCTGTGAGCCCAACAGCGCCTGAGACTAGGTTTTGACATGGTGACACTCATCAGATTCTGATGAGATTTCGACGAAGGCAAAATGGATGTCGCAGAGTCTCAGAAAGGAGATGATCTGCTTTTTGCGCAGAGAGCAGATGATTTGCTTTTTTGTCAGGAGAAAACCATTGCATGTGGATCGTGGGGGGGGGGGGTGTGTCCACAAAAAAAATAAACATATATAGACACTCGTTTTGAGACATATGAGATCGGCACATTGGCCGGTTTCCCGATTTCAGGCGCACCTTGGAGGTGTACCGGATCTGCGACCGTGACGCCTCCGGGCACCTGCAGTGGTCCAACGGGGAGATCCAGGACATTGTGGTTGTGCCCCCCTCCCCCGCCAAAAAAATATCCCGACAAGGGGCCCCAAATTGTGTAGGGTTTAATGTGTCCCTGGAAGCATAGAAAGACGGTTAATAAACTCTGACAGCTCGCCCGCTGCAGGTGAGAAAGAAGCGTAAGCGCATCAATGTCTCTTCGTGCTGCGCAGGCATGATGTTGCACACGATGCTGCGCGCGCCGTTGCGCCAACGCCGTGCATGATGCTGCGCATGATGCTATGCGTGACGGTCCCTCGCGCGCATGATGCTGCGCAACCTCTCTCACCCAACCTGTCATGTCCCTTTCTCTTGCCAACCTCTCTTGTCCATATCTGCGTGCAGTTTGGCTGCGCAAGAAGGCTGGCGGTTTTAGTTGCAGAAGTGTACCTGGCATACTACTTTTGCAGCGAGCTTTCCGAACATGACTTTCGCACTTAAAGATTGAAGTTGCGATGTTCGAGCTGGAGCTGCGCCAGCGCTCTTCGCACGCTAGCTTTGCGCGAAGACACTGCGTATAACTTTGGCCGGAGCCATGGGAACGGATTTCGCGCACGACTTTTGCACTTACAAGTTGCGATTTTGCAGCCGGAGCTCTCTGAAAGCTCTTCACGTACTTTTGCACTTACAACTTGCGAGTTTTCAGCCGGAGCTGCGGGTTCGCGTACGACTTTTGTACTTACAATTTGCGATTTCGCAGCCGCGCCTCTGGAAATGCTCTTCACGTACTTTTGTACTTGCAACTTGCAAATTTTCAGCCGGAGCTGCGGGAGTGCACTTCGCGTACTACTTTCGTACTTACAATTTGCGATTCGCAGCCACGCCTCTGGAAATGCTCTTCACGCACTACTTGTGTATTCAAAACTTGCGAATTCTTCACGTACTACTTTTCTTAAAACTTGCGATTTTTTGAACCGGAGCTGCAGGAATACATTTCGCATACTACTTTTGTACTTGCAACTTGCGATTTCGCAGCCGCGCCTCTCGAATTGCTTTTTGCGTACTACTTTGGTACTTAAGACTTGCGCCGGAAGCCGGAGCTGCGGGAGCACGCTTCGCACACTACTTTCTGTACTTAAACTTGGGAATTTCGTGCCGGAGCTGCGGAAGCGCGCTGCGCGTACTACTTTTGTGCTTAGAAGTTGCGATATTGCAGCCGGAGCTCTGGGTTTGCTCTTCGCGTGCTACTTTCGTGATTAAAATTGCGGTTTTCAAGCCGGAGCTGCCGCGGACCAAGCAGGGGGAACCCGAGACAACGCGCGATCGTGAAAGCAGACGCGCGAACCACGAGACAACTTCCAAACACCGATTCGCAAGCAAAGAAAGCAGAAAAACCGAACGGCGCCACAGCGAGAGCGCTTCGACACGCAGGGTCTCCGCAGAGGGTTCGCCGAGCTCAAGACAAATCACGGCGCGCAGGATTCCATGATAGAAGATGTTGACAAGGTCATCTCCGACTACAAGGTCACATCCGCCGAGCGCTGCAAGCACATCAACAATTAGATGCTGATGCTTGGACAATGCGACTCAGATTCTCACACCCCACTGCTGGTCTGTGTCCGCAGCCTCGCAGCTGATCAGGAAAGACGAGAGCGCTTGTTTTTTGCTCACAACGCTTGCAAATGAGTGAAACGCTGCGCCTGCCATAAGATTCACAGACCTTGTCTGCTACGCATCCTATAGCATCAGCGCAAAACATACTGCGCCCGCCACGAAAGACGCACGGCAGTCTCACAGAATGCAGCGCTGGCCATGGAATTCTGCGGCGATACGCAATTCCGAAGATCGGCGCGGCGCCACAGCGAGAGCGCAGTTTTGAAGAAAGGTCAGTTTCATGCAAAGCTCTCGCACGCAAGACAACTTTTTGCGACAACTGCCATGGCTTTAGAGCTCCGATTGTCCAAGCGTCGTAGCCTGACTCGACAAGAAGATATCACCGCGCGGCGGCCCTGCCATCAAAAAACGCACTTTGCTCTCAAAAAGCCGCGGTTGCACGAGCCTTCCTCAAAAAACACATCTCCCGCGTCGCAGCGGTTTCATCAAAAGATCCTCGCGCGAACCTCCCAAACTGTGACCCCCTGCCCAAAAAGAAACGTGAACGGCACCACAGTGAGACGCGCGTGCAGCAGTGCGAACCTCCATTTCGTGCGAAACTGCCGCACCGAAAACACCTTTTTACGCACAGGGTGATGCGAACCTAGCCTTAACTCTTACCGTAAGAGCCCCTCAATGTAAACACTATTTGGGGAAAAAGAGAACGAGAGCAAAACCTACAAAACAACAGATGGGTGGGTGTGGGGGTGTGGGTGGGTGTGGCTGTGGGTGTGGGTGGTGGGTGTGGGTGTGGGGTTGTTGGGCTGTGGGGTTGTGTTGGTGTGGGTGTGGGGTGTGGGCGTGTGGGTGGGGGTGGGGCGGGTGGGTGTGTGTGTGTGTGCGGGGGTGTGGGTGGGTGTGAGTGTGGGTGTGAGGGGTCCCTTTGAGCACTCCAAGTGACGTGTTTGCCTTTGCTTCGTTGACTGCTTTAAGACCTGGAGAGCGTACCATCAATGGAACCACAACCGTTTTGACTGTTCCAAAATGGGTACAAACCCAAATGTGTGCGTGGTTTAGTCGAAGGTACCCTTTGCAGCTTGGTTAGGGTACCACATCTCCCCACTTCAACACACCCAAAGTGAGCTGGGAGATGCCCGGAGGACTTCATGTTTCTGGTCTTCCAGCAGCAAGGCTTATCCCCGCCCAGCCCCAACGACATGTACCAGCTTTTCCGGAAGTTCGACGAGGAGCGGCCTTTTTTTTTTGGGGGCGTGTTTAACCTGCCCTGTTGGCGTTTGATTCTTGTTTGGGGGGGTTGTTCAAAAGGAACACTTGCTTGACGCGTTTTCTTTTGGCAGTTGGCAATTACTGCCTTTTGCTTGGATCGACTCCCTTTTTTGACTGGCTGTTTGGGTGGAGGTCAAAGGCGCACACCAACTCCGCGCTTCCCTCCAATTGCATAGCATCTTGCCTGGGATGATACGACGTGTCAAAGCGAAACGTCATGGCTGGAACAGCTGGCTTTCTGTTGGTGCTTGTAACGTGTAAATGCCCCCCGCCATTGCAAGGGGACGACTTGTGATCCACTCGGCCAGATGACAGGATGGCAACAATGTCCTGGACGCCAGGGCTGCTTGGCTGGCGTTCGGGGCAAGTGCGGTCCCCCTTTCTTGATGAAGCCGCTTCTTGGTTGGGGCACGGGGGGAAGCCCCGGTTTCACGTACAGACCCCGGAAAACTGAGATAGAAGATATTCACAGTTTTTTGTTTTGGGCACCCATGTTCTGATTGAGAACATCACCTGATATTCTCAAGTGACTCGGAATACTCCAGGAGGACAACAATTTTTGCCTCTTGCCTGTTTATGCAAAGCCGTGTGGGTCACCCACGGATTGAATCTCCAACTCCGTTTTGTGTGGCAGGAGTGGGACTGTCAGGTATCACCCGCTTGAATTTAAAAGCGCTACTATAAAGGTTTTGGAAATCCTCTTGGTTCTGGGAGGCAAGAACAATCCGGGGGCTTCGAACAACAGGGTCCCTCAAGCCCAAACGACTTCAAAGAAAATCACCGAACGGCGACCCAAGGAGTGTCTTTGCATGGTGGACGCACTCTTCCGGGCCATGTTCTTCGAGGAGTGAAGCTGAGTGTTGCCCGATTCTGGCATTTGTTTTTGATGCGAACCCCTGGATTCATAGGCCCGTGATTGCTTAATGGAAACCAACAGGTGAAAAGCCGGGGGTGAAAGGAACGCGTGATCTTTTCCCCTGATGTCATGCGGGGCCTTTTGGAGCCTCCTCAAAGGAATGTCATTTCACCTATACTTAGTGACCTTGAAATGATTGTTGCACCAGTAATTTGCATGTACACCAAAAACACATGCTGTTTTATTTCATTGTTTGCAGATGCGCTGATTTGGAGAATTCCAATACACGATGGACTCCGAACGACTGCACGTCGCCAGGAGCCTTATGGCGCTTTGACGCCGCCCAGGCCCCCGGGTTTTTCAACGCTTGAGAACAAAGGGATGGCCGTAGGTCGGTGGGACAAGCCCCAAAAGCGGTGGGTGTGGGCATGTTCATAGCCCGCCCTGTTTTGGAACACACCCTTCTTGTTTTCAGCCTGTCAGCCGCTGAGAGCAAATTAAGGGGAATTGTTCAGGAACCAAACATATGCTGGGTGCATAGGAGGCTGCTACATTCTGAGATGCTGCATTGATATTGGGATGAGCCATCGCCCATGCCCAAATGTGTTGTTCACGGATCTGCCGTGCCCGTCTTTCTTTTTCGCTGTCGTCGCGCTCCCAAAAGGGATGTCCTGCCCCCCGAAGGAGATTGCGCTCGTAAACATGTTGTTGTACTGGTACTGCTAGGTACAAGAAGTGAGTCCCAAACACACGCCAGCATGACTGCACATCGCACGACAGCTGGCTTTTGGATTGTTCAAGGCTCGTTGAGGAGTCGACCACGGTCCAAGGTATCCGTGCGTCCATGTGCATTCTAAGTGTTTCACAGACTGACCTGCATTTGCGTTGGCTGACAATACACGCCCGGTTGCTACCGCTCTTGTACTGCCGACCATTTAAGAGGGTCTACAGAGGGGAGCTACCTAACATTTCCAGCTACTGGCTGGAATTCAAGCTTGACTCATAGAACCCCACCCTCGCCTGTCCCTTCTTTTGGTCCGGGGGAAACTGCAAGAGGGGGTTAGGCGGGGGGTCAAGGGCATCCTATGCACAAGAAAACAAGCAAGAGCATCTCTACGGCCTCAAGTCTGAAACGAGGAGTCGGTGTCATCGCTCAACCCGGATTGCTTTTGGAGGAAGCAGCTCTAAATAAGTCCGGGTTGATGACAATCCGAGGATCCGAGGTCTAAAAAGTGTGATCCCCAAATTCCAAAAGGGGACTGTGATTCTTACGTTGCAGTCATTCTTGCGTCGTTGCTTGTTTGGCTTCTTCCGCTTCTGTTGATTCCACTTTGGCGGCTGCAACAGAAACATACGTTTTGCTATTTTACCAGGAGAGTGGCAAAGGATCTGCTTACACGTTCATCATGCTTGGCTCTTTTTCCCAGGTTCCGTGCTGGTGTAGCCAACGGGGCTTTGTTGTTTGAGACATGTGCGGACTCACAGTCATCCCTGTGATTGGTGCATCAATGCGCCTTCAAAGGAAGAAAGGAGTTTGCCGCTGCCCTCCTAAGTACTGCAAGTATGGAACAAGGCACAACCTGCAAATGACGATGGCTTGTGGCTGGATCACTTGCTGCTCTTATAGATCCGCCCTGCCAGTTCTTTTGAGCACCCCGTGGGTGTGTCCTTTTTGGATGGTATCTTTTTTGGGATGAGTGCGAAACGGAAGCCAAAATGACAATATAGTTTTTGGGGGTCCCATATTTTGAGGCACATGTCACTCGTAACAACCCGTCTTGAGGGCGTTAGATGTGTTCCGTGCCGAGGCCGCTGGCCGCGTTGCCCTCCGCGCTGCGCCTCGGGCCACACTTACCCTCCGGGGATCCGACGTGTCGAATGCAGTCGGACACTTGCTATACTTTCGGCATGGTTTGACATGGTTCCACTTTGAGTTGGTAGGTGCTTGCATTTTTTCCGTTTTCGAGAGACATTCCACTTTGAATTGGTCTGACAGGTGTGACAGGGTTCCACCTTGACATGTTTGCTGCACCCTTGTGGGAGGTGTTTTTCACGTGGCCCCGACCCGCCAACCCGCCACACAGACACCTGCCAGAGTCCGCGCATCGCGCATCGGAGGTCGGCGCCCTCCACGCGGGCCGTCAGCTTCCCGCGCACCGCCACGGACTACTGGGACTCCCCTCGGGACCGGGGCAACGCCGATGCCGACGTCCGGGGGTGGAAAATCGGTGTTTTGGGCCCACGTGTGATACCAAGGGAATCCTCACCAAGGGAATCCCCTTTGATTCCCAACGAATTTCCAGCAAAGGAATTCCCTTTGATATCAAGGAAATCTCCTAAGGGGAATCTCCTTCAAAGTGTTAAAGTCATGCCAAAGGGATGATTTTGCACCGGAGGGTTAATGTCTGAGGCGGAGGTCCTTGGTTCCCTTGATAGAAAACCACAGGGAAATATTGGTTTGAGAATTGTTGGTGGCCTGGCCCTAGGAAGCCCTTGAATGATAAAGGATCCTCCATTGAGGCATGTATACAAGAACCCCGAGGCCGGCCAATTAGCTTCTTTCCTTTCTCCGTTCCTCCTTCTAGGGTTTAATTTTAGCAGGTTTCGTATCCATCCCGTTTTTTTGACTTCCCCAAGCTGGACTTAAACCCAGTGGTTGATTTGCCGGTGTAAGCCTACCCGGTGCAGCCAAGAAATGGAACCCTGTCCCTATCTGTTTCCTTCTTGTGAATTTGGGATAGCAGGTCATTCATTGCCTGCCCCACTTGGCAACATGGAACAGACTTTTTCCGGAGTCCGTTTGGTTTGTTTGCTTGCTTTGCTTGTTAATTGTTTGTTTGTTTGCTTGCTTGCTTGCTTGCTTGCTTGTGCTGTTGTTTCTTTGTTTCTTTTGTTTTGTTTCTTGCAATTTGGGTGGCATATTTCGGACACCGGGGAACCCATCGGCCCCTTGGCAGGCGCAGGACCTCTACGCGCCAGCAGTCCTGGTGCCGCTGGACCGCCAGCCGTCGCCGGTTCCGGCGGGGATCCCCGACCGAGACCCGTGGCCGGTGGAACGTGACGGCCGCGGTGTGGCCCTGTAAACCGAAGGGAAAAATGGGTGCGTCGCTTTTTGGAGGGTAAACTTTTGTTGCTGGTTTCCCTTCTTGGTGGTCTCAAAGTCAAACAAAAACATGGATGTGACGTGTTTTTAGAGTTGGTACCCCCTCCCACTAACTCAAGGCACCAGTGAAAGGGTACCCCTTTCTGGTGGTTTCAAAGTCAAACTAAAGGGACCATCACCAAATTCGGGGGTTGAAGAACAAAAGACGCACCCAAACGGAGGTCAACAAACAAGCTTGACACAAATGGGTGGCATGGTGGATATTGAGATTTGGTTGGGTTTCTTGTGGGTGTCCTGTGCAAGGAACCCCTTTTGGTTACGGGAAGGCTTCGGAGGACTTGGGGGGTGGGGGTGGGGTGGGATGTGCTTAGTCTGCGGTGCGCAACAACCAGCAAACTCACGTTCTATGTTCTCCAAATGCGGTTGCCGCGTATGTCGATCGTGGCTAATTCGGGGTCTGTCTGTTTTGGAGGGAACCCATTGTGGGGCTGTTTTAAGCCAAACCTACAGGGAGGTGTAAGGAGCCCTAGCCGAAACTCTTCACCTGCCATTGTCAAATCACAGCACCCCAAACCACATTCTCAGGTATGGGTTTTGGACAGCATATCAGTACAAAAGTTTGTAGAGTGCATGAGCCTTCGAAAATCCAATCAGCTCCATGGCTCCAGAAAATCATCCAGACTCCCACCAAAAGTCCCAGTTGAGAGCCATGGGAAAGCGCTAGTCAAACATGGCAAACATGACATGTAGTTGACAAGGCAAGGGTAGATTCCCTAAGAACCATGGCGAAACATGTGGCCACGAATTTCAATGGGGGAATGCCTCGAAAGTGGTTAGTGGACATAAACAACTTTTTCACCTTGATGGTCTCCACCAAAGGGTCAAACCAGTTAAAATGTCTACCCATGACTGACCTGGTTGAACTTTCAAGGGCGCCTTTCTGAAGAGACATTCCTCCCATTCTATTTTTATTTCTTGAGAACACCCACCCTTTTTCGGCATTCCACGGAAAGCCGCGCATCTTGAGTTTTTCTCCCTGGGGTTGGTTCCCAATTCTGCGATCGAAGTCCTTCCTGCGCTTAGCGGGCTCAACTCGGGCTGAAGCCTGAGTAGGCCCTCCTTAAATTATTATGCTTGTATGTATATATATATATATATATATTATATATATATGCACTCTGTATATGTATACATCTATAGTATATATATATATATATATATATATATATGCACACATGCAAAGGCGCGCACACACACACACACACCCCTTTGTATACCCATAGCGTTCTTGTATAGGCATTCTCTGTGAGGCTATAAAAAACATACGTTACTGTATATATATATATATATATCAGGGGCACAGTTTTGCCTCCGGGTTACGCGGGAAAGCCTTAGACTTTTGCGGCGGGGGTGGTCTGCAAGCCAGCATGGTCACGCAACTCCAACCTTCTAGATGTGGGCAACCCCACACCGGACACCTCATGGACCAGCCTTGGACCATCAGTGGTCTTTGAGCGCGCATCTTGCGCTGGGTGTTGCAGGTTTAGGCCAAATCAAGCGGGACTGTACCACATGAGCCTTTTTTTCAGGCAGAGGATGCTTATAGGATTGCCAGTTCTTCAATTTTATGTAGCTCTTCACCGGGTATTTCATGGAGGCGCCTTCTTTTGGGCAATGGGTCGTTCACCTCATTCCTAATTGGTGATTGGATTGGCGGTTTGGCGCTTTGGACTTCTTACCCATTTGCCTACGAAGACAACTGGGGTTCAAATACTCTAACCACCCAAACCACCAATCCAAGCCACCAATCCAAACAGCCAATCCAAATCGCCAATCCAAACCGCCAATCCAATTACCAGTTAAGGTGTACAGTTCCTAGACCTAAACCACCAACCCAAACCAAGCCAGTCGAGTCCCGAGGTGAGATCTGCGGCGCGGGCTTATCAGCCGCACGCGCCTGCGGCCCCTTCTGCGGCACGGCACTCCTTGCGCCCGCAGACGATGCCGCCGGCGCCGCTGCCGGCTCCGTCCACGGTGATGCCGCAGCCGCCGCTGGGACCCCAAGATGTGGACCAGGGGGGGGAGTGCCCACTTGAACGTAGGTTGGAAACCGTGGTTTTGGGGCTCCTTCTCGTTTTGGTGAGCTCTTTCTTACTGTATGATTCACCAGAAGACCCTGCATAGGCGTGGCTTAGTGGTCCTTTCAGGTTGGCGAGTAGTATGACTCAGCCGTGCGTTGTAAGCCTGGTTTGGCCATGACCATGCGGGGCAAGAGGCATCCTTGGCAGGAGTACTCTGAACAACACGGCCGACAAATGGGCAGTTGATCGACATGCATTGGACAGGCGTTCGGACAAGTGTTCAGTTGAACTATCCACTATTCTACGCTCCATGGCACGGCGGGCATTTGAAGCGCATTATGTCATTCTGGAGTTTGGGATTGTGCACAAGCGTGGCATCCGCCATGCAGGTTTTCCAATTTGGTGGCTCTTTTGCCATGTATCAGGGTGCGCTGCACGGCTGTTTTGGGGCAGCTCGATGAACAGAAGTGGTGGCTAACAGTTTACTCTTCTTCTTGCTCCAGTCAAGGGGTGGTTGCTTCCAATTTCATAGTGGGTACAAGGAACATCATGTTTGGGGCGACCATTTTTTTTAAAGGCGCAAACAAAGTTGGGGCCTCGTTTGGGCCGTCCACTCAGGAAGTCATTTTGAACACGCATGCACACACACACACACAAACAAACAAAGCAAACACACACACACACAAGGGTCTGTCTCAAAATAGGGTACCCATTTTCTGGAAACGGCAACGGTTTCCTTCCTGCTTTCCATTTTTGGCGGTCCCAAACGGGGGCTTGAGACAGACCCATTTGACTCGGCATGGAGGCAATCTATGCCGCTCCTGCCGGAAGAGGATGATGGCCACCTGCCAATCCCGCACCGCATCGAGGAGCCCGGTGGGCTACGTGGGTTGGGGAACCAACACGGTAATGAGTTTTGATTGGGAACCAATGGGAACCACCTCAAAAGTGGTTGGTGGACATGAATCCCCAAACAATCATGCCCACATGCCGAGCCAGGGTGGTCCAAAACGGGGCCCCCAGCAAGAACGTGTGGATGTGTGGGTCCTTTTTTGGACTCGGGAAACAAGAAGGGTGCAAACCACTTGGAAGGTTCGCCCATTTCAAGATGGATGTCGGCAGGTCCTGGAAGGCGATTGCTCAAGTGAGCTTCACTAAAAGCCCACGCTGGTATGATTTGTATATGGGTGTTGACTGGCCTCCAAACGACCATGGGTAGCTTTTCCCATGCGGGGAAGCCAAATCTTTTTCGGTGGATCCCCCCCAGGCCCCATCAGCTTCCTTCAGCTTGCGAGGTTTGGTTGGAGTTTGTGGGGTTTCAGCCAGCTCCCAGCCTTCTCGGATCCGGAGCTCGCTCGCTCGCTCGCTCGGAGAGGACATGGGCGACGGGGTGTCGCGCCAGCCCCCAAAGAGCCAAGAGAAGCCCCCGGCTTGGCACGCCATCGAGGAGTGCGGGGAAGTCTTTGAGCTCGTGTCCGTTCCTCTGGCTTTTGGGCGGGGTTCCTTTTGAAACTCACTTTGTGAGTTCCTGGACTTGAGTCACTTTAGAGTTTTGGACCATTTTGGCGGTAAATAGAAAGTTCGGGCGTTTTTGGCCAGTCCACTCAGGAAGTGAGGAAAACGACCAAAAGGGGGGGTCCATTTTTCCCTGCAGAAGTCCGGAGCCTGGGAAAACAGGACCATTGGTTTTGAGGAAATCTGGGAAGCCCGGCAGACATCATTTGCATGGTTGGATACATGCATGTCCACCAGAGGGTGCTCCAACCGCTAAACGATCATAGCCAAGTGGTCACTGTGGTTCACTATGGTGAATTCCCCAGATGAAAAGTCAGCCAGCCAGCTAGCCAGAAGCCGGGGTAAATTGCGCTTTGAAAGTGATACGCCCCTGCAGATTAACACTGGCCCAAAGGAAGACTCCTCCACAAATGAGGGTTTTGCCGGGTTTCCCTGTTGATGTGCAAGGGAGTATTCTCCACTGAGAACTTGCAAGTGTTGAGCTGCCAATCCCCTCAAAATCTAATTCATGCATTCGTTTTAAAAGGGGGGTTCCCACCCCTGATTAGTATGCCCTGGAGACCCTTTTGCTTCAGCTGCATGTTGTTTTGGCTCCATGCTTGTAGGGGAGGGGTTGAAGTGACCTGGCTTCCCTCAAACGCTTGGATTTCGCAGTTGGGGAAGGACATGACTCCCGCAGTTGGCCATTTTCTGGCGAGCATGTTCCAACATCGCCAGACTCAACTCACCACTTGCCCTTTTGCCACAGGTTTCCTTCCGTTCCTGGAGCAGCCCAAAATAGCCCGCGCTTGCCCGATCCGGTCCAAGTGACCCGTGAGATTTGCTGTTGGAGAAAGCCACCCGCCTCGGCTTTTGCCTTGGTCATGCCCTTGGTCATTCCCTTGGTCTTCCCCGCCCGTTTCCGGCTCAGCCCTTCGATGGATCCCTCCTCATCCGATCGACGGGATCTCAAACTCCGCGAGGAGCGGCCTCACATGTTGGACGTGGAGCTCGAGGAGTTGGAGCTGCACCCCGACGCCCCCGATCTGCAGCCAGGCGCATCCCATCCGCGCTCGGATTGGATTCGGATGCGGTGTGGACTTTTTGGGAGTGATGAGCCCGATTTCAGGTTGACGCTGGAAGGAAACCCAGGAGGAGCAGCACAATGTTTATGGCGGGTTTTCCTAGTTTGAGAGATACCTCATTTGGCAACTCGGAGCCTTTTTTTTGGGGGTTTGGGGGTCTCTGGCAATGTTTGATGGTTTAAGAAGTAGATATGAACCAGAATCTGAACATGTGTTTGGTGCACCGTAGGCTTTGTCTGAAACCCAGTTGTTCAGCGGATTCTTTCGAGATCCCTTTTAGCTTCGGGGGGGATTCCGAACGAGACATGGATCTTCGTGCCTTCTCGACCTCCTGCTTGCCTTGCTGCCGGTTTGGTGCACCTGGACCCGGTGCACTCAGCCAACTTCTGCAAGTCCTGCTTAATCCTCCCGACTTGAAGCGGACGAACCCTATGAGGAAAGGGTACCTGGCAGATCAGCTTTCGTCTGGCAGAGATTCAAAATCTGTCCCGCTGCTATGGCAGCGCGGGCGAGAGGTATTGTGTTGAACTTCCCCGCAAGTTGGAACTTTGCGTGGCTCTCGCTACTCTTGTCACGAAATGTAGGGGGCGATAAAGAGCAACATCATTTCCTTCGATAATACTCGACCCTGTGGGCGCCCCGAAGCCCCACCGGCAGGTTGGTTCGAGTCCTTGAAGTACTTTGTCTCTCTGCACCCACGCTCGGAGGAGCTGACGGGGGAGGAATTGATTCGTGTCCAAATGGGATATGGAGCCCCGAAAAGGGAAATGCCTTGTCTTCGGCTTCCCCATGGTTTTCCTTTAAACAAAAGGGTACGAACTCCAAAAGGGAGCCACACCCGGATATTGGGAGACAGGCGGCTTGAGCATTGAGATAAATGTAAATGGCAATGTTTTAAAGGAGGGTTCATTGGGAACCAAAGGAACGTTGAGCGGCCGTGGCATGTGAGTGGCCCGACAATTTGCGACAGCGGGCGCCCTGCGCCAGAGTCTTGACGCTCCGAAGTGTCAAGCCTGACCTGTCTTGGATTCTTACAACATTGAATACGTACCTGCCGATAGATGCCTCACCAGGGGAGTTGGTCGGGTCAGGTCCTGGGAGGGTTTAGTCAGATACCTGGGTCGGCTACCACGGGTCAGGTACCTAGTGTTGGTGGCACCTTGACCTGGCTGGCAGTCGTTTCACGAAAGTATGTATGGTTTCAGGAAAGGCTGGGTGGTTCAGGCGGTGCCGGGTTGTCTGGGTGGTTTCAGGAAAGGCTATGTGTTTCATGAAAGACTGGGTGGTGGTTTCAGGAAAGGTGTGGTGGTGTCAGGAAAGTCTGGGGTGGCTCCAGGAAAGGCTGCGTGGTTTCCGGGAAGGCCGTGTAGTTGCAGGAAAGACTGGGTGCTGGTTTCAGGGGAGGCTGTGCGATTTCAGAAACGGCTGGGTGGTTTCAAGGAAAGGCTGGGTGGTTTCAGGAGGTGCCGTGTGGTTTCAGGAAAGACCGTGTGGTTTCCGGCGAGGCTGTGTGGTTTCACGAAAGAGGATGGTTTAGGGTTGCTTTAGGTGGGGTTTAGGGTTTGTTTTGGGGCTCCCTCACGGTTGATTTAGGTGTGGTTTTAGGTTTGGTTTAGGTGGTTTTAGAGGTTGTTTTAGGGTCGGTTTAGGGTCAGTTTAGGGTCAGTTTTGGGTTGGTTAGGATTGGGTTTAGAGGTTGTTTTAGGGTTGGTTTAGGGTTGGTTTAGGGTCGGTTTAGGGCCAGTTTAGGGTTGGTTAGGATTGGTTTAGAGGTTGTTTTAGGGTTGGTTTAGGGTTGGTTTAGGGTTGGTTTAGGGTCGGTTTAGGGTTGGTTTAGGGTTGGTTTAGGGTTGGTTTAGGGTTGTTTTAGGGTTGGTTTAGGGTGGGTTTAGGGTTGGTTAGGGTTGGTTTAGGGTCGGTTTAGGGTCGGTTTAAGGGTTTTAGGGTTGTTTGAGGGTTGGTTTAGGGTTTGTTTAGGGTCGGTTTAGGGTTGGTTTAGAGGTCTGTGGTTGCAGGAAAGGCTGGGGCGGTTCATGAAAGAGTGATTGGTGGTTTCAGGAAAGACTGGACGGTTTCAGGAAAGGCTGTATAGGAGGTGTTGGGTTGTTTCAGAAAAGGCTGAGCGAGGCTGTGTGGTTTCACGGAAGTGTGTATGAATTTAGGAAAGGAGGTGCCGGGTGGTTTCAGGAAAGACTAGGTGGTTTCAGCAGAGGCTGTGTGGCTTCAGGCTGGGTGGTTGTTTCAGGAAGTGGTTTCAGGAGAGGTTTGGTGGTGTCAGGAAAGTCTGGGGTGGTTCCAGGAAAAGCTGCGTGGTTTCAGAAAAGCTGCGTGGTTTCAGGAAAGGCTGCGTGGTTTCAGGAGGTGTCGCGTGGTTTCCGGCGAGGCTGTGGGGTTTCACGAAAGTGTGTGTCGCATATGATGTTGGAAGTCTGATGGTTAAGGGTTGATTTAGGTGAGGTTTAGGGTTTGTTTACGGCTCCCTTAGGGTTGATTTAGGTGTGGTTTTAGGTTTGGTTTAGGTTTGGTTTTAGGATGTTTTAGGTTTGGTTTAGGTGGTTTTAGAGGTTGTTTTAGGGTCGGTTTAGGGTCAGTTTAGGGTCAGTTTTGGGTTGGTTTAGGGTTGGTTTAGGGTCGGTTTAGGGTGGTTTTAGGGTGGTTTTAGGGTTGTTTGAGGGTTGGTTTAGGATTGGTTTTGGGTTGGTTTAGGGTCGGTTTAGGGTTGGTTTAGGGTTGGTTTAGGGTTGGTTTAGGGTTGTTTTAGGGTTGGTTTAGGGTCGGCTTAGGGTCGGTTTAGGGTCGGTTTAGGGTCGGTTTAGGGTCAGTTTAGGGTTGGTTTAGGGTTGGTTTAGGGTTGGTTGAATATGGTTTAGGGTCGGTTGCGGGTCGGTTTAGGGTTGGTTTAGGGTTGGTTTAGGGTTGGTTTCGGGTTGGTTTAGGGTTGGTTTAGGGTTGGTTTAGGGTCGGTTTAGGGTTGGTTTAGGGTTGGTTTAGGGTTTGTTTGGGGTCGGTTTAGGGTTGGTTTAGAGGTCTGTGTTTGCAGGAAAGGCTGGGGCGGTTCATGAAAGAGTGATTGGTGGTTTCAGGAAAGACTGGACGGTTTCAGGAAAGGCTGTGTGGTTTCAGGAGGTGCTGGGTGGTTTCAGAAAAGGCTGAGCGAGGCTGTGTGGTTTCACGGAAGTGTGTATGAATTTAGGAAAGGAGGTGCCGGGTGGTTTCAGGAAAGACTAGGTGGTTTCAGCAGAGGCTGTGTGGCTTCAGGCTGGGTGGTTGTTTCAGGAAGTGGTTTCAGGAGAGGTTTGGTGGTGTCAGGAAAGTCTGGGGTGGTTCCAGGAAAAGCTGCGTGGTTTCAGAAAAAGCTGCGTGGTTTCAGGAAAGGCTGCGTGGTTTCAGGAGGTGTCGCGTGGTTTCCGGCGAGGCTGTGGGGTTTCACGAAAGTGTGTGTCGCATATGATGTTGGAAGTCTGATGGTTACGGGTTGATTTAGGTGAGGTTTAGGGTTTGTTTACGGCTCCCTTGGGGTTGATTTAGGTGTGGTTTTAGGTTTGGTTTAGGTTGGGTTTTAGGATGTTTTAGGTTTGGTTTAGGTGGTTTTAGAGGTTGTTTTAGGGTCGGTTTAGGGTCAGTTTAGGGTCAGTTTTGGGTTGGTTTAGGGTTGGTTTAGGGTCGGTTTAGGGTGGTTTTAGGGTGGTTTTAGGGTTGTTTGAGGGTTGGTTTAGGATTGGTTTTGGGTTGGTTTAGGGTCGGTGTAGGGTCGGTTTAGGGTCGGTTTAGGGTTGGTTTAGGGTTGGTTTAGGGTTGGTTTAGGGTTGGTTTAGGGTCGGTTTAGGGTCGGCTTAGGGTCGGTTTAGGGTTGGTTTAGGGTTGGTTTAGGGTTGGTTTAGGGTTGGTTTAGGGTCGGTTTAGGGTTGGTTTAGGGTCGGTTTAGGGTAGGTTTAGGGTCGGTTTAGGGTTGGTTTAGAGGTCTGTGGCTGCAGGAAAGGCTGGGGCGTTTCATGAAAGAGTGATTGGTGGTTTCAGGAAAGACTGGACGGTTTCAGAAAGGCTGTGTGGTTTCGGGTGCCGGGTGGTTTCAGGAAAGGCTGAGTGAGGCTGTGTGGTTTCACGGAAGTGTGTATGGATTCAGGAAAGGAGGTGCCGGTGCCGGGTGGCTTTAGGAAAGACTAGGTGGTTTCAGGAGAGGCTGTGTGGCTTCAGGCTGGGTGGTTGTTTCAGGAAGTGATTTCAGGAGAGGTTTGGTGGTGTCAGGAAAGTCTGGGGTGGTTCCAGGAGAAGCTGCGTGGTTTCAGGAAAAGCTGCGTGGTTTCAGGAAAGGCTGCGTGGTTTCAGGAGGTGTCGCGTGGTTTCGGGCGAGGCTGTGGGGTTTCACGAAAGTGTGTGTCGCATATGATGTTGGAAGTCTGATGGTTAAGGGTTGATTTAGGTGAGGTTTAGGGTTTGTTTAGGGCTCCCTTAGGGTTGATTTAGGTGTGGTTTTAGGTTTGGTTTAGGTTTGGTTTTAGGATGTTTTAGGTTTGGTTTAGGTTTGGTTTAGGGTTGGTTTAGGGTTGGTTTTAGGTTTGGTTTTGGTCAGGTTTAGGGCCAGCTTCGGGGGTTCATTCAGGGTTCATTTAGGGTTAGGCTTGGGTCGGGGGGCTGCCGCCCCCCCCCATGAAGTTGGGAAGGGTGATGATTCAAACAAAGGTACGCTTAATCTAAAAACACAGCGGGGGGTCGGGGGGGCGGCGGCCCCCCCATGATGTTGGGAAGTACGGGAAGCCCAATCAGGAAAGGCCGGGTGGTTTCAGGAGGTGCCGGGTGGTTTTAGGAAGACTGGGTTGTTTTAGGAAAGGCTGCATGGTTTCAGGCAACGTTGGGGGGGGGGGGTCATGAAAGATAGGTTGGTGGTTTCAGGAGAGGCTTTGAGGTTCCAGGAGGTGCCGGGTGGTTTCAGCAAGACTGTGTGGTTTCCGGCGAGGCTGTTTGGTTTCAGGATAGGCGGGGTTTCAGGAAAGGCTGTGTGGCTTGTGGTTGCAGGCTGGGTGGCGGTTTCAGGAAAGGCTGGGTGGTTTTAGGAAGGGTTGTGTGGTATCAGGAAAGGCTGGGGTGTTTCATGAAAAACTGGCCGGCGGTTTCAGGAAAGGTTTGGCGGTGTCAGGAAATGGTTGCGGGAAAGACTGGGTGGTATCACGAATTCGGCAACAACCCTTTCAGAGGTAGCCTTTCACGAAATTTATAGCTGAAAAGCAAAATTAGTTTCCTGAAGCCAGCATGCTTCTGGAAAACAACTATTAAGCTTCCTGAACACATGTTTCCGGAAGCTTGCGGGTATTCATTTCGACCTTCTCGGGGTTGCTGACCCGTCGTCGGCTCGGGGTACCCGACCCGACCGGCACCCGCCTCACCAGTGGATTACGCCTCGAAAGAGCCAACCCAGTAGGATCAATGCAGCATTGTCCAGTTGGCAACCCCAGCATCGCTGCTCTTTTCGAACACAAGTCACAAGGCTCCCTAAATGCTCCTCTTGGAGATCACCTTTACGCCCAAGAGTTTCCTTGGAGCTTAAATCACCTGTCAAAGGACCATTTCCTCAACTCCTTTTTCTGAGAAAAGATCGGCATACTCAGATTCGTATTGAACATCCCACCATCTGGATCCATTCGGGACCAAGATCGGGGCCCAGGAGATTCGGAGCATGCCGACAAACCACAAGAGCCCGAAGAGTGCCGTGGGTTTGTGCCTTTTTAGAGGACCCCCCCTCAAAATGGTGGTTTTCCTTTTGGGCTCCTTTCAAAACAGACCAAAAAGGGGTACCTCCAAAAATTTGCCAGACTCATGCAGAGTTCTTGCAGGCCCCAAGTTGACGTGGATTCCAGCAAGGGCGCTTCAACTACCCCGATTCATGGCTTCCGCGAACTGGCTACAAACGTTGCTCACTGTCTTTCGGGCGCTCCTCAAAGCTTATGAATGTATTATCCAGGACGGGGAGGGGAGGGGGGCGCAGTGAATAGGCACCTCTAAAACGGGGTCGGGCACTCCATTTTTTCTTCAATTTGGTGTCCCTGTCAAACACTTAAAACATCGGTTTCTGCAGGCTAGACACCCTCTTGGTTTTTCATCGATCCCAAGATTCCGACAGCGTATTTGTCCACCATTGGGGCCTGTTGGCATACGTGCTGTGACTGTCAGGAGCCTGACCACATCCCTCTGCCACGGGACCCGCCCCTGCAGACAGTGGAGGGCCACTACCTCGTCTCCCAGGCCCGGCCTGTGCCCTCCGTTTTTGGGTTTAAAGGGAAACCAAAAGGACGACTGCCAGTAGTGTCGCCTGCATTTGACACATGCAACCACTTTTGCGTTGAAGCTTTGAAGGGGAACCCAAAGGGGGTTTGGGAGAAGGAGAAAGAGAAAGAGAAGGAGAAAGAGAAAGAGAAAGAGAAGGAGAAAGATAAAGAGAAGGAGAAAGAGAAAGGTTGGCCAAGCCTTGGAGGTAGTGGGCCATAAGAATCGAAGCCTCTGGTTGATTAGGGGGTGCTTGCCCCTGTTGCATAGACTCTTCAATTCTCAATTAACACCATATCAGGAAGTGAGCAAACCGATATGCGTACTTCAATTCCTCGTCGGCAAGGAGAGGGGGTTGGATTTTGGGGCCCTTTCCCTTCGCACACGCCGCGGTTTGGTTCGGTCCGAGTTTGTCGATGTTTCACTCCCTGAGTTGGACTTGAATCACGTTTTCGAAGACCATTGCACTTGGTGGTTCCCAGCCATGCCCTGAGCTTCTTAGTTTTTTTAGTGTTTAGTGGGGATTCCCATTTGACCCATTAAAAGTTGAACTTTTTTGCTGGGATCTGAGGACAGCCCAGTCTAGTGGTAAGCGAGAAGTTTGGTACTTTTTTGGCCCAGGAAGGGAGCCATGGATAGATTTCGCGGGGGGAATGGACGCTCAATTCCCGGCTCTCACTTGCCCATGTCCAATTGGCTGACTTCATGTTTTGACCGCGTTTGGGTGTGCTGTTTGATGGTAAAGTGTTGTTGGTCGTGCTGAACGGAATCCAAAGTAAAGCTTCACTGTTCTTAGCAAGAAGTTGTTTTGTCTTTTTGGTTCTGTACTTTCGCGGGCAGCAAGCAACAGCCATTTGTTTGCTACCATACCAAGGGTTGTGAAGGAAACACTGCCCCGTGTGCAAGAATATGGTCAGGGTTGGTTGCATGGAGCAGAGCCTGGAGCAAGTGAACAGATTTGCCCGTCGTTCGAGCAACGCTGACCAATGTGGCCATGGACTTAGGCGTTGTGTTGGCTTTGTTTTTCTTTGGGGCCACACGGGTATAGTTGTTCTGTTGTTCTGGCGACTTCACAAAGGTGTGCGACAAAGACAGCTGTGAGGAAGTTTCCTTTCTGAAGGGTCCTGCATTCCAGGTTGGTGGATGTGCTTATTTCAACCAGCGTTTGTCAGCTGTTATGTACGTATATATATATATATGATATATGTATGTAATGTAATGTATTGTACTGTACTGTACTGTACGGTAGTGTACTGTACTGCAATGTTAATGTTAATGTTAATGTTAATGTTAATGTTAATTTGATGTAATGTAATGTAGTGTTAATGCATATGTAATGCATATGTAATGTAATGTAATGTAATGTAATGTAATGTAATGTAATGTAATGTAATGTAATGCAATTTGATGTAATGTAATGTAATGTAATGTAATGCAATGTAATGTGATGTGATGTAACGTGATGTGATATAGCGCAATGTAATGTCTTGCAATGTAATGTAATGGAATGGAATGTAATGTAATGTAATGTAAATGTAATGTATGTCGGCGAACTGCCAACTTTACCCGGAGCAGATGGAAAAGTTTCCCAAGGGATGGGGTTGTCGACCTTTTGTATCCTTTGAGTTTGATGCCTTATCCAACCTTCTGTCCTTTGTCTTTTTGGGCGTCCTGTTGGGGCCCAAATCACACCGCCAGGCGCAGCGGGCTCAGAAGCCCAACGCACAGGCATCGCGGCGATGGGCTCAGGAAGCATGGGACCAGAAGGAACAAACCGCAGCGGAAGCACTAAAGATGATGAGTAAGAATAATCACAGGGCATAAGATACATGTTTATATATTCGGAAAATAACTATCGTAACATATCTACATATGTATATAAACATGTTTTAAACGAAGTAGAAGAGCAAACAGCTGGCTTTTATGCGAGGTCTGGAAGCCCAGCCAAGCCGCCAGTTCTGGGGTTTGCCATGCCCAAATGCTCATTTGAGCGCCCGAAACTCCCAGACGGGCCAAAATGTTGTAGGTGGTTCTACTAGCAGATTTCATCAAGGTTATTGAAAGGGCTATTTCAATCTTTTCACCACGTTAAGTCAACAGGTTTTTGGCGCGGCCGTTTTGGGACACGGGGGGCTTATATAATGAAATCCCTTTTTCCATTAGATTTTGATGGCTCTTGTGGCAACATGGTGACTCGTCGGAGGGATTCTGGTGCAACTTGCCAGCTTTGGGTGTTTCTCAAAGGTTCGAACTGGGAAGACGCCAAGAACCGCTCCCTACCGGAAAGGCCTTGTGTTGGTTTAAAGCTTGCTGAACCCAAACTCTTGGGGGCGGTGTCTTTCGGGAGCTGGGTTGCGAATCGGACCGCTGAACATGAGTTCTTCCTTTTGGTTGGTGTTCCATGAACGCGATCTAGTTCACATGGGGCTTTTACGACCGAGTCCTGCCATGAAGCTTTCTTTCATACGGGTCTTCCCACACTTTCTGGCTCGATGAAAATCCTGTTCAGGCCCCTTTTAGGACACGGTTCCCTTGATATGCTATCACTGCGCATTTGAGACACCCCCGGGAGGTTGGCCTCGGTGAGGGCGCGCGGCCCAACCAGAACCCTGTGGCCACATTTGAGGAGGGAGGGACCGGATCGCACTTTGGAGGGATTTCGGTGTGGTTTTCTTTTTCTTATCCCCTTCTTTGGGCAACACAGGGAAACCCACCCATCTGATGTATCATACCCACAACTTACCTGGTTGGTTGGTTGGTTGGTTGGTTGGTTGGTTGGTTGGTTGGTTGGTTGGTTGGTTGGTGGGTGGGTTGGTTGGGTTGGTTGGGTTGGTTGGGTTGGTTGGGTTGGGTTGGGTTGGTTGGGTTGGTTGGGTTGGTTGGGTTGGTTGGGTTGGTTGGGTTGGTTGGGTTGGTTGGGTTGGTTGGGTTGGTTGGGTTGGTTGGGTTGGTTGGTTGGTTGGTTGGTTGGTTGGTTGGTTGGTTGGTTGGTTGGTTGGTTGGTTGGTTGGTTGGTTGGTTGGTTGGTTGGTTGGTTGGTTGGTTGGGTCGGCTGTTAGCATAATCTGGTCAAACAAATCATAATCGTTAGATTTCGGGTTCGGTTGAGTGCGGTTGGTTTGGTTGGTTGGCTGGCTGGCTGGCTGGCTGGTTGTTAGCACAATCTGGTCAAAAGAAGCATAATCGTCAGATTTCTATGAATGGGAGTCCCCTGAAAATGCATTTCAATCCATACAAAGGGTTGGGCCATTTGAAGCCGCTTCACTGGTCATTTGGTTGCGATTTTGTTTGGAAATGCGCAGCCCCTCGACGGTTGCTCGTGTAATGGGTGCTGGGTTCCAGAAGACAAATATGGACCTCCGGACCCGGAACGCACCCTCCCCCGGTTGGCCCATGGGTGCCGCCGCAAAGTGAGCTTGCGGTTGACCATGCCCAAAGGAATGCTAGCAGCGTCTGTTGGTGTTTACTTTCCTTGTTTCGCAGAAGTTGTGGCGAATGGGATTTTGTTGGCTGTAGGAAGGTTCCTCGTTCCTTGTCTTGAGTTCCCCCCCATCCCCTGTTTGAAGCCAGGAGAGCATGTTCTTGCGGATGGAGAAGCTGGACCATCACCTGGTTGCCTACGTTTGGGCCACCAAGACAAGCTTGATGGGTGCTCAAACCACCACCCTCGTGGGGCGCCTTGTTTTGCATGAGATTTGCTGCGGGATGGGGGGTTTGGAGGGTTTGGGAGGTTGGGGGTTCTGGAAAGTCATGTTTGAACCACTCCAGCACATTTCTCTAAGAATGGTCTTCGAGGTGCAACCCTTCTAGAGTGCTTGGGATTTGTTTCGATGAACAAGCTTTTGTCTGGAGAGTCAGGTAGCACACGCCATGCTTCGGAAATTTGGAAGGCGTCTTCATCAGTTGCCCAGTGCACTGTTCCGCGATGTGAACATGACCTCAGGAAGGCTCCCATGGCATTTTTAAATGTGGCCGGTCTGTTTCTGGATGGGTCTTTCTGTAGACCCCCCAAAATGGTTAGTTTCCCTTTGGTTTCCCCTGTACTGCAAAAGTGGTACCCTCAAAACAGGGACCAAAGGAAGACCTAAGGACCCTCTGCATCAGGGTTTCCACTCGTCCATGTCATTGGCTTCGAGCCTGTGACACGCTTCGACTCTTGTGCGCCATCGTAGTGTGGAGCCGCACCTGATCTGCAAATTTGGCCATCATGTAGGCTTTAGTATTTTATACTGGAGAAGATGCCCAGAGACAACAATTTGCAATTTCGGCAACCCTGTTCTCGTATTTGGGAAATCCATCGCGATAGCAGCTTCCTCTGCACGAGCCCCATTTTCACCTTGTTTCCTCATTCTGTCATAGAAGCCCGCCGAATAACAGGAGCAGGACGTGGGCACCAACGTCATTGCTTTGTGAATGTCAGGCTGAAAGCTCCTTCTGGGAGGGTGGAAACGGTCAATTGCGTTCTGCTTTCAATGCTTATTTCACATGTCCGACTTTAATCTGGAGAGCACATTCGCTACCGGTGGGGAATTGGTGTTTCTTCTTTCTGACTTCTAGATTTCCTTTTTGATCTCCAGAAAGCAAACAACACCTACAAAGCACCCCAGCACGAAACACGGCACCCAAGCGCATCGCTGAATTTCTCGTCAGAGCTCCTCCCGCTTTCGGCCTACCGGCTTCCGAAGGCGCGCGCTGGCGCCGCTGCAGGAATTCCAGCTGCAGCGGCGCACCACCACCTGGGGCATCTTCGACATCTTGGAAGGCGCAATCAAACGGGGCGTGGTTTCGGACCCTCCCCCGTTTTAAAGTTGAAAAGAGTTAAAGCTCAAACACTTCGAAGAGAGTTGCGAAGAATACCCGTTTGGGTTCGGTGCAAAGGAAAAACAAAGGGACACCGAAGCGCATGTTGGGGCCATATCTTTGAGTTGGGCCCCCCTCGAGGGAGTTCGAAGGGAAACCGGGCCCCGTTTCGGGGGTTCCAACAAGGAGACTCCAAGAATTCCCGACCGGTTTCCGGTTGCAGCGGAGACTGGGGACTTAATGGAATCATTTGAGGTTGGTCGCCGGAGGGAACATGGCCCCATTGGGGTTTCTGTTTTGAGGCGGGCCATGGGCTCGTAGACTTAGGCCAGTGACGCGGTCTCTCTCTCTCTCTCTCTCTTTCTATCTCTCTCTCTCTCTCTCTCTCTCTTTCTCCTTCTATTCTTTTTCTTGCGGGCCTTGTTCCTGGTTTCAATTGAGGACTTTGATCCTTAGGGGAAATCAGCAGCCAGGACCTTCTCGGCGCCGTCAAACCTTGGGGACTTTCTTGAGCACCAATTTGACCAAGGGATGAGTCAACTTGACGACCGTCGTTTCAAGACATGGACGGCCGGCGCCAGCCGGGGTTGTTCCACTCCTACCATGCGCGGCCATGCAGAGCGTGGTTTGGCCTCAAATGTATTGTTACCGGCCCCTAAAGGATGGGCTTGCAAAGGGTGAAGCTGCCGAGGGTTCGCCCAGCAAACCCATATGCAAACTTCCCGCTGGCTTCCGTTCAGGCCACCGTGTCGCGGAGATGCGGCTGAGGCGGGGTGTGCGCTTTTGAGGCTGGCAGTGCAGAGTCCTCAGCTCTGGATTGGAGTCGGCAGAACTCGGTCAATGGCTCTTGAAAGCTGTGGTAGGGGAGTTGATCCATTTTGCGGGAAACCGGTCTCATGTTGGCTTCAGTGTTGCTTGCATGCATGACCGCACAAGTTGCCCTAGCTTACCAGAGTTTGTTCAGGGTTCATGCTGGTCGCTGGTGCCTCAAAGATTGACGCTAGCTCCGTATTGTTCGAACTTAGCGAGCACATGTTCCCTTGTGACATGTCACATCAAGCTGGTGACATCGGTGTCCTTTTTAGGTTAGGTGGTTCGAAATTAGATTCGTTCCACTGGTTTACTGGTTTGGATTGGCTTGGCTCCATTTGCCAGGTTGCCAGGGAAACCCGTCTATTTTCCAACCAAAGGTCACCTATGACTGGTGACCTATGTCGCCCCTAAAACGTTACGTTTTGGACAACCCAAAACGCGGCTCGCTGCTCCTTTCCGGTCGCAGTTTGACGGGACCGCGAAGCAGCTAGGTATCACGCCTGCACCACGCCAGCGCCGGTCGAGGAGGGTTGACAAGAGCGAGTGACGTTTCGCCATCGGATTCTTGAGGTTTGATCCCATGTAGACATGATATACAATAGATATCTACATATATGTTTGCACTGGTCTTGAACTGTGCTCTCGGGCTGCTGCCTTGTTGTTTTTCCCGTTCGTTGGGTCTGCCAGCCGTTGTCGGAGCTTTGTGAGGACCGAGTGGAAGTGGTGACCCTTGCGGCATCTCCCCGAAAGTTGCCAAAACACAAGTTTGAAATCTCCTTCCATTCAAATGTGGCCAGCAGCGACGGCAAGCTGTCATCTTGGCTTTAATTTGGCTGGATAATGACTTGGAACATTATTTCCCCACCAAACAGAACAAGGTGAGCCTTTTGGCACGGATTGAGCTATCCAGTCATTGGCCAAGCCCAGGCACCCTCAAAGGCGGGTTCCCTCAACAAAAAGAGACACACGCACGCACGTCAGGACATCGCCATGGCGGATGTGAAGCAGACAGAAGTCACTGTGCAATGGTCACCGCCTAGGCCGGGAGTGGTTTTGACTCGTGTTTGAGCCACGCCAGCTCTTTAGGACATGAACGTGGGTGTTAGAACCCCTGAATTTCTAGAATTGTAGTACATGAAGTATGGGCGATCTCCATCTGTGCGTTGCTTCCACTTGATTCGTGACCCGGATCATGATACCATGGGGCCGGCTAGGACCGCGGGAGGGCTCTTGCGCCAGCTCCAGGTATCTTCAGGTCCGTTGGCAGATTTGGTCTCTTTGCAGCATGCCACCTGCCACCTGCCAAGACTCACTTGCCACCTGCCACCCACCTGCCACCCACCTGCCACTCACCTGCCACCTACTTGCCACCCACCTGCCACCCACCTGCCACCCACCTGCCACCCACCTGCCACCCACCTGCCACCTACCTGCCACCCACCTGCCACCCACCTGCCACCCACCTGCCACTTCTTTAAGACCCATTTTTTTGGGTTGAGCCATATCCACGCTTGTGACACAACTTCTGCCTTGAAGCAATCCATCGCGATTTGTGCTTTCTGCGTGTTGTTGTCTGCAAATCCTTGGTTGTGCCGTAAACCTCAAAAGGCTCGGAAGAAACACACGCACACGCATATCAGGGCTTCACTCTTGTTTCCTCAGTTCCGTTCAGCAAGTCACTTAATCGTTGGTTTGGATTTGTGGTTTCGGGTTTGAGCCCATTTCTATTTTAAACGAAGTGGGGAAAGCGCCAAAACCAAACACCCCGAGCCTTGCTTCATGAGCCGTTGTGCCGCGAGGAACGACCACGGAGCGCCGGTGGTGGGCTACAAGATTTCCATTTTGTTGGACCCAAAGCCCTCGGAGCCCCCCGAGTGGTACACTTTGTGCGAGTGCACCAAGTCGCTGAACCCCGTGCGCCTCGGCTTGCCGAGAGGGGGAAGGGAGGCGTCACCAAAACGGGAAAGGAGGAGTTTGTCTTGGCTAAATGATGTCCAAGTGGAATCCGTCTATGCGAAAAGGACGCCTAGGGTCCCAGGGTCTGGTGCGGCCTTGCGCGGAGGGTGCGTTCTGTTTGGCAATCTTCCAAAGCGGCGAGCAGAGAAGGGCAGGGGCAACCATTCTATGACGTTCTCTAAAGTGACCATGAGAACCTGAGATGTTGCGCCAAGATTGCACCAACAACCACAAGAAAGTCCCAAGCCTCAAGCTTGGAAGATATTGCTTTGCATTCGGAAATTGCCTTGGGTCATTGCCAGCGGAACATGCATGCTCGCAGGTGTGCAACCAGAGACCTTTGGACGTCTGCGCTCTTGGCCTCTGGCAATGCACGCATCTCCTCGCTTGGTTCAGCCATGAAGCAAGAGCATTGCTCTCCTGTAAAGCAACATGGACCTGCCAACACCATCCAGTTGTAGAGGAATCTCCTTTTAGGATCAGACCCGTGTTCCATGATTTCCATGTAAACATGAGGGAAACAACCGGACAGCTATTCTGTTTGTTTGGAATGGTTGAGCTGGGCGAGGAATGAAACACACATTTATGAGACCTTACAAACAAGGAACCACTCTTTTAGCAAGCTCAACAAGCAACTCAGGCATCAAGAACAAGCTGATCTAACATCCAAGGCTCAACAACAAGAAGCATCTAGGGAATGCGTTTCCGCACAACTTATCTGCCTTTCCATGGCACAAAGTGGGCGTGTCCTTTTGCGAGGGTACCCCTTTTGCGTTGGTTTTCAAGGGCAACCAAAAGTACACCCCACCTGTTATTACCCATTTTGGGGGTCCAACTCCTAAAGGAACAGAGCGACACCCAGTACAACTCGACGACTCGGCGGCTGAGGTATGTGGTGGCCAACCTTAAGGGTAACACCGCGTATCTGCTGGACATCCGGGCCTTGAACAAGGTGGGCCTGGGTGATCCCAACGAGTTCCAGCCTGGGCCGCAGAATGAGAGAAGCAGAGGGTTGCGGGCTTGAAAAGCCTTTTCTTTTTTTTGGGGTGGGGTGCGGGGCTAATCTTGAGGCGAACCCACTTGAAAAACGAGAATCAACTAAGCAACCTTATCACAGAGAGGGGTTTCTGGTTCACGACCGTAGCAGATGGGAAGATGTTGAAATGATGCTCTAGCAAATTCCCACTTACAGCGACTTGGAGAGCTCTCAAAGCCCTAAATACTGCAACGTGCCCAGAATGCCGGAGAGCAGGTGGCTTGTTTGACATTTGAACCCGTCGAATCTTGAACCATTGCAAGTGGGCAACCTGGAATATGGGTGTGTCAGTCCTCTTTTGGGGAGCCAGCAAACTGGAGGTTTTCCAGTGGTCTCTTTTTAAACCAATCCCAAAAAGGGTGCCCGTCTAAAAAAAGACACACCCATATGGAAGAGAAGAGTCCCTTCCTGAAAGCAAACTAAGGGCAGGTGATAAAGCTAGAGGCTCGAGTGACGGGGTTTTCAAACGGAAACCTAACTACAACTTGCTCGTCGCAGCGAATGTAGAGAGGTCCGCCATGAAAAGTCACAAGGGGTGAACATGTGCTTGAATCCTTGCTTTTTCGATGCTCGATGTTACAAGGGTGCAACTCGTTTTGCACAATGGGAGGGCCCCCGCGCAACCATGTGGTTTTGTCTCCTCAACCTCCCCACCCTCGAAATGCCGAAATGCGTGATTTGTTGTTTGGTTTCTTTCAACCCTCAGCCGGGGAGTTTTAATGCTACAACGGCACGCATGACTTGACGTAGTGTTTTTTCCTTGGCAATGAAAAGAGTCTTCTCAAGCACGGAATGAAAGGATCAGCATAAAGAGTCGGAGAGTCTTCTCAAGGGGCACGGACTGAAAGGCTCGGTTTGAAGAGGCTGTCGGGGTTTCCCGACTTTTTGGTTTCACTTTGGTTTACCTCTTTCCCTGTCGTATTCCCGAGGATCACCACTGCGCCGGTGGCGCCGGACGCACCTGGCAAGCCCTGGGTGGAGGAGCGGAGCTGGCAGAAGCGAAATCTCAGTGATGTGGCGTGCTGATTTTGGAGGGTAGCCTTCTCAACTTGGTTTTATTGGAGATCAAAAAATAGAACCATTCTGAGGATCCTCCTATCTTGACACATCAACACCAATCTCCCCACCAAAACCAGGAGACTCACAACAAAAACATACCCTCTCAAGGAAACTTCATTCGCAATAGAGGCTTACGAACTTCCGTAGTACGGCACGAATTGACAGATGACAAGAGAAGAATTCGCACGCGCGAAGGAATGCGTGCGCGTGAGGCGGGCGAGCTGAAATGTTTGCAAAGTGCCACCTTCTGCAGGTTTCGGTCCTTGGGATTGGCGGGTGGTCGGGAGGCTTTCGGGAGGTGGTCAGAGGTGGTTGGAAGGTTGGTCGGAAATTGGTTGGCGGTGGCGTTTTGAGGTTGCAGCCTGGCACTAAAGGTGTGGTGCTGTTCGAGCTTGCGGTAGCCTAAGGTGTTTCCATATGTGGGTCATGTAGTTCCCCGCGTCAAGTGTGCTTTAAGCATGCTTGAAAGTCTATCTGATTAGCAGGCGGCCATTGGAAATCTAACAGAGAGCGCGCGAGAGAGAGAGGGAGAGAGAGACAGGAAGGGAGGGAGAGAGAGAGAGAGGGAGAGAGAGAGAAAGCGAGGGCAATAGTTCTTAAAAATCAAAACTTCCGCCTCCCGCTTGGCCAGCTCTGCTGGTATTTCAAGCTTCACTAAATATGCACCAGAAGAACCGCAGCACAAGTGGCCCTCCCAAGAAGCATGGAAGTGCAGTTCTTGCGTACTTCCATGTCGGGAGCCTCTAAAGTGGTTGGATGCGCAAATCTTGTCCACCTTCCCAGGAACCCTTCCCCCTGGACACTGATCGTGGGAAAGGCGAACGAACTGGGTCAAAAGGTCGATTTTCTCTTGGCACAACTTGCTTGAACGACCCTTGTTCACCTCGCGCGGCCTTCAAGGGTGGTTCAAAGAGGGTGCAAAATGGTGAAAGGAACCCAAACAACCCTCATTACAGAGCGTTCTTTTTGGATAGCCCTAGCCTGGCTTAAATGGCATGAAATTTGAGGTGCATCATTGGGTGCTTGCGAATATGCCAACATTCTCCAACTCACGGCTGCTGAATTTCATAGGTCTGAGCACGTTTCAAGGCATAGGAGGGCCCCCCCTCCAGTGGTCCCTCTGGCCAGCTGTGATGTTGGGCACAGGAATCTCGCGACGGGTGCCTGAACGTGGCCTGGCTGTCGCCGGAAAATGACGGCGGGCGCCTGGGATGCAAGCGGCGCAAGGGGGCGCGTAGAAGCTGACTGCAGCCTCTGTGCAGTGGTCGCAGGTTCCAGGGGTTGGGCTAAACAGGGGTGTAAAGTTTAAAGCCAACCATTCACAGGGTACACCACCCCTTTCAGGCCTCTTAGGTCTTACGTGCTCTTTGATTCTTGATGGGGGAGGAGTCAAAATGTCCCAATCTGCCAATACCAACAGAGGACACCTGTGGGCGTGTGCCTGGAACGCGCATGTGTGTGTGTGTGTGTTGGTTGTCTCACTTGCCAACAAGAAGCAACATTGTTTTGCGCAGGGGGCAATAGTCCGCGTTTTGCAACTTGGGTCCGCGGCGCCGGCATAGTCTCGGCCCTCAGGATGCCGATCACGGCCTTCAGGCGGGACGCGGACAACACTTGGACCCAGCGCAATGTGTTCAGCGGATTTCACCGTTTTTCCCTTGGTGTTTGGGGGCTCTCCAGAAAAAGGGTCAAATCACTGGCATGGCAAGTGGGCTATGAGCATGAGAAGTGAGGTAGCAAGGGCTTTGCCTTGCAACCATGGTTATAGCCTCAAGTATGTTGAGCATCCAAGAATGGTGCTACAGTCTGGTGTCCTACAATCCAGGGCTCCTTTGGTTTGTGTTTTTCTTGGGTGTGGGGTGGGGTGGGTTGGGGTGGGGTGGGGTGGGGTGGGGTGGGGTGGGGCGGGTTGTTTGGGCCAATTCCTGAAACGCATGTCCGCAAAATGGGACGACCGCAAAGCACTCACCAATCAGGGGTTTCCAGCTTAGGTCCCTGTGCCGGAGTCAACACGACTGCAGCACCTTAAGAGGATTTCCTTTGGCTCCGAGCATTTGTCCGAAGCCAGGCTTTTGGCAAAGTTTGACCCGTGTTGGCGCTCCTTAACCCCAAATGGCGTGACTTCGGGTCCCCCAAAGGGCTGAAGTCTTTTGTCAGCTCCTCCTTTTGTATTTTGTAGGCGAGCTCGCCGACCGTTACGAGCTCAGCCAAGGGAATCCCTTGAGTCACGTAAGTGAATTGCAGTAGTTGGTGCAAATGGATGCCCCGTTCCATTTGGTTTGCAATGTTTCTTCCTGGGCCACAAACTCCATCATGCTTTGTCGCTCAGTGGTGCGGCCACGAACATACCTGCACTCAGACATGGTGTTGACATGTTTGAGGACCGCTCTGGGTTTAGTCTGCTTGCAGCAATCGCCGGTGACTTTCGCCACCATGGCTATGTCTTGGTCATGACTCAGCCCAAGCCACTTAAACCTCCACAAAGGCGGCAAGTTGGTCAAGCACGTGGCCGCCCGTTTTTGGTTTTTTTAGGTGACCTTTTTTTTCCTTCTCAGGATCCGCATGCGGAAGATTCTTGGGGCCTCGCGGTGGAACGTCTTCGGGCCGGGGCAGTCGGCTGCCAGCTGGGTCGAGATGGGCTCCGTGAAGGCTGGCGGAGGCGCCAACAGGGTCAGAAGGGGGTCTTTGACTGGTGGTTGGCGACCGAAAACCCATGAAGTGTCTGTCTGTGTGTGTGTTTTTCTTTTAGGGGGGTCCCCGATTTTGGCAGTGAATTAGTGTTTCTCACCCAGATGGTTCTGTGATGTAGACGTTACTTGGCCAACAGGGAATCCCCTGAATAAAGTGATAACCTTGTCATGGGAATCAGCCATCACAAGGGCATCACGGACAGGGGTGGCCAGCAGTCTGTTAAGGGATCTTCTTTTCACTGCGAAGACCCAGGCCACCGCGGTTGCTCAAAGCAGAATGGCTGCAAAGAACGGACATGAGATCAACCTTTCGAAAATGAGGAAGCCCGTGATTGAAAAAAAGTGAAACCAAAAGGAGACCAACCAAACAGATCTCGCATTGTGCGAATCAAGAAACGGAAGATCAGTGGTTTCATGTGGCCACTTTGTGTAGCGAAAGAAATACCCTAAACAAAGCAATACATCAGTGCCAGTGATGTGGGGAATCAGCCACAGGAACCAACGAAATGGATGGGATGGGGGGGTTTGCGGGTCAATCAGGTTTGGTTTTGGCTCACCAAACAAACGAGGCCCCGTCTCTTGGGTCCCCAACCACTGACGGTCTTTGTGCTAGTTTGATTTCTTTGGGTGGCTTGGGGGCTCCTTTTCAGTGGACCTTCGTGAAACACCCCCAAAAGTGCAGGCTCACGCTAGCAGAACAGAAAGGCCTGATGGATGGATTCCACTGGGTGTGTCATCTGCAGAGGGTGCAAACCAAGGGGTATGTGTTGGGGGATTGGGGCCATGGCCACCACTTTCCTTCGGTCCAACTCTATAGCCAACCCAAAGTGGCAGTTGTAGACACCTGTTTGCGTTTTCAAGCTTTGCCACCCCTCATTTTCAATGCTGATGATGCTGGTGATGCAGGGTCCGCATCCCCTGCATCCCCGGCATCCTCAGCATCATCCACATTGAAACACGATCCATCCTCAGCCTCCCGCATCACAGCTGCATCCATAGCACTGTAATCTTTGCATCACCAAATCCACGCCTGTCGTTTTTTTTGGGCTGCTCCCCCTCCCAAATGCACAGGTGTTGGGAGCCCCTCTACTAGCTGCTCCTTCCTCCCAAACAACATGCCTTTTCTTTTGAGAGCTGCCCCTCCCTCCCCTCCCATACACAAAAAAAAAGGAGCCCCCCTAGCATACCTGCGATAGTAAATATGCCATCGGTTGGGATAACAAATTGAAAAAAAAATCCTTACCCTTCCCTTTACTTCAACTCTGACATCTAAGACCTGTTGTCTCTCCTTTCTAAGGCCATCAATTTGTGGGACCCCTCGGTTCGAAGCATTTCCCTGGGTTAAAACAAAAAACAAACACCAGGATTAATGCCGTGCTTTTTTGGCGCCCTGTGTACCATGCTCTTGCAGCCATTGGCACCTTTTTTAGCACGCACCATGCAAATACCCCGGACCCTATGCCTGAACCAGACTTTCATAATCCGCCCCAAGGTCCCCCTCCTAGTAACTGGTCACCAATTATCTGCACCCCAGTCTTTACAGGCTGGATGTCTGCATCCGTGTGGAGTGCATCATATAACCAGATGCTCATTGATTGGGCACAAAAACTTTTGTGGCCCCCTGACACAGATCCAGCTGCAAAAGCTAAAGTTTCTCGGGCCGAGATCCTTGTTTCCTTTCGCTTGGATACCCCAGTGCCCGATCCCTATCCCCTGCAGTGTGCATAAGGGTACCTATATCACCGAAGGTATCCACTACACCCCCGTACTTGGTGTCAAATCTCTTGGGGACGAAGTGACAGCCTTCGCTGACAGCCTACGTACCCTTTCCTCCATAACAGGAGCCACAATAGTTCCTTGGGACAAAACCAATAAGATAAAACTTGTACGACTTGAGACAAGACCACACTTTCCACACCAGGATCGGGTTTCATCCCTCCTGACGGATTACTTGACATCTGCCAACGGCACCATCTCATTTGCATGTACCCTCAACCTTCCAACCTCTCCTCCTCCTCTTTTGCCTCATGATGCACTCCTCTGCCGCAACGGCTTAATTTGGGCCTCCATGTGTCTCCGGACACAATTGTCCTGGAACCATGCGTAGTTCTGTTCAGGTTTGGTAGCTTCAATGCGATCGCACGGTTTCGTCTCACTTCTTGTCCCCTGGATCATAGCTCGGCTTAGTCCAGCTATGTTTTCGCACGTGGCGATTGAGAGAGCATACCTGCGAATGTTTGCATCACCAAAACCATGCCTGCTGTTTTTTTGGGAGCCGCTCCTGTTTCTCTTGGGAGCCACCCCGCCCTCCCAACAGCACAGATTTTGGGAGCCTCTCTGGCATGATGGGTCCTCGGGCTTTGATCAAGAGCTGCCTCGAGTTTGGTTCTCCCAGGTTCTCGAAAGCTAGTTTCCCTTCACCAAAAGCTAGTTTCTACCCTTCGAACGGACACTAGCGCCTCGTTTCGCGACCCATCGCTTCCTTACCCGTCGCTCGCGGGTCAGCGCTGCAGATGGGGGCATGTACAATGCCTGGGTGGGGCCGTTGGAAATGGCGGCCTGTCAGTACTGCTTTCAGCGGCTCGGCGCGACACGAAAAACGTGGCGATGGGCAAAGGGGGCGATGGTTGGCGTGTGGTTGGGGCGGTTGGGGCGGTTGGAAGGCAATATGTTCAGATGATCCAATATGGGGCATGTTGTTTTGTGTTTTGGTGGATGTATGTGAAGATACGTCGTCGCCATTGGACGCTGATATTTGCCTTTTCTTGGCTGTTATTGTGTGGGACCGTTATGGTGCTTATTGGGGTAGATTACTTTTCCACAGGTTGGCCCCCTTTACCTGCTGTGAGGGTTCTCAAGGGGATCGGAAACAAGCACAGGGGGTTGATCAACATTCCTGGCCCCAAATGACCATTGGTAACTTTTTCCGTTTTGTGGGACATAGCAGCTTTTCAGTGGTTGTTCCCAATGGCCATTGTATGTAAAGGACCTTTTGATCAGCCCCCGCATGATGCATGCAACAAACAGCTGAACGACGCACTTGATCTGGCAACGTGTAAGCCCCGAAAAGGGCACCAGAAGGGTTTCACGACATCTTGAGCCGCCTTCAGCATCGTCCTTCCGCGAGCCTTGAATCAAACCCGCTATCCCAATCCATTGACCCACCCAACACCAAAGCCGAAACCAAAACCCAAACTAGCCCGAATCAACCGTCAACCAACGCGTACTAAGCCAACCAGATTCAAATGCCTTGGCCCGCCCTCCTACAGCCTGCAAATAAGCGTAGCACCTGGTAGCGCGACTCCAGGTGATGCATGTACAGTTTGAGGTGTAGGTATAGCTCTAAGAGGGTTTGCACTGCCCCAAACCAGTACTCATCATACAAGGGGTCTACACCAGCCTTTTGGATCAAAGGCTGAATACACGAACCTGCAATAGCAAAAGCCCTTTGCTTATGGACCGCTTTGAGGATCACGGCGCTGAACAAACTGGGCGAAGGGAAGGCACGCACCCGCGGACAAGAGGGGGTGAATTGGATCCACAAACCCACTTGAATCTGAGCAAATCAGAATGACCTCACCAGGGGTTTGCAAACTCGGCCCCAGTGACGAGATTTCATTTCCTTCATATCATTCGCCCAAATGCAAGTTCTCACGTATTCAAAGGTTTCGGTTTGCCTTCACTGCAGAAAGGGGAAGTGGGATTTTGAGTCGAAAGGGGCAGACAGCTGAATGTCAAGTTCATTCAAATGGGATTTGGTGTGTTGGTTAGATTGAAAGTTTTCTTGGACCACCCAGAGGGCTGTCTGGGGGGCTATCCCTGGAGCCCCCCAAGAACGACTGTAGCATCGGCTCCTCCATGTGTGACCGCGACCGAAGTGCAATGAAGCATTTGTCTCCTTCCATGCTGTGGGGAGGGAGGCTGGAGCAATAGACAGGGCGCCCCATACTTTTACTTTCGTCCCGCGTGGATTCGGCAGTGACCCAGAGATGGTGACTGCTCTCACGCAACACGCAACCAGCCTCTCGAAGAACGCTTGTTCACGAGATGTGCTTGACGCATCATACATTTTAATCATGCAGTACAATCCCTCCAGTCATAACTCACGCAGCGATCCCTTGTAACGTTTCCTTCACATTTTCAGTGGTCCCAAGCGCACCGCCTCGCAAAGAAGCCTCCTTGTTCGTGGGGGTGCCAGAATTTGTCCAACCCCCGTATATCTTGGTACACTTGGATCTTAAATGCAAGCCAATAAGTCAGCAAGCCATTGGAACTCCTGGGCTTCTAGCTCATTCACCACTGGCAATGTTTCGGGAATCCACCATACCGTAGGAGTGGGTGTCCAATGCTTTAAGAGGTGAGCATGTGAAGTAGATGCTCTATCTCTAATCGAGGCAACTCCTTCTGTCATGAAAGGTGACATCACGTTTCACCTATTTCGTCGTTCGGGCTGGCATGGAGGTTGGTGGGCCCAAGAATTGGTTCTAGACCACAAAGGTCTCAACTCCCCCAGCCCATCAACTAAAGGCCCTCTCATGAGCGGTGACAGGCATTCGCTGGAGATCAAATTGGAACATCATTGACAGTGCATGTCTGTGCTTTCTGCCAAAAACTGTCAATGAGGCTCTGACTTGGTTCAGGTTGTCCATTGAGCGCTGGTGGGTCTTTATGCATGATGCATAGAACAAAGAACCAATGTTAATGTAAAATTGCTTTCCCGCCTCCGAAGCAGACATTGAACAAATACCATGCTTGACACGATTGACTCCTGTGGGAGTTGCCTCATTCAACCAACTCGTTTAGCTACTTTTTCAACTAGTAGTTAGCCATCCCCTCAAGTCCGTCGTACAGGTATCAGCATAACCAGCTGATTGAATGTTTGACACCAGCATTTTTCGCAATTCACGGAAACCCTTTTTCGAAGAGCATCACATCCAAAGTGGCCCACGCTCCTGACCGAACCTCTTGTATTGTGGGACAATGCAGCACTGGCTGAACCCCCCCCCCCCCAAATCGCCGAGGCTCCAATGGGTCCTCGCGCCCATGGCTTAGGGAAGCCATGGACTGCATCCGAAACGGCCCAAGCTTAGATTCACCCGCACGCCAGGCCTCCGACCTGAGCGAGCCCTTCTACACCTGATGCCATCGATGCCATCGATGCGATCTTTGCGATGGATGCGCGATCGGCAACGGGGGTTCCGCCACGGAGCCGATGATTTCCTGAGAGAAAGTGGCGAATTTCGGAGGGGGGGAATTTCACCGTTTTTTTTTTTTTTTTTCTCCCGGGGAGTTCGAGCCAGATGCCATGAACACTTTTTGTTCTTTTCTTTTTCACCTTGTGGCTGCACTGGACAAATGAAACGAAACTGGGACTGCAGCCCCCTGACGTTTTGCAGGGGCCAAAGGTTCATGCGGCTTTGTATTTCAATGCTTGAACAGCCGGCATGAAGCCCATGTGAATTATGTTTCAAAGGGGTCCCTCAATTTGACGGTCATAGCGATGCGAAGGCAATCTGAATCCATTTTTGTACTGCCAGTTGGAATCAAAGGGACATGGTCACCGGAACATGCTTTTCAATGGCACCTTTAGCAAGCTGAAGCTGGTCTTTGCTCTTTTTGCTCTTACTGCCTATGAACTCACGATGGAAGCCACTTGGAGTGGTAGACTGCACGTGGAATTCGGGTAATTACAGCGCCTCAGCGCCGAGTTCACCGCAGGGTGGCGAGCTGCAAGAGTTGAGTTTGGTTTGCAATCCCTGCGTTTGGGAGGCTCTCCTTGCGGAGTCTCTTCAACCTTTGCAACTTATGTTTGGATCTGAACCGAACACAAGGGGTTCATGGGGTTGGACACAAATATGGGGTCGCCAATGGCTTTCCTTGGGCGTACGTCAAAGGCATCAGCCTTTGCCACCTGACAATCAATGCGGAGAAATTAGGGGTTTGTTAGGCTCGTTTCTACCTGGGCGCGTCCCGAATAATTGGGGGGATCCTGGAAAATGATGGCTTTTGATTTCCCTTTTATGCCGTCCATGGTTTTGAGACCCACACTGAAACTCCCAATGTGGCAAGCTTGATTGACCGCGCCACCAGAGTGTTGCACGTTGTGGAAGTAACGATATATCACATAGACAAAGTTGGGCATCGCCAAAATGGCTGGTAAGCGTCATTCTCGTGGACACCCAGCGAGGGGGGCACATAGATACAGAAATTGTTCTAAAATTGCAAGTACCATACCTACTCCTGAGAGGATTGGTGGTATTTGCAGGCACATGCAGCTCGTCATGGGTATGATTCCAAAGAGCTGCCACTCAGTGTGCGGACATCATGTCAACCACACGTGGCCCTCCTGCTATCATGCGAATATTTCAATTCCTGCTTTTTTCACTTAGGCTCTTACAAACCAACACAGACCCGAAAAGCGGTCCCCCAAAAGGCGATCCCTTGATAAAAAAATATTGTTTTCTGAATCCATGTTGCCGTGCAGGAGTGTAACAAGTGGAAGCTACAGTCGTTTCTGGCTCTCAAAGACAGAGCTTGCCGTGGCTCCCAGGATTCCAGCCGGAGTCGCAAGTCCCACTCGGACCAGATGTGAAAATGGTGAGGTCGAGTGAGATGGTCTAACGCATCTCTGTGATACCAACTGTAAACAAACACACAATTTCATTGGCATCTATGACATAACGTGTCTTTACGAACTAGGGAGGGTTGTTGGGGCGGGTCCGGGCAGTGGCTCGATGTCTGTTTCCTTCCATTGCCACCTTTTTGGTTGGGAGCAGCCTGAAAGACATTTTGTTGCCGCTAGGGGCTGCGAAGAGAGGGGTCACAATTCCCACCTATATTGCAGAATAAGAACCGTGCAGAACTTGTGGCTAGAAGCAGACCTGGCCATGAGCCATCTACCCAGCCTGCACTGGTGGTTCGTGGTTCCCAAGAAATCCAACCTGCAAGCAGTAAACATCAAAGGAGCCACACTTAAGGAAGCGGATATGTGATGTTTGAAACCGCAACAAGGGGGAAGTTGGGAAATCCTTCGGACCGGAGCCTGGGTCGTGGGCACCTCATTTGGCCGCAAGGCCTTTGCTAACGTTAGGATCCGTGTGTATTGAGGAGGACAAAATGCCGGAAGTGGTGCGCTCATCGATAGGCTGCTAGAGGTTGCCAGGTTGGTGGAGGTTAGGTGGCTGGAGGCAGGGTTGGCGGAGCCTTGCAGCTTGGTGGCAGCTTGGTTTCACTCTGGAAGCTCTGCCCCTCCAGCAGCATTGCAAGCAGATAGGCCACCTCTGGAAAGCTGATATCCCCGCACCTGGGGTTGAGGGGGAACAAACATGAGCTTCTTGTTGATCAGTATGGTGATTTCCCATGTTGGTGTGCATTCTTCGGTTTCCTTAACACCCTGGAACACCCTCCCTCTGAATAGGACGGTGTTATGAATCCAGGTTTTAAGTGCACATCTCAGGGGTCTTATTCTCCGCCCATCCCAGCTGAGAACGCAAGGTAGGGAGGATTCTTGAGGGTGTTTCAGTGTCTCGTAAATCAAAAGGAAGCTAATCAATTCTTGGGGTGCTCTATTTTTGGAAAGACCAAAGTGGACGGCTTCTAATGTGCATAGTTTTTCCAGCTGCGGCTCCAATAAATTGGGTTTGCCCACTTAGCCAAATGTGCAAGTTGCCGTCTCATCCACGTCTAGTAGAGGGGGCTCTCAAAGTGGGCGGGTGCCTTTGCATTTCCTTCAGGAACCACCACATCTTGCAGGTAGGTGAGGTCACTTGGAACCTATCTGGGCACATTTTCGCGATCTCACGTTTTTTTTTCCATGAATTACACATTTGGCCATGAATTTTCATGCGGAACACCCTCCGGAAGATTTGGTGGACAGAACTCTCTCCAGCAACGTGTCCCCGAGTAAAACGTGCCATGCTCCCGAGGTCTGAACTTTGATCCGCAGTACCTGGTGAACATGAAGGCCGGGCCTGCCACTTCCAACCGTGGAGGGTATTGGCAAGGCTGGGCCAGCCCCTTTTTAAAGCATGTTTAGACTCGTTTAGACATCTTATCGTGATTTGAACCTTTGGTGTCTCTTCAAAGGGAGCCAGAGTCAGGTTCTTTCAACACATTTTTTACCCACCCCTGGTTTGTGCTGTTCTTTCTCGCTTCGCTTGAACCGTTTGTTAGGACGACACCCGCTGGCTCTGCGAGAGTCCGCTCGCCGAGTTCCTGCGCTTCTCGGAGAAGTCGGACCCCTTTTTCGTGGCGGCTCGGCCGTTCTGAAAGTGCAATGGCTTCTATCGGCGAGCGGTGGATGTTTCCGTTGGTTTGGTGGTTGGGGGTGGTTCCCAGATAAACCCTCTACAAGAACCAAAGGTTCAAATCCCCAAACCACCAATGCAAACCACCAGCTAGGCTACCTGAAAACCAGCAACATGCAAATAGCCCAACCCCCTTTGCTTTGTGGTATGCTGGCCCGTCGGGCTTTCTTAATCTTGCAGGTCTCCGGCATGTCCTTGCCCAACATCTGGCGAGCGCACCCATCGGTGGTAAAGTGTGCTTCACCCACGCTGACGATCCCTTGCTTGCGATTCCTTGCTTGAGGATTCCCGGGTTCATGGATTTTGAGTTGTAGTAAGGCTCTCAGAATTGTAACGAGCTGACATTGGGTTAAACCCAAACGCATGCAACTTGAAGGACTCCCTGTAAATGCCGGATCAGGTGGCAATCGGTGGCACCGGCATGCATACACATCATGCATGTGCATCACCGCTTGAAATTACGCGCTCTCTGGCTAACTAGAGCGCTAGATGGTGTTTAAGTTGACGGCCGCAGATCTGATGCAACTCGGAAGTCTTCCGTCTCCTGGCTCCCAGGATCAGGGTCCCAGATTCCCAGGGTCACCTGGCACCAGCACTCCACGTTGGACACGGGCTCCCCAGGCCCCCCCCATCAAGACCGGGCGCAGAGCACAGAGCGACGGAGCACCAGAGTGGGCGGTGGACGCTTCACGGACCGGAGATGTTTGACACGAGCGTTGCCATGAAGAAGATGACTCCTCGAGGTACGGGAGCACGAGCTGGAGGAAATGACGCGTTAGACCGACGGCCAAAGCTGGAGAAGTTGGCGAAGACGGCATGCCGGCCTAGTCTCAACCTCCCCAATCTCTTTCCTGTAGCACATTGGAAAGGCATTGGACAATGGCACGAATGGCATGATGTATGGGGTATGGGGTCATGTGGCAAACTGCCTCCCTTCTGCAGAAAAAATCTGGAATGACATGACGACATTGAAAGGGTTGTGTGTAACATTCATGCTTTAAGCGTTTTGGAAACAAGCTTGCGGGGTCATGGCGATCCGGTGCGAAATGCTAGGACATGCACTGACTTCCACTCAAACAAAAGCTGAAGCTTGAGCATAGACTCTCAGTCAGTGAAGTCTGACTCAGAGAAAATGGCTGAATGCCCGCCTGTCTGGATTCTCGATCAAAGGAAGGTTAAGTTTTTAGGCACGCCAATCATGATTTCTACAATACCAGAATCTATGCATCACAGACATGATGAATTAAACTACCGGAATGGAATACGTCGCGCCAAACCATTACATTGTTTCTTACACTTGACCATAATCTAGCCATCGGAGGGTTCTTTGTTGAAAGAGAGACCATATCTGGCTTTGTCTCAAAATAGAAAGTGGACCCTCCAAATTTGGTGGATTTTCCTTTTGTTCCCCTTGAAAAACCATTAAACACCACCGAACAAGGCGCACCCTCTAAAGGACCCTCCCCCAAACCCGCGCTGGGCCTTGGCTTTCGACCGAGGTGCCTTCGAGCCGCGAGCCGGCGCGGACGGGCAACGCCATGACGCAGACCCTGCAGGTGGGTGGGAAAAAAAGGGGATCGCTGGACTAAGAACTGTGTGTATCTTTTTGCAGGGTTCCCTTTGGGTTGGTTTAAGGGGAGCAGGAAAAGCCGTTCAGCCATGTGCGGTGCCTGCAATCTGTGTCAACCAAAGACCCGTGGCTTGCTCCACGGGCTGCTGCCAATGGGTCAAGAGGAGTCAAAACATCAAGGGGAGTTTGCGACTTATGGCTCCGTTTTTTGAGTCCTTTGTTTCAGGATGTGAATGAGTGTTTTTTGATTCACTTGGGGTGCCTAGTTGAGAGATCACCCACTTGCCTGGCGGACCAGTTTTGTCCGACCTCACCTAGGTATTTGCTGTTCGTCCAGCCCGGAAACCTTGCTGCTTTTCCTGCGGCTTCGCTTGACGGCCTTGGGACCCTTTTGTCAGAACCTAAGCTTGGGCCCACGCTGTCCAACAAGAGGTAGCTTTTGGAAACCACCATGAACAGCCATTGGCCAAAGGCTTTAAGGGAAACCAAAAGGGTTGGCCACCCATCCTGTTTTTGATGACTCGTGGAAGTGAGCAAGGGTCCATGTTTGAGTCCAGAACCCTCCTGGGAGAAATGGAATGACCCCACTAAACCATCCTCTATGGTTTCCTTTCGGAGAATTCCCTACTACTGAGCGCCAGCAAGTTGTACTGGTGCCTTCTGGGGTAGACTTAGGATACATTTTACATTTTGCCAGTGGCTCAAAGTGAAGCAAACAATAAAATATATCTGATTCACTGGGCCTAACAATGACTGGAGATTAACCAGTGATGCGTTCTTATAAAATAACCAACATATACATTCTATAACTGGGCCTAACTCTACTCGTGCCGTGTTTCTTTGGTTTCCCCAGGCGAAGCTCAAGGGCCCGGTCATGCTGCCGCTGCAGAGCGCGCTGCTGCGGAGGAGCCGGTGACCGGGTTGGCGTGGTGTTTTGCACGTGGCTGTGGCTCAAAAAATGGGATCCCCAGCACTGGCACCTTGGTATATGGAACAATGACTAAGACCTGCGTAAGCTGCAGCTGTTTGATTTTCGGGCCACACCCCGTGTGAGTCAATATTTTGTGCCATCTGCTGTCAAGGGGATGACAATTGGTACACCCCACTATCCAATGTTTTCGGGGGACACTATGAAGATTGACTGCGGCTGTCCCATCACAAGATCTGGAGAGCCAAGCTAGCACAGCTCGAGATGCCACACTGGGGCCTGCGTTATATTTCATTCTTGTCAGCGCGTACAGTGTATGCATGTTCGAAATGAGCGGCTAGTGGGGCTACAGACAATTCTGAGTCACAGAGTCTTGATGGGCAAGCAGCTGTGGGAGAGACGTCATCATATGCGGCGGCGTGGGGTGTTTGCTGCCTTTTGCCCAGGATACGCAAGGCAGAGCTGGTGATCATGAAAGAGTCTATGCAGGCGGGCTGGTTGCTGATGGGGGTACTGGGTGCATTCAATATGCTTCTTGATGCTCTTTTGCAATCCCTTTAAAATAGAAATTCTACATTCCTGCTAAAACTCCGCTTCAGCTCATTTTGTTGAGGGCAGTCGCATTCTAGATGAGGGTACGCAGTTCGTCTCAAGGGAGTACAATACAAAGGCAGCCACACATTAGGCGTCGCGTTTTTCCGAGCTTCCACCCATGGAAAACACTTGCGATCCATCCTGCAGCTAAGTGGTGAAGCCTTTTGCCATCTAAAGCTGTAGGATCTGGGACAGGATGAACAGTGTCCCGCGCTCTAGGAGCGCGTCTGTTCTCACGGCTATCCAGCGAATTGACCAGGCCGATTTGGTCAACGGTTGATTTTGCAGAAGGACATCCGCTGTCATCACGTGATGCAAGAACATCATGAAATACCTTCCCTCCCACCAACGTGGCACTTTACAGGGGGGCCCTTCAAGAGAAAGTTGGTCTTCCAGGTACCCTCCCGCAGGTGCCATGCCAGCAAGAGGGAGGGTACACAGGGTACACATACACAAGGAATCGCCCACGGGCAGTGTTGTGAATCAAGCAATGTCGCCTGACAATGCTTCTGGCTTGCCAAGGTCGGCCTTTCCCAGCGGACAAGGTTGCCCTACACTTGGGAACTCACAGCATGGCTTATGAAGCCAGCCCAAAAACGGGTACTGTACCCTCAGAAAGACATCCATATGTTCGGATTACCTCAGTACATGTGCTTGATTGGGTGGACATGAATTTGATCATTGGCACTACTGGTGAACGAGACCATGTTGACTCGGAGAAAGTGAGGGCCAAGCTGAGCATTGCTGTTCGCAGCATTTTGCTCTGGAAGGTTTGACTTCCGAGTGGAAAGGATCGCTGAGATATGACCCAAGATCCCGTTGAATTAAAGCTTGGGCAAGAAGATGGTCAACACTTCCATTGTTCAAACTAGCACACTTATGGTCATTACCTTCTGAAGATTTCAGACAGCCAATGCAAAGGTTCGTATATAGCAAAGGTTCGTATTTAGAAACCCATGGACCTGACGCTATGGACAACTAGTTTGGACATGGGTCACCCAAGGATACGCCTTCTGGGAGCACCCTCCGGGAGACTTCACCGTGGCACAACTTGTTTGAAGTGGGTATGTGTCAAACAACGGGTACCGCCAAAATGGTTGCTTTCATTTCGATTTCCCTTTAAACCAACCTGTCCCCCCCCAAACAACAACAGCAACAACATCGAAAACAGGCTCAAGTGCGAATTCCCCAGAACAATCTCTGGCCATGCAAGAGCACCGATCGAGGAAAGCGGTTTCACCCAAGGTTCGGGGATGCATTGGTTCAGGTTGGTGAAGAGGATATTTTCCCAATTGTGAAGCTCTTCAGTGAGCTTTCTTCATCCTGCTGCCAAGTTAAGTCAACCAACTTTTGAGTGAATTTTTGGCCAGATGATTCAGGTTGCCTGAGGTTAGTTGCGCTAACACTCTGGGCTTGCGGCAAGTCAATGCGCAATGTGGTGGCCATGGCATTTCCTGCTGCTGACAGCGCAGGCAAATGGGCGGGCACTCGCCCCAGGGTCTCCGACACCAAAACTATTGGGGGAACCTGAAAATAGGAATCGGCCCCCTAAAATGGTTTTGTTCCTTTTGTGTTTTTCCTTGAATCACCAACGAACAGGGGGTCCACCATTTTGAGCCCCCCCCCCGCTTTTTTGATTTTAGGGTAGATCACATATGCAACACACACACACACACACAGAGGAATATTATTTTCTGCGTGCCCCGTGTGTGGGCCAAGATGTGTGCCGTTGGTCAAACAAGTTCAATGAGCCCAACACTCCAAAAAACAGTAGGTGGACATAAATCCCCATGTACGTGACGTTCGCTAAAGGGCCCCGGGTTGACCTGGGCTTAGCAGAGGTGGTCATCAGCCTTTGAAAAACAGAGTTTTGGCAACCATTACAAGGGTTCGATGCAAGGGAGCATCATGACCATGGACAACGGGAGTTTGACCATTCCTCATGTATTGAAACTAGGCGCTCCCAACCTTGAAAACCTTGAAACTCACCTTGAAACTCACCTTGAATTAAGGTAAGTCGCGATGCATCCCTGGAGCCTTGAGGAATCGGCACGTTTCCAATCATGGATTCTACTTGATGGTGTTTCCGTTCCTTTGCCCCACCTCCCTTTGTGCGCGCAACCCTGTTGAGCGAATGAATCCTGGGTTCCCACTCGCGGGTTTATTCACCAATGTCAGAGACCCTGGACCCACTTGATATCCTTAGAGCACTCCTGGCAAAGTGAGATCCAACGGTTTGGAACCGAATACCCCGATATTTGGATATCGGTGTGGTGTCTGTTTTTGGTTAATGGTTGGACAGGTTTGAGGTTTTCAAGGTTTTCGTTTGAGGGCTCGCTTTTGGAAGAAAGTCGCTTTTGGGGGTTGTTTCAAAAGGCAACCAAAGGTAAACCAGCCATTTTGCGCGTGTGCCACTTTTGAATGCCAGCCAACAATGTGTGGTTGACAGGGAAAGCGGACGTTGCACTGGTAGGATCCTGCACCAGAGTCACAAACGAGAAATGGCTTGTCCTGCTCGGGAAGAGCTAATCCTGGTAAGCCATTATTCCGCAGGCATATTTCTGTACTAACAGGGTTGGGGGGAAGCCAGCAAGCTGCATCGTGGTTGCGAAGGCAACATCTACAAGTGAGGTATGACCCAACATCATGTGCTCCATTGAGCCAACGTTTCGGAACATATCTTCTCCTTTTGCGATATGGCCGAAGGATTTGGATCCTTGGGTAACACTGATTCCGCCTTGGGGAGAGATCAGCAGCTTCTTCCAGGTCCCTAGTCAAAGCGCAGAAGGGGCGGTGCTGGTTGGCACGTTCGGCTTGCCGGGAAAAAGCCATGCTGGAATTTTCAAGCATCATGTTCGCAGCCATTTTAACGAGGTTCCCCTTTTACAACGTGTGCAATGTTTGAGAAATCTCGTGTCCTTTGTAGGCCACACCTGTGTCACTCCCGTCTCCCCGTCGCGCAGTCAGGCGTCGGAGTGGCCCAGCGACCAGATGGGCCCCCGCAGCGCGGAGCGAGTCCGCGCGGGGAAGCGCGCGGGGAAGTTCATCGCCTGTCCCGGGGCTTGGAGGGCGGGAGGCGGTGGGGTTCGGGTAGGTGGGGTGGGACATGGACCCTTGGTGATTTTGCAGGGAGCCATGAGTGAATGGACGGCTGCAAAGGCCCTAAGTGTCCAGCACGCCGGGGAGGGGTGGGGGGGTCAGCTCTTAGGGAAACCGGAAGATGGTTGAAACACTGGGTGTTCTAAATGTCAGCACGCGCCGGAAAGGTACAGCTTTATTGAGGAGGTTCCCAACCCAAACTGAATATAGGCGCGGCCCCTTCATGGTAGGGTGGGTTGTAACAGACCTCAATGGGACAAGGCATCATTTTTGTTGAGTCCTTCACAAGAAGCTAGGCGAATCCCAGCAGTTTGAAGCTGTCCCCGACTTTTGCAAACCAAAGTCTGGCAGTCAACCCTCCAAAAAGACACGAATCCCAAAAAGAAGGGTCTTGACATGGTTAAAGGGTCGCGGAGATTCCAGGAATCCATTTGTGGGCTCTTTGCGAAGGGCACTTGATAGAATTGCCAGACTCTAACCAAGCTTTGATCAAGGCAACCCAACGGCAAAAGGGCAATTGCCATTGTGCCCTGTTGGGTTGCTTTGGGATCTTTCTGTTGACCACCGAATCATCACTTTGTTCATGGGGGTCTTTTTAAGTCTGCGTCGATGATCCGACTCCGAGGCACGGTGTGCGAGCACGTGCTCCTCTCGCAGTTTGCCAGCCCACTGGCCGTCGAGGGCATCAGGACTGAACGGATTTGAAATTCGCCTAGGGATCTCTTGTGAAATTGATTTGCATGTTGATCTTCAATTGATACGAATCAAGCGTAGTATAAGTTTTCTCTGCGGGCAAAAGATGAGGTAGGTGCAGGGGGTATCTAGCCTTCCCTCAAAATCGAGCAACACGCCAAGTTGGTATGAGGGGTGAGGGCATTGTATGTTGTTTACATGGACGTGAACTTCATTTCAATGTTGGAATGGTGGATTCTGCGGACACTCTCCCCCGGGGGCCTCCAGGCTGTTGTTACCGACCATGCTGCAACGTGCTCTTTAAACGTACTTTAACAAGGACAAGCCCCCCCATTTGTATTTGTCGTGTCAGCTTGGCAGTATTGTGTGCTTTGCTGAGGCAGCCCGTGCAATTGTGCCAATCACAAATTCATGCTTCTTTGACATGTTTGTTGGCAAAGCTCGGGTGTCGAGACGCACGTTCTTCCCACATCCCGGAAGTGTAACATCACGCCATGACTGCAATGTCGGGCTTCCTTATTTCGGGGCCAAGGGGGGTAACTTGGAATCGCACACCTATGTTGTGCCTTTCGAATCCTATCACAAAGTTCAGAAGGGGCCGTGTTTTGAGCTTATGGGGTGCCTTGTTTTGGGTAATTTTATGATCCGCCCAGATATGGGTCCTGACTTCAGAGTAGCTCCTTAAAGAAGCTCAATGGCTGAGGCGATCTGGCTCGCTTAAGGATCTTGGCATCCCCAAGGAGTTGACTTCCCAAGTGTTCCATGTTGTCGGAAGAGACTTTAGGACCCATCCAAGCAAGTTCTCAGAACCCTTCCAGCAGAGCCATTTCACGAGTTTCTAAAGACCATGCTTGGCGGGCTTTGGTTTCCTCCCTAATGAGCAACCCCCAAGGCAGACTCAAACTTATGGAGTACTGACCAACGGATGTAGCCCGTTTGCCTGGGCTTTCCTCAAAAGCTGGCTTTGTGTCAGATATCAGGGGACCATTGGACTAGAATGGTTGGTTCCCCTTGCAAAACAGCCCAAAAGTATTAGCTACCTTGAAACGCAGACCCTTGTACAACAACTGTAGAAAGGACAACGCGCCTGCATGAACCCTTGGACCTTGCAGCCCTCACGCCCTGATGCCTTCGAGCCCCGCCAACGATGCGCTTCCAAGCGCCGCTCAGATGCCGCGGTTTCACGCCCGCAAGGCGCGTCCCAAACGATCGATCGCTTTTTCAGAGTCCCAAGTTTCCTGCTGAAGGGTCCTTTTGCATATCTGACTTGTATGCAATCGACCTCCGCCAATCCCCTTGGGCAATTTTTGAGGCTTGCTATTGCCAGTACGAGTTTTCTCCTCTAGATCATGACCATCCGTTTTTCTGTTTTTCTCCCTCCACAGCCCCCGTTCTGACCAAGGCCCTCGATATCAGTTGCATGAGGCGTCTGTCCGTGGGCTGATTCCCGCAGGAAAGTCCTCGCCTCCGAGGACCGAGCGGATCGATCCGCGCGAGCGAGCGGGGGGAGGGGGAGGGGGGAAGCGTCTGTGTTGGTTTCACCGGGCAACCGAAAGCAAAGCCCTTCGTTTTTTGAGGCCCCCGCTGTTTTGACACCAACCCATTTGGGGTTGCCATAATTTAGGGCAACCCCGTTTTGGAGTTGTTTGAAAGGGGAAGCAAAAGGGAAACCACCCATTTCAGGGATTTCCTGGTTTGACAAAGGCGTGTTGCAAAAATTGGGACCCGAACAGCTGCGGTTTTCCCTGTGCGTTCCCTTGACACCACCCGAAGCAACTGACAAAATCTCTGGGTTTATCAAGAATGGGGGGACTGACACAGAAGCCAGCTCACTCACCAAATTTCCCTCATAAAAACCAACAAAGGATTCAATCAAGTTCCCACACAAAACCAAAAAACACTGAATTCCCAGAAAAAAAAGAGAAAAACAACAGGTTGTCCACGTCCCGTCCTTTTGGGGCCACCTATGTCATTTTCAGCGGCTCGGGAGCTTAGCCGAAGAGATGAGTAGCGACAGCCGTCCAGCCGTGCCGCCCAGGAGCTGTCAGAGGCGCTGGGGGACGCCAAAGGCAGGGCTCAAGGGAGGCTGTTGTGAGGTTTAAGTTGTTAGCAATTATGGCGGAACTAACCAAGGCAGACTGTGTTGTTAGCAACTGTTCAGCTTTTTTTTTGTTCCCTAAGGCAAACTGTGGCGGAACCCCTTTTTTGGTTGGCTTTCAAGGGAAACCAGCAGGAAAACCGCAATATCGCGGGATTCCCTGAAATCTGCTCCAAACCGCGGAGCGCATCTGAAAGGCATATTTTTTCGGGGACCCCCAAAAAGGAGGTGTTTCGTTTTGTTTCCTTTTAACCGGGTACCGCAAAAAAAAAAGTAAATAAAAAATAAACAAATAAAGCACAGAAAAGCATCCAATGGTTTAAAGCTGGTTTCTACTGGACCCACCCCCTAAAACACAAAACGAGACACGCCGCCGCCCCAAAAACGCCCGGCAGGTCTCTGTGCCATGAAGCGCCTGGCGCAGCTCTTCCGGCGCGCGCGCCTGGAGGTCCGAACCCGAATGGGCTTCTCAAACACTCCCCGAGTTGGACTTTAAACTTTTTGGGTTTGGACCATTTTGGTGGCAAATAGGAAAGTTCAGACCATCATTTTGGGCCAATCCACTCAGGAAGTGAGGCTTGGAGTAGGGAAACGTCCAAACTAGGCGGCTTCTTTTTGGGGGTTCCCCAAGAGGTGTTAGCACATGTTTGGAGATTCCTGGCAGTGTCAAAGGGAAAGCCCCAAAGGTGGCTTCCCTTTGATGTGTTGATTTCCGGCAGTAACAAGTGCGCACATAATTGGAGATTGTTCGGGGAAAAACAATTCGGAGCCCGCGTGCTAGTTGATTGTTGCTCACTAGTGATGCCCTAAGGAAAGCACGGCAGCACAAGTTGGGAAATGTCCGCTTGAATAGCACCCTTCCCAAATCACTTTCGGAGGTGAAGGCCGTTTTGACCATCCTTTCTGGGATCTCTTTAAAAGCTTTTTTCAACTGAGCTTTGACCATGGCTCACATTGGGTTCTCTCAACGGGCGACCCGGGTTTCCTTTTGGATGCCCTTGAAAGCATTCCCAAAAAGGAGGGTGGCCCAGCCAAAAGTCAGAAGAACACCCATGGAACAGGTGGCTATAGCCCCGGACGGCACAGCGGAGATGAGGAGCGGAGTTTTTGGCGGTCACATGCTGTAAGAGAAGCCAGCCACAACTGCATGGAGCTCGCCTAGGGGTGAACGAGCTCACCCTATGTCGAAGTTGTGGTTGCTCAGGGATTCCTTAGTTCGGGCTGAAGGATAAAACGTAGCGCATGTGAATGGACCATGCAGCGCATCATATGGTGTGGATTGATGGGCTCGCTTTGGGAATTGAACGGGATCCTCTTAGAGAGACTTGCAGTCTAACTCTTGCTTTCCTTGGTTGCTCTTTGTTCTGACCAAAATGCCTTTTAACCCTTTGGAAAACGAGCAAGTTCCCAAACTGAGTAGCACTGAGTTCAACTTGTTGCAGGGGATCATGTGGGCAACCCAGTGTGGAAGACTCGGTTTGGCCCTCACTGATGGACCGAATTCTACAACTCGAGGACTGCGAAGGGCGAGCCCTTCTATGAAGAGATCAACAAGTGCCCCGGCAAGAGCTGGAGATGTCCAAAGGGCCCTACAAAATGGCTTTCGTTTCCTTGAAACATGACAAAGGGCAGCAGGTGAAGGCGCTGGGCACGGACCAGCAGAAGGGGTTTTGGGGTCCCTTGGTAAGTTGATGTTTAAAGTGCGGATTCCTTCGAGTTGGTGGACACCACCTTGGTGACAGAAGAGGAGGCGGTGGCAGCGCAGGCGGAGTCCGAGCGCTTGCGCATCCAGGAGGCGGAGCCCGCTTGGCCTTGCAGCTCCCCCACTTTGACATGGAGTCGCAGCCCAGTGACCACCTCATGAAGATGACGGAGCTTCAGGGCTGCATAGCGAAGCTGCATCTGTCGAGGGAGGCCCCTCCGCTTTTGGGTGCCACGAGTGCACCGGGGTGGGGGAAGTTAAGGGATGAGGTCTCATTTGCGGTGAGTACCCGGATGCCTGAAGGGTCATCCCAGAAGGCGGAAGGGGAAAGCCCACCACACAAGAACATTCCGGAAAACCAGGGCGTGAGAGACCTGTTCCACCAGTGACTGGAAGGACCTTCACCCAGTGGACATGTGTGAAGACTTGAACTTATTTGCTTGTTCAACTTCAAAACCTTGCGGGGAATGCCTAGGGGTTGCTTCAAAGGTTTCTGACCCTTTGCCTCTCAGAAGCTCCAGGCTCCACACTGCACGCCACGTATCCCACTCCTCCACTCGCAATCGCTTGCCGCGCCATGTCCTTCGCCACCGAACTCGCGGACGCAACTCGGGCGGCGCTCGACGGGCAGAAGGCCGCGTCGGAGCAGTTCATCGAGGCGTGGGTGCGGCAGTTCTCGGTGGTGTGCCGACAGCGCGCAGGTGGAGGTCATACCAACCATCAAAGCGAGCTCAAGCATGCGGAGGTGCCGGAGGACGGCCCTGGCTCCATGAGCTACTCTGCGGTGAGGGATGCAGTGGTGGGAAGGCTCCGGATGCTGGGCCTTGACGCATCATTTCACCAGAACTCAATGACTGTGTGCGGCTCCTGGAGAGTGGCTGCGCCCCACGTTGCTCCTCCGCCCAAGCCCTGCCAGGGCGGTCAGGCCGGCACCTGCCCGATCTGCATGGAGACGCGGCCGGTGGTGGCGTTGATGCCCTGTGGCCACGCGGTGTGCGGCGCGTGCCAGCAGAGCTTGACGCAGTGCCCCCTCTGCCGTGAGAACGTCTTCGGTGCGACGCGGGGCATCTTCATCCAGTGATCCAGCGACGGAGAGCCAGTGTCTGTGGAGCCATGTACAATTTGTCATGCCATTTGTTTGTTTTGATTCTCCATATTGCGAGAGGAGCTCCAGACATGGCAGGCACCGCAAATGAGGGGGGATGCTTGTGGTTGCTCGGACAGATTGCAGTTGGACTGCCGCGAGCCTTTCCAATGACATTTGTGGGGAAATTTGTGGAGGAGCTTGAGTATAAAATGCGTCTGAAGGGGAATGGATACATACTGACCAACCCAGACACCAGTGAACATTTGATCCAGGGCACGCTTTTGACATGCCTTTTTACGGACATATCCCAATCGTTTTTCCAATTTCGACAGGTGGGGCATCTCGTCGGTGCACGTGGCAGCTGCAATCTGCGAACATGGGCTCTAGCGAATGAATTCGCCAGAGTGTTGGTTCTACAGTCAACAAATCCTAAAGCCAACGCTCGAGCAGCGTCTTTGGGCCAGCATCTCCTTAGCTGAGACAAGTTTTTTACAGACCTCACAAAAAGACTTGGTTGGCACCCTCACCCACGAGTAAGGTTGGCTTCTTGGGGATTCATTGCTTCAGGCTAATTGTAAAACTGCACAGAGCTCAATGATTTCAGTGCTGCAAGTTGCCAGCAAACTCAAACCAGTATATAAGTCTTGGCGGCAGAGGCAACCAGGACCCTCACAAATACGACCAGGTATGACCAGCAAGTCGGCCGGAAGTCACACCATGGTCTTTGTCCAGTGTTGTACTCTGAACAAAGTGGCATATGAGGCAGCCCGAGGAGGTTTAGCTGGACGTTGCTCGTGTTGCCGCCGCGCCGACCAGGGACAAGGAAAGTCGGTGAGGTGATTTGAATATTCGGGATTCAGGAGCTCTGAATGCGCCTTGCGTGAACACGGGCTGATATGGTAGCCACCCCCATCCTTGGAAGGCCTTCTTGACTGCGAACAGAGTAGGATTGGGATGAAACCGTTTGGTTTTGCTCTAGCTTCTTGTTTTGCGCTGGTCGACCGAATCAATTCACCATAGAGTGCACGACGCAAAGAAGGCACGCCAACCAAGAAAGCGGCACCGCTGCCGCTGTCACAGGCATTACAACTTTAGCGACAAGATCCAATTGGTTGAAAGGTGAGCTTTAGCGTGTTTCAGCAGCTGGATTTCTGCTGCTCGTAGCATGTTGCTGTGCACACAATGCCCGGTTTCAGTCATATGTCCACTGACTGATCAATCTTTGGGTGTTTCTTTGCTATTTGGTTGGAACCTTTCCCGTCTTCTTTTGTGGAAACGTTAATTCAAAAGCAGGGCCTTGGGGCAGCGTCGCTGCCTAGGTTTGGCATGAAACCCGAGGAAGGTTTGGCGCTTGGTTTGGCAGAGGCCCCCGAGCTGTCAAATGTGAATGCGTCAAAACCCACCATCAAACTCATCTCCTCGGTTCCAGTTGAAAGCCAGTCCAAGGGTAGCCTCTAACAAAGGGACCCTGACACCAGAATGGTTCCTGGCTGTGATAGCCAAATGTCAGCCTGACGCACAGGTGTGTTTGCAATGTGCTTCCAGCGATATTGTTTGATTGCGACACAAAAGGACCACCCAAAATTTTCAGACCCCCCCAAATTCCAACATGGCGTTTTTTTGTTACTTTCCTCCCTCCCAATACGGCGTCCTTCTGCCGAAAGCCGAAAAGCGCGCGCCTGCCTGCAGCCTTTCGCCCCGAGGAGCGAGCTGGCCTTCCACTGGAAGTCCTTTGCGGTGGAGCACGCCTGCGTGGAGATCTTCCGCTCTGACGGGGACCTGGTCCACGGCCGGACGCCTCGGTGCGAATTCACGTGTGAAGGTCTGGGGTGGCCTTGGTCTACTTGGGCCTTGCCTTAGATAAGCGATGTTTTTGTTGGAGTTTGGTGCCTTTTGGGAAGGTGTCGCAGGGAAAACAGGAGGAAAGCGCTGCCATTTTGGGACATTCTGCATTCATGGCCCCAATTGGACCCTTCTGCATTGGTTTCAAAAGAGACATCCAAGGGGAAGCCAAGGACACTGCCCGCTTTGCATGTCCCCGGCTTCAAGCAACTTGACGCCGGCCGACCCATGGCCTAGGCTCCCTGCACGAGGAGTTCGAGCAGAATGCTTCGGAATTGAATGAGCTGAGTGAGCAGGAGGGCTTGACAACAGCCGAGGGTGGTGGGTCTGTCTTTTTTTGTTGAGGTGTTTCGGGGCCTCGGGGTTCTTGGCCTGCGGTTTTTTTAAAGGCGTCCATGGATCGCCAAAGGAGTGGGGGGCAACCCCTTAGGCTCTTACGGTCATTGCAGGGTGGGGGGCTCGGCGGGACCCCATTTGCACAAGGACTGAAGAGGACGCCGGACTTGATCGAGAAGTATTTTCTCCCCAGGGCAGATTTATCTCCAAAGGGGGATTTGCTGTTAGAATGGGATCCCAATTCAAGGATCTGTGACAATCCTTAGTGTGACTGCCCAAAAAAGACGTGCACGTTGGTGCGTGTTTCAAAACATGTTTGTTTTTTGGCTTCCCGAAATTCAATCAGCCCCAAGAAGGTACCCCTCTTAAGTGTAGGAGAAAGGAAGTCGCGTGAAAAAGGGAGACCCTTTTTTGCATAGGGGCGGGGGGGGGGGGGTCAATCAGGGGTCAACATTGAAGTGGCTTTACAAAACAAGTTTTGCTGGGGCAGAGATTGTGGGGTTTCTTGGGGCAATGTGGCCTGGGGTTTCCATGTGTGTGGCGTTCTGCTTTCTCAGGTGGACATGGGCCAGCAGCTTGCGTTGCTTTATGATGGCAGGCGTCTTCATCATTCATATGAGCCTTGAGATCCCTGTGTTCGAGTTGGAGCCAAAGGTCAACGGGGAATCCCTTGGTTTGCGATTCAGACACAAATTCGGCTTCGATCAGGACAGGATTTACATTGAACCCTTTAGACTGAGAGCCAACAGTCCTATCAGGGACACCCCCAACGGCTGGTAGCCTTGCGCAGCTTTGTTTTTGCTTGCCCAGCCCCAACTATGTCGCTCGCTGCTTGCGAGGGGGGTCCCATGAGTTACAGGGCCTTCAAACTGATGACAGCCAGCAACAAGTCAACTTTTGCAGATGCATATCTGATATCTGACCAGACAACTCGGTCCTACGAAAAGCGGCCATAGACTGCAGACCGCAAACTCCGAAATGGTTGGTAAACCGTTTTGGCCAGCCCTGTTTGAAACCCAAGACAGGGTTCAGCCCACTTAGGATTGTCTCCATTGTGGGACATCCTCCTTGGCAGGAGCTGCAGCAGAGGCTTCTGCTGGCAACAAGGCGGAGCTGTCAAGCAGCGCGCTTTTGTAGGCGAGCGGGATGGCGCTTCAGCGGTTGGGACGCAACTGGCATATGGGAAAATGTCAAACTTGAGCACCCCGCAAATTGGCGGGTTTCCTTTTGGTTTGCCAAAAAAGAAGCAAGGTGAAAAGGATTCCTTCGACACAACACGCGCCCATATTCCCTTGTTCTTTGCTATCCTTTTTTCCAAAGCAGAAGGGTAACCTTTCCCATTGGTTGTTGACACCCTAAATTTGAGGTTCGTTGTGTGTCTGTTGTCTTTTTAGAACGGACATAGGCGAGGGCATGAGACACTAGATTTCGACCAACAACACATAGCATGGGGACGAGACGCTAATCACTAATCTTCCCATGTCCACGATGGGTGTTTGGCTGCGGCTCATATTTTAAAAGGAGATCAAAGGGGTTCCCTCATTTGGAGACAACCGCACCCATTCATAGCTGTAGGAATTTGAATGGTTGGAAAACCAACTCAACACTGATACGAACCCCCATGTTTGTTTTGTGTTGATGGTGTCCACCAAAGGGTTCCAAAACAATTAATACCCAATCGCCATTAGATTATTTGCACATGTTGGAATGCTATTATTATTATGATATTCATCATTTGTTGTTTTATTATATATTATTATGTATTATTATCATTATCATTATCATTATCATTATCATTATTGTTATTACTACTATTATTATCATTATTATGATTATTATTTATAATTTATGGTTATTATCACATTACTATTATTATTTCTACTGTTATTCATGCTTCTCCATAGACGTGAAGGTGACAAACATGTATACACATACACATATCCTGAACACACATCCAACTCGGCCTTTCGTACGGGCTATAGAGGGCGACACGCTCCCCCAAGATGTGTGGGGCAAAAATGCCGTTTCTTCCGCACCATATTCGATCACGGCTGTGTGGACGGGAACGCTATGGTGCACAAGTTTGATGAACTCAGGATATCCCACGACAAATGGAGATACACTCCCTCTCTTGGATAACTTGGCGCCCACTAGATGGTCCCTTTGAGAGGTAACTGGCCGTCCAGGGACCCTCAATCCTCCCTCAATTCAACAACTCGTGCTAGTTGCGACAGTGACCGGTATCATTGAAAGCCGGTACTCAATGTCAGGGTCCCAAACATGATCCATACCTCTGAAGCTATTGCTGGTGCCGGACTTCCTGTATCCGTTCTACCTGGGGCATTGTTCTTTTGTAAAGCATAACAGGGTTTTACGACAAACACCGATTGGGTTTTATCGTCCTGTTGTCTTTTGCAGTACCCCCCCCCAAAAAAAAGAGAGACAGAAAGAAAAGAAACAACAGCAACAACAACAACAATGAGAGGATCTCTCTTCAAGCGACAAGCACGGGCAGAACATTTTCACCCTTGGGGGAAAGGGGTCAAACGGAGGTCCCCTTTCGGCCCAGGGCGGCGAGGCCGCGCTCCGAGCTGTGCCCGGCAGCCCAGCGGATGTCCCGTTGAGTGCGGAGCCTGAGGGCTCCAGGGGTGTCCTTTGTTCCCGTCTTACGCCGTTTTTTTCTTTCTTGCCAGTGTTTTTGTTTCTCTTGGGAGGGGAGTGGAGGCTGAGGTTTCTTTTTTTCTCCTCGCAGGTGCCTGTTTCTTCTCATTTGGTTGTGTTTGGTGCAGGGAGTCTCCATGTAAAATATCAACTGCCACAGCAAGGCTTGGTTCTCATTTTTCTCGCATTGAAATCAACTGGAGGTCTGGGAAACCATGGCGAAGACCAACCAAATTTGTTGTGTCGAGGGCCTTCCCCTCCGCGTTTAACTGGGCTGTTCAAGGTTGAGTCTAAGTGGTTTTTTTTGGACTTATAAAACCTTCATTTTGCTGGTGTCTTCTTGAAGTCGGAGGACACGTGGCGTCCCATTCCATGTTTTCAGGAATCTCTGTCTTTGAGGGAAACCACTTAACATCCAGGGCACACGACTGTGCTAAAAAGAATGATTTGAGAAGAATGAGGACTCAACGCTCCAAACGATTTAAGTGAACAAAGGCCAGGGTTGAAAGATAACCCACCCCTCGAACCCAAACACAACCCTGAAGCTCCCAAACATGGTTAGGCACAAACCCCCAAGCGTGCGCCAGGGTTGGTCCTTCCAATTTGGAACAAACCCTCTTGTTCTTGGCTCCCGAGGTGTTTGATGTGTCCAAACTCAGCCTGAACCCAAACGGAACCCCAATGGGGCGCCCTTTAGCTTGACAGAAACAATCTTTGAGCCTGATGGAAATGACTTTTTCACCGCTAACTAGCAAAAGTGCAGCCTTTGGCCATGAAGTTGTGAGTTCTACAAGAATGGCTTCGGTTGTCCTTTTGGTTTTCTTTTGAAACCACCCAAAAAGGGGAAAAAAGACACCCATATTTTGCCCATCACCACTTTGCCCTTTGTCGATCGTCCGAGGATCGGTTGCTGATATCGATTGCCATGCCTAGCGTGCGCGGGAGCGCGCGGAGAAAGGATGTCCGAGTGTTGTGTTTCAGCCTGGTATGAAAAATATGTGACTTGAAGATCAGCTTTGCCAGTTGTGTGTGTGTGTGCGTGTGTGTTTGCGTTTGTGTGGCAGAATAGATTCTTTTCGACATTGGTGAATTTTGGTGTAGGTGAACCAAGGGAGGGGATCACGCAAAGAAGGGCAAAAACGGCGGGTTTGCAAAGTTTGCAGGGGCCGAAATTCTAGGAGTTGTCTTGCTCCGCAGAACCCTCGCTTCAGGGTTTGTCTCCAAATGGAGGGTATGCCGTCATCCTGTGACAAACAAGCAGTTGTATATTTGGAGTAGGGCGTCCTTCAGATCACTCGTAGCCTCTTTGGTATCTTAGTCATTGCTGAAGAGTGAAGCAGGTGGAGCGAGAGTAGTTGTGACATGTACGCAGATGACATGTCGAACCCATCTGGTCGGAAACAAAGCGAGTGAACGGAGTTCGTTCCTGTGCATTTGCCTTTTCATCTTTTTGTTTATTCGCTGGACCGTCGCCCAGCGTCGCCCAGCATGCCAAGCAAAAAACACATCAACTCATTTACAGTATCATTTACAGTATCATGCCAAGCAAGTAGTGTACCTTTTCTCAGTCGGCCCTTTTGGCCAGGGAGAGTCTCAAGGCCGATGGCACTGAGCGAGCACAAAGACCCCAACCAGTGGAGCATCACTGAAATGGTTCACGGTGTTCAATGTTGCTGCTCTTTGGCTGGATATCAACCCTCCCAACAAGGCACTTGACGGGATCTTCCACGTACCCGCCCACAGATGCTATCTCAGGTAGAGGAAACGCCACCTTTAGCTCGAATGGTTGGGAAATTGCATGTGTGTGTTTTGCCACTTTCAGCAGGTCGAGCTTCCTGAGACTAATGGTTCGCAGAAAACCGCCCAGGATTTTAATCAAGTTTTGGTCCGCGTTCGACCTTTTGGTCCTTTTGGCCTTTTGCCCCTTCATGTTTCGTATTTTGGTAAAACACCTGAGCTCCAGACGCACTCGATTGCCGCAGGCACGGCTTCACCACGAGGAGCCCAAGCGACGGGAGGCCCGCAGTGGCGCAGCGCTTGGCAAGTGACCGTGGCCCGGATCTCTTCAAAGGGAGGTTTTCGCCGCCAACAAAAAGTGGGCAGTGTGGGAGGTGCTCAAATTGACTGGCAGTTGATGCCAGGAAATTACATGACAGGTGATATTCGGGGTGTCATGTTCTAGCAGGAAGCACAAGGCTTATCATGGCATGCATGTGCCAGCAAGTATTTCGGGGGTCTCGACATGGACATGGGAGTTCCAAGGCAATGGTTGGTTTCCAAGGCAATGGTTTCCAGGCACCGCCCAACATATTCGAGGGCGCTGCACATTCCAAACTTCGGCCCTTCGCGCGGCTTTCGCCGGTCGCAGGCTGGCTCCAGGCCGGACAGTTGAGCGTCGCGGGCCGCGGAAACGACGGCGTAAAGACACCCGGTGGGTCCAGGTGCCACTACCCGGCTGCGGGCTTGTTTCTCGGCACGTGATGGTTTTGAAAGGTTGTCAAATATGAGACGATCTGGGTAAGGATCAAATAAAGGTAAACCAGGCTACTTTTGGGGGTCTGCCTCCGGCCGCATAAAAAGAACCGCCACTGGGGAACTGAGATCTTGGAGAAGAAGAGCAACAAGAAACAGAAGTCCGGCTGAGCTTCAAAATGTGCATTCTTGGAACCCACCAGCAAATGGATCGAGTGACCCTGACCGTGGCGCTGAAATGGGGATGCGTGCCAAAACCCGATTCAGATTGGGGGCTTTTGAATCAGAACCAAAAGCAAACTGCGCTCCCGAGCGCGGAACCTAGCAGAGATCCCTCTTAAGACAAGAATCTTCCAGGTACTCTTGTTGTTCAGTTTCCATGTTGGTATCCAGGTTCACTTCCGTCGTCCTTCTTGAACAGTGGTTCAAAACGAAAGCGCAAGTCCGCCGTGTGCGTTTTGTTTCCCGTGTAGGCACTCCCCAACGGCCCCAAGGCGCATTGGTACGCATTCGCGCACATTCGTGCATGTGTGCAAGTTTCCGTTGCGGAACACAAACTCGTGTGAACTGATCTATTACGGGTGTCTCACAACAGAGCATCCTCAACATGGGCGTGTGGACCGATGTTTGCCGCAGAATGCGGGGGCGAGCTGACGAGGACTTGAGAGCTGTGGTCACCGAAGTGCCCTCACCGAGGCAGCATTTGGCTACAGCACTCTCGTGGCACCTGTGCGGATGGTGTTGGTCTCCGATCTTCAAGCCAAGTGGGAGGTTTCGAGCGTGGGCGAGGCCGACTCGACACCGAAGATCCTAACGCCATGGACATTGGAAGAAAAATGACGAGATAGCAAAGACGGAAAAGGGAAGCAGGAAGCACACGGGGTGGCAAGGAAGAAGGAGAGGACAAAGCTAGGAATGGGTTTCCTTTGCTTTCCTTTCAAAATACACCATTTCTTGGTGGAAAGCTGTTTGGGTGGGCATTGTCATGATGCCCCAATGCAACAGAGGAGTCGAGCCCATTTTTGTCCACCAGGTTGAGTCAAGTAGCCGGGATATGCTTTGCTTCGATGGGCTCGGTCCTTTAGCAGGGAACCTTTCCTGTCCTTTTCACGAAGGTCCAATTTGGCTTTTCCGCAAGGGGTCCAAATGTTCGGCCCCCCTAGATTAACCAAGCGCAAAAGAAGTCCTCCTCTCCAGATTGACTCGCGGACCATGACAAACGCATTTTTCCCGCAAAAGCACGTGCCACCAGCAATGGTGGGTGTTTTGCGTTTTTACTTTTTTGGTTAAAGCTAGGGCGGTCTTTTGCGGTTCCAATCCTTACTCTGAAAATCAGATGCCCAATGGGCCGGATCGGCCTAAAGCCAGGCCGGTCCTGCAGCTGGCCACCGCCTATCCCAAGGGCCCGGCCTGGGGCCCAGGAGCTGGCGTGGTTCCTTGTTTCGGTTGCTTCTTTTGGTTGATTTCGGTCTGTTTGGTGTTTTCTTTAAAGGAAGTTAAACGGGGAACGGATACCTGGGGTCGCTACATGTTTTTCTCCGCTTGGCGGTTTTCAACTTCACATGTTGGTCGTCATCTTGAAAGGAGTTCCGTCGGGTGGGGGATGTAAAGGGACACACATGAAAGCCAGACTCGAATGATGGCAGAAAAAGACAACAATCCCAGGTTCTAGATTGAACGCGAACGTAGTAAGGTTGTGCTTTGCGACACCTCGGGGCCCATGATGGTGGTTTTCGTTTTGGTTTCTGCTTACTTTCGGTTAGACCCCCCCATGGTAGTTTTAGTTGGATGTTTCTAACCCAAACCTTGTCTGGGGCCGGACCTGTACCAGCTCTATCCATCTTTTGTGTGTTTTTTGCAGGAAGAATAGTTGGGGCACAGTACAAGCATACAGGTGCGGATCTCTGCCCCTTTTTTTTTTCTTTTCCATTTTCTTTTGGGCCATTGGGGTGTTTCGATTGACACCTCGCGCTATCCTGTACGGCTTGTCTGAAAACATCTCACTGAAGGATTCTCTCAATGAGTCACCAGCATGCGCGATTCAATCCCTTGAAACAAGGGAATAAGCTATTGATGTAGCAGCCTCCTTCTTTCCCTGGAACCCGGAAAGTCACCCAGAGTCATGGTCATAACGTGATGTCGTCACACAGCATACTGTTAACTTCGGATGAATCCAAAAGCCCCTTTTTTGCCAAGAAACATGCTGTCTTGGTTTAGCACGCTGGATGTCATATAGGGCCATGAAAGCAGGCTTCCCGGCCTTACCAGAATCTCGTGTAGGGGTGCAAAAAGATCCCTCCCGCAGGCCTTTAACGAAACCCGAGTTTGCCGTGAGCCTGCCACGATTTTCCCTTTCCGTGCCCAAAGCGATTTTGCTTCTCCAGTGGACTCTTTCCAGGGTTGACCCTTTCTGAATTTGGGAAACAGAATTGGGGTACCCCAAAACGAGCGTTGGTTCCTTGTGGTTTCCCTTTAACCTGAAGAAGGGTGCCAGCTCAAGAAACGGCACATATTTCCTGAAGGCCCCAAAGGCGAGCCAAGCAATTGGTGAGTTTGGAGTTGACACCAGGCCTTTCCAGGGGCCCTGAAAGAAAATCCAAGGGGTCCTTGGAAAAGCCAAGCTGCTTGAGTCATTGAGGCTGAGAGAGAGGCGAAGAAGCCAACTGCGCCAGTGCAGCAGGACAGCTCCTGTGGCTGACTGGGGGCACTGGGGGCAGGCAAAGAGGGGTACTCTCAGGAAGCAACACCCATTTCATGATTCGATTTCTCTGGGTTGTGCATCTGCTTTCGCTATATACTTCGCAGCATGATTCAGGAAGCAGTGCTTGGTCTTTTGATGGCCATGGGCTATCTCATTGCAGCCTGGCGATTCACGTTGAGGAGCCCAAAATGGTCTATTTCTTACGAGGGGCAAGCTTCAGTTGCAACCGAAGAAGCAAGCTTCGGAAGACCTTTAAGAAGCTAGCCTATGTCCAACGTCGGCAGTGTGTGGCTTTGCCTGGAGCAAAAGAGAAGCACTCCTGGGTCTGTCCAGATCTGGGGAAGATAGAAGGACGAAGAGGGCTAGAGGTTGCACCCCCGAAACGCTGCAAAAAGGCTGACACAAGTCTCCAGCATGGCTTTTTGGGCGAATGGCAGCGCGATCTCGCTTTGCCGGGGTTTGCGACTGAAAACCCACGAAGGTGCGTTTCACAGTGGGTTCCCTTATCCCTTATCGGTTGGTGACTTAATTATGCTTGGAGCATACCCCCTATGGCTGGGGGGACGGCACTTTCCTGCCATTTGCCAGCCCTCCCCCGTCTCCCAAACCGGGCCCTGCCAGGAGAGCCCCGTGATCATCGAAGAGGCTCCGGAGGCGCGGTTTTGTGTGCCGTTCAGATGTCTGATCCCTGATGCCTGATGTATGCAACTGAATTCAAAGGTTTGGGCAAGCCACCTCGCTTGCAGTTGTGAGCGACATTGGCGAAGATTCCTTGCCTGCTTCTTTAGTATTCTAGGCCATGTGTTTTTGAGGGTACCTTCTGTGAAATTGGTGCAAAGGAAAGCCCAAAGCAAGTGTATCATTTCGCGGGTTCCCATACTTTGAGCCAATTCTTGGTACGAGTAATTTGAACAGTCTGGCTGATTATTTTGTAGTTTTGTGGCCATGCCAGGTGTCGACCATCCAACCTGGATTCCCATTTTCCCCACGCCCACTGGGAAAATTGGACCGCGGTCTCAGTCAATCCAGCGACTCAGCAGATCCCTGCGAATCATAAAACCTCCAAAGCAAAGCGGATAGTCGATTTTGATTTCAGCACCTCTCCGAAGCATATATGCCCTTCCCAGTTCTCTCGGAAGTTTGGAAGAGCTGTATAAGTGGTACAGCATACACATGGGTTTATCTGTTTTGAGGGGCGCCTTTTCAGGTCGGGTTTCAGGGCAACTGTTTTGGCAGCCACCGTTTTTTGGGGTCCCTCTATTTTGACACACGCCCCAAATATGCAAGTGTTGGGCGTCTCTATACCACCCCCCCCCCCCAAGAAGCAAAGAAAAGAAATAAGTACTCTCAAACATCCACCCCCAAAAACGAATTACTCCAGCACAGACCCCAGATGGCGAAAGACATGCCGACGATTGTACACTAGCACCTCCAACAGCACCCCAAGCAGCATCCCAAGTTGCATGCCCTGTCAATCTTGCAAAAATGCGCCCGCACCATCACCTGCATGCCCGCTAGCACCCAGCTTTCAATCTCACAGCACCTCAAACAGCGCCCTAAACAGCACCTACACCAGCACCCCAAACTGCCCCCCCCTGACACCAGCCCACCAATCTCGCAAATCCTTCTCCCCTCGTTAGTAGAAGTTAGAACCCTTATAGCTTTCGGCTCTCTGGGGAATGAGTGTGTCTTTTGTGGGATTGGCGCCCCTTTTGTGGTGATGCTAAAAAGGGAAACCAAAAGGAAAGCCGGAGCCAATTTTGAGGGGTCCAACTTTGAAAAAAGACACGCCCACATGGGTTTGTGTCAAGGGGAAGGCCCCAAAGGCGGCTTCCCTTTTTTGGTTTCCTATGAGTAGCAAGTGAGCATACCCAACTAATAGGTAGACTTAGCATCCTTCGGGTTTCTTTTCCTGTTTGAGGAATCCATTTCCTTTCTCTTTAGGGGTGACTTTGGTTTCCCTGTCAACCAACCCAACCAAACCCAACCCACCCTGACCCACCCCGACCCACCCCGACCCACCCCGACCCAACCCACCCAGCCAAACTCAACCCAACCAAAGGGTGTGAAACCTGCGAGGCGCAGGCGCCCCCGCGGCCGAAGCCGGCGCCGGCGAAGGAGCTGGACCTTGGTGCCCGGGGCGCCCGGCCGGTCAAGCCTATCGGGGGGGCCTGGGGCGGGGGTTCTGTTGGGGAGGTTTTGGTGAGTTCAGAACCGGGGCAGAAGCGGAGGTTGACCATGAACCGGGAAACCCATCCACCCCCATACTCGTGAGTTTGTTTCTTGTTTCTCTCTTCTTCATTTTGTTTTTTTGGGGGGTGGCCGCGTGCATGGGACCACTTCGGGGCGACCGATAGGCACAAGCAAGTTTCGCATGGTTGCAGCCACTTGCTTCATCATGTTCTTGTCAGGATGCACGCAATGTATGGGCAAGCTAGGAGTGCCAAGGGCAACAAACAACGTGTGCGCTACATGCCGGCGGCGAATGGGCGAACAAATTAAGTAAGTTGGGGGACTGGACAGCGCAGAAATTTTGATTCTTGCCCGGGGAAATGACCCCCTCCACTGAGAGGCACCAGCTCTATCCGTACACCTCTGTCTCAGATTTCGAAGACCAGTTTTCATTGTGGGTTCACCCCCTGCTGGCAAGGTTTCGGTGGATTCTCGCGGCGCTTTTCAAGGCACATATCTCGCCCTCAAGCTCCAGGCGCTGCTCACGAACAGCTGGGGCAAGACGAAGCACAAAGCTGTCATCGGGCAGCGTGCAAAGCCGTGGCACCAGACGTCGCGGCGTGCAAGGTGTGTGTCAGTTTGGGACACCCTTGCCGTTAAAGCCCGTTGCCAGCTTTCCAATACTTTCTGCCGGCAAGTGAGCCAGAGGGGCTGCTGGCTTGCCTTCACCCTCGTCCTGGGCGAGCAGGCTGTTCAGCAGAGAACATGGGCAGAGAACACTCCAAGTTTTCAGCCTTGCCAAACGCACTTTGGTGTTGCTTTTTGTTCTGGCTCGGTACCCTGATGAGGTGGTTCAAAAGGGGGATTTTTTTGGGCCTCAACACACACGGGACCCCCAAAACAGGGGACCCACCCAGGAAAGAAAAAGAACTATCAGCGACAGCCATTGGGTCTTAGCCAATCCCGGATTCGTGGCCCTGGGGTTTCATGGAGGTGAATCTTGGAGTCAGACCCCTGCCATGAGCATCGCACAGCACCATCAAACGTCGTCCTTGAAATAGCTGAGGTCCTTAGGTTTGATAGTTCCCGTTTTGGGGGTTTTAAACATCACCCATGGAAGGTGCGTGTTTTTTTGGGGGGCAATCCCGGGAGCCGTGAATCGGGGGGATGCGGGATGCCGCTCCATCAGGCCTTCCGCGCGCCCGGAAGCCGAGAGAGAGTTTGATTTTGGGGAGGGACTCAGTGGGGGGACCCGACTCTCGGTCGCCCATGTTTGGGGCTTCATGCCCCATGCCAAACGGTCCACCAAAGCCACGGAAGTCTCAGACTTCGCAACATCCCCGGGGCAAGGCTGCGGCCATGTGCACGCAGCAAAAGCAACCTGAAGTTTAATGGCAGATTGTGCAGGCAACATGCATCAAGTTGATGCTGATGGACTGGTATCGTAGAAGTCCCTCTGAGAAAGAGGCCTGCTTGATTGTTTGGGCCTTCAACCCATTTTGACTTTGAGCTCTTGGAGACGGGGGTTGTTCTTCACTAAACAAAAACGTTCAGCGTCTTGAAGAGGGCCCTAATGAATGTTGACCCCTCATTCATGTTGAGTGCCCCAAAAAGTGATCCGGTCAACTGGAACTGGGCTTCCATCGCCCCAGATGACTGGCGGCACTGTTTCGGTAGAGGGGGGGGAATCTATATTGAAGCAGACCCAACATCAGGTGAAAGTCAGCTTGCGCCCTCAAACAGCAGCGGCCTGGAGGTTCCCACTGGGTGTGCCGGAGACAGCGGTCCAGGAACTTTTCGAAGAGTGCCTCGGGGTTTGTTGAGTGGGACTCTTCAAATGCATGTATACGAGTGTGGGCGCGTGTATGCCTGCATCTTCTGTAGAGGTATATCAAAATGTACGCACGCCGCCTGAGATGATATTGTGGCTGATGTATGGGAAGGCTTGTCAGGAAGGAGAGGAGTCCCCGTGAACCGCTAAGTTGCTTCTCTCCCCATCCGAAGATCAAACCAACGCAAACACACACACAAAACGAGAGGCAATCAACAAGACGCCAAAACCGCTATGAGAAATAGACATGAGGTTTTTCAACAAGCCATCTCGTGTGGTGCCTTCAGCTCTCCTGGCAACGGCACCTTAGCCCTATGAAAACATGTTTCTTCTCGAGCTTTTCACAAACGAGTGTGCCTGCTCCTCGTTCGCATGATAAAGTATGTCAAGCTGACCAGTGTCTATATACAAGGTAGACCAGGATTACAGCAAACATGTCCAGCTTTTTGAATTGATATCTCGCTCTCTCTCACTCTCTCTCGCTCGCTCTTTGTGGATCGTAGGGTAAGACATATCCAATGCTTCCGGAAAACAACTCTCCCTTAAAGAGGTTTATTCATCAAAGTTTGCACATTTCTGCACACTGGCCATGATAGTGACTCTGTGTGATCCTTCCAAAGAAGGGGGGATTCGTATACAAAGAACCCTATCCTTCTAAACAGTTCAAGAAGGCAAAGCCATATGGACAAGCTTTGGTTTGAGAGACCCCTGCCATACAACTGCGTCCAACTCTGGGTCCAAAACAAACATCTTCAAACTCTGCTTCACGTGTATCATTCCGTGTGCCGTTTTGAAGCGACCCTTTTGCGGGTTGAGTCAAAAAGGACACCAAACGGAACGCCACTATGTTGCGGGTCCACATCCCCTGATAGAGGGGCCTTTTCCATCCTGACCTGTTTGAGGCACAACGCGAGGACATCACGTATTTAGTGGGGTTTCCTCAAAGACGATTTGGTTCGTTCATGCCGGATCTAATGAACTCAACGCCAAACAGAGAGGCCCTGCGAGGAGTTGCACAAACAGCAGGTTTCACTGGGTCGCCAATTTGTACGTTTTCTAAAATTGGAAGTTGTGACCTCAACAGATTTGGGGTTTCCTCTTCGCATCCCAGACAGGTTTCCTCTTCGCATCCCAGACAGTATTTGAGAAGGAGGCGAATCCTTACCAATTTTGGGACATCTGGTGGTCGCCATCACTCATGGCAACTGCGACTCGCACGAGGTACCTGCAGCGCGTACCGCAGCCCCTGGTGCAGAGCACGGAGGGCTGGGCTGCGCTGAGCGTGCTGCAAGGCGAGTTCGGGAGTGGCCGAAACGGAGAAAAGGTCTCAGGTTGCTTAGCCTGTTAAGGGTTTCCATTTCTAAGTTTCATGGTTGAAGGGAGTTTGCCTTTGAAAGTCAAGTGCCAGGAAAGGTGTCCTTTCCGGTGAAGAGGTTGGTGGACGGTTGATGTCAGGTTGGTTTCAGGTTGTTTGAAGCTTGAGTGCCAAAAGGGTTTGCTCCTTGGCCGAAGAAGATGGCCAAACTGAAGGGTGGCGAATTGGTGGATTCCTTTCGTTTCCTTTCAGGATCCTCAGGGTCCTTGTGCCAGTGTCGGGGACCGGGAGAGACGCCCTTTTTGTTTTCCCAATTTAAGGAAACTTTGGCGTGGTTTCAATTTGGTTCCAATCATATGCTAGTTCCACCGTGAAATTGCCCCAACTAATTACTTCACCAAAAGGACACCCAGCTGACATTTCTTGGCAACCGGCTTGATGCCCCGTGAAGCTATGGCGACAGTGAACTATTCTTGCGGTCGGCGGAGCTTGCTTTTGACCTTCAGACCCCTTTATGTGGAGTGCATCTCAAGGTTTCCAACAGATGTTAAAATGTTGGTATTTCAGAGGGAAAGGGGATGCTTTTTTTCACGAGCCCCTCCCCCTCGCCCGATTTCCCCTCTGGCTCAACCTGCCGATGGGCAGGCGGCAGTGATGGGGAGCTCCCACAAAGAGGTGGCAGTCGCTGGTTGCCGCGGAAAGGGAAGGAAGCCAAAAACAAACCCACCCCCAGGACAGGTTCTCAGAAAAGGGTTCTAAGCAGGGTTTTAAGAACCATTCGGGTGTGTAGGGTTTCCAAAATGTAGAGCCTGAAGAGTGCTGCGTTGATCCCAACATCTCTCACTCTTACCCAGTTGCAAAATGGCACGCGTTTTTTGAGGGGAGGTCGAATTTCGACAGCCGGAGTTTCATGTTTTGTGTGGCAAAGACTTGGTTGGCAGTAGCCCACCACCCTTCTCACTCGAGGCAGGAGGAGTTGCAGGTTGAAGTGGGGTGGGTAACAAAGTAACTTCTCCATGTGGTTGTTCCGTCGAATGATGCTTCTCAAGGTGGTCTGATCAGTGCGAGGAGTTTCGATGGCCTCTGCAGTTGGCGGGTCTGATTCTGATTAACATTGTCATCTCATTGTCTCATTGGTAGAACATGCGACGAGGAATATGTTTCGCAAGTCCTGATGGCTCAGAACACCTCTTCATTTAGGCAACCGTGTCGCTACGTCACCTGAATTTCCAAGCACGGTGCAGGCGTGCTTGTTGTCTCGTAGGTCTGTTCTCATGCCGGCGATGTCTTGGGAATCAACTTCGCAGTCTGAAGTGCAAGAGTCAGGCGCGCTATCCATTGCCCAAACCAAATTATATAGTGTGCCTCCCAGGTTGGTTCGTTACTGCACGCCCTGCATGCCTTTGGGCGGCGGGCTGTCCAAACGAAATCCTTGGCGTATCGGCTCGGTAGGCTGCTAGATGCGATGCACGTCTCTGTGGGTGACAGTCTGCTAGACGATCTGTTTGGTCTCCCAGCTTGCTTTGCTGCTGCTTTGTTTGTTGCTTTGTTTGTTGCTTTGTTTGTTGCTTTGTTTGTTTGTTTGGTTTGTTGTTTTTTTGGTTGGTCTGTTCATTTCTCCAGGCTTGTTGGTCTGTTCGGTTGGCCTGTTGATTTGGTTGGATGTCCAGGCCCTTGGCTCTTGTCCAGGCCCGCTGGCCCTGGAGTGGTTTTGGCTTGCGAGGCATGGGGGCGCCTTTGGTTTCCGGTCGCATCGGGCAGACACCCGCGAAGTGAAAGTGCTGCACAAAAAGGCACACGTGGATTCGTTTGGGTGCTGCTTTCAGATCACGATTGCACAGAGAGTGGCGCAAACCCGCTCTCTCTCTGTTAAGTTCAACTTGGAAGGCGTGATTCTAGAAGTTGTTGCCGGTTTACCGACGGTATCGAGTTCAGTTGCGGTTCGTTTTTTGGGTTGGTTAATCCGGGAAACCAGAGGGAAGCCAGCCACTTTGGATTCGCTATTTTTGCAGAAGCACAGGTTCGAGGCTTTCCATTTAGGGCCAATTTTCAGTGATATCGAGGCAGTACCCTTTCAAGTGAACCACGTAGTCATGGGAATGAGCCATGGCAGGTATCACCCCAGTTGTGCAGTGGTGCCCTTTTTCACTTTTTGTGAGAAGGATCTCCCTGGATTGGATCTGATGTTTTTTTTCCTAGGGCTGGTTTTGTTACCAGGGCTGGTCCCCTGGTTGGTTGGTTGGTTGGTTGGTTGGCTGGCTGGCCGGCTGGCTGGCTGGCTGGCTGGCTGGCTGGCACTGCCCACCTACAACGGTGGACTGACCGATCTGGAATTCTTGTCCTTGTTGAGTGGACAGAGTCTCGATGGCACAAGCACCTGGAGCACTGGCTGGCCACATCCCCGGCATCACCAGCCGTTTATTGGCTCTGATTGGGTGGCACTGGGGGCTGGTTTAAGTTAGGGGGGCTTTTGGCTAGATCTTCATGAGGGTGGGTCTTGGGTTGGTTTGGCGTTGATTTAGGCGAAGCGAAGGGCTGACATCCAGGCTGCTGTTGGGCGGGTTTGGGGTTGACTTTGAGAGGGTTTGGGTTGGTTTGGAGCTGATTTGGGTTAGGCGTGCGGCTAATTAGAAGCGGCTTTCGGGTTGCTTTAGAGTGTGGCTAAGTGAGTTTTGGTCTTGTTTCGGATCGGTTTTGGGGCGCTTGGCCCAAACCACCAAAACTCGTCCACAACTCACTTAACCACACCCTAAAGCAAACCCCAAACCACCCCAGGACTCACCCTCATGAAGATCTAAGCCAGCCAAAATCCCCCCCCCCCCCCCCACAACTCCCAACGCCACCCAATCAGAGCCAATAGAACCCCAGGTCCAAGTGATGCTGGTGATGCTGGGGATGTTGCCAGCCTTGCGGAAAACCAGCCCAAGGAAGAAACCAGCCCTAGAAAAACAAAAGCGTTACCGATCTCCCCTTAAAAGTCAACTTACCCAAAAAGGATGCCCTCTTTCTCCCATGGAAATCCACCGGGCATTTGAGTCACAGAAAGCTGCATCTCCACCATGCCCGACCTTCCAACGGAACCCATTGCGGAAGGTCTGCCGCATCGGAAGCCACAGCTTCCGCCGCCAGCGCGGCTGGGCTGTGCGTGTTCCGCCTGCAGAGGCCGGGATTTTTCGGAGTTTGCGCGAGGCGGCGTGGTCTGTGACGGGGCGCCTTTGTGATTTTCAGGGTTATACCTGGTAGTGGGAGCAAGTCGTTTTGACTTTGTTGGGGAACCGCACTGAATGATTGGTTGGTTGGTCCGTTGCTTGGTTTGGTCGGATCGGTCTGGGTGGCAGGTTGACAGACAGGCAGTTGGACAATGCTAGGGAATGGCCACCCGGGCTCCCCGATCTTCCCTTTGGGCTGCTTTGGGACATCTGTTTGGCCAGTTTTTATCGATCTTTATGTCGGCGGCGACATGTGCATGCTTACAGAGGGAACGGTATCTTGGTGGGCTATCTCATTTGGACCACGAAAGGATAAACCCACCACCCCGAACGAAGGAGCAATCATTTGGGTGTGTCTTTTTTGAGGGTAACTCTTTGGGGTTGGTTTAACAGGGGAACCAAAGAGGGCTTCCTTATTTTGCGACAATCCAATTTTGCATTTTGAGGTTCGCAAAATTTAGACTAGAATCCAAGAGTGTCATTTTTTTGGGAGGGGCTCGGTGGTTCCCTTTCTCCTTTTTGTGTTCACGGAGCGCCACTAAAACTATGAAGTCCAGAAAGCGGATATTGTCCCTTCTAAGGTCACTGATTGCATTTGTGAGAGGTACCCCTACGAAGGTGTCCCCAGCTTCGACGGAAAGTCGCTGGCATTTGGACAACTCACCCCCTTTCGAGAGCCACGCGTGGTGAGGGTCTCATATTAACGTGATTCACCCGTTTTCGGGCCATCATTTTGAGGCGCTCAAGAACATCAATTCTCTTTTCTATGCTCACTTCAGCATTCCCTTTTCTATATGGTCGCTGCTTGCATTTGGTGACTCGGTGACCAATTGAGATCAGTGGCAGTTCGGCAGGACATGTGGCCGGATGGTGGGCCAATTGCTCCACTTTTCCGTGGTGGACATGGAGTTTCTGGAGGCGGCTTGTCCCCGATTTGTGGCTCAGTTTTATGCGAAAGGAGTAGCAACTGTAGACAATGGAGCCAGACCCTTGACATGTCTGAATTGGCTGGGGAAACGCGGTTCGGTACACGCCCGGCAATGCCGTTTTATTCCAGCTATGGGGTCAAAGGTTGTTTTTTGTTTGGGGGCAACTTCCGCTTCGGGCACGGCTCTGTCTGCAGCTTTGGAAGCTTGAGGGCCTTTGAAACCAACTCTGTTGGGCACTAGTCTGAGTTGCCCCACATGAGTGTGTGAGATCTGTCAGATCAGGAATTCACACTCTAGATGGCTCTCTTTATGCTGGTTTCCCTGTAAGTAGTTCAAACGGCAGGGCCCTGTTTTGTTTCGGACACGCATCCATGTTGTTTGGGGCTGGAGGATGCCTACAAGAAGGATCGAAGTCATGTTTTAGCCTGGACAAACGTTGAACATGCTCCCCACGAACCAGCCAGGCGCTGCGCAATTTTTCGTGCGAGTCAAACCTTGAACACCCCCCCACCCCAAGGAGTTCTGCACTGCTCAGATAGGCTGACTGTACATGTCCATGTGGGCATGTGTAGGGGACAAATTGTGGCTTTCATGTTGTGTCTTCATTTTTGAGCACGGTGAAAAGGGTAATTACCCTCAACAAAAACAACTATGAATGAACTCGTGGCCGTAGCTCTCTTGTGCCCCAAAGTGGCGAATGTCCCGACTTCTAAGCGATACATAACGTTTGGTGATCCCACCAACCAGGAGGGCCATACTGTGGATGGACAAAATCCACTTCGCACAAGTGGGGATGCTATAAATACTGGAATTCAAACAACTACCAAGTGCGTACATTCAGTCTTGGATTTGTAGTCCACGACAACAGACCTGGCCTTACACAATATACATGCCTAACATGTCCCTGAAGTCCGATTGTGATATTGTCAGACGTTTGGCAGTTGCTTGATTCCTCGTTTGAGATCAATTCTCCTCCGCAAATGGTGCTTCTTTCGTATCAGGGCTGCACTTCTGTGGATGGTGTTATGGTTCCCAAGGTGTTTCTTTTGGGAAGATTCCCTCATTGATGAGCAAAGAAAGTCAACTCCTTGATCGGCATCAGACAGAGTTTTGTAGCATCCCCTACCTTTGACTGAGGCCATGTAATGATGAACCTCTAGAATCTCAACTCCTTACTGAAAACGTACTCTCCCAAACTGGTGTTGCGGATTGGCAGGTTCAGATGGATGCTTCCACTAAGCCGACATATTGAAGCATGGCACTCCCCTCATGGCCCCGGAATTTTCAATTGCTGCAAGACATGGAGAAGCTTCATCCAGCAGGGCTCCTTTGGCCAAACGGGGAACTGGCCACGACGCCCCCTTCTCTCCAGCTCAGGAGGGACAGTGGCAACCAACAAGACTGCCTCATGCACCAAAAACCCTTTCCAGAGATATGCCTTTCTGTAGGGAGTGGGAAGGGAGAACTTCCTTTTCTGAGCCCAACATTCTTTTGCAACATGGGGACGCCAACATCCCCTCATTTCTTGCTTTTTGCTCCAGGTTGCACCAGAAAAGTATTTGCGAGAGGATCAGTACCCCCACATAAAGCTTTTGTTCAAGGAGCAGTACCCCCATTGAAACTGACCCTTTCCCAGTGTGCTTTCAAAGTGCTCTCTGAGTTTGTTTTAACGAGTCCTTTTATTTTACGACAAAAACAACATCTACAGGGTTTCGTCTATGACAACAAAGTCCAGGTTTACTCCTTCATCTTAATCTGAACCAATCAACCACCACTTTGAGAGGACCCACCTTTGGGGGGGGACCCCCTGTTTTGAGGTTCCATGTCAATCTGCAGGGTGGGAAACACGCTGCACCCGGGTCCAACGGGGCTGCTTGGCACCTACGACCCGTTTGCTACAGGAGGCAGTGCAGTCCGTGAAGACTTTGATGTCGGGTGCCCGAGGTGGGTTTCTCGCTAAAAGTGAAGAATCTTTTTTCCCTCCTCTATAGAAGGTTACCCCTATCCTTTCTCCTTTCTCCGAAAGGAGGGAGTTTCTCGTTTCCCCTCGGAAAGCAGCAACAAAGCTTTGCAACCGGGTTTGCACCTCAGGCGAAGCTTTTCGCGGTAAAATGCCACAACATGCCCAGCCAAGCGGCATCTTCGGACTCATTGGAGAGGTCACCTCCATTGGAAAGGTTTACCTCAAAAACGCCGCCCTGAAAAGCAATGCCTAAGGTGTGGCAATCAGAAAGACGAGTTGATAGTCATTGATAGTTGTGGATCCAATACCTGTGAAGTGTCACAAACGACACGCAACACATGGTTCATGGACAGCAATCCACATATATGTTTGTTTGATGTCCACCAACGGGCCAACCACTTATATCAGGCTCACACCCATGACAGAATCCATGAGGGAACCCATAGGAAAACCATGGGGGGACCTTATAGTGGAATGGAATCTATCAAAGCGGCGGGAAGGGGGGCATCCCAAAATGGGTTTGTGCGGTTCGGAACAGGCAGGGCTTCTTCGGGCGATTTGACAACAGCACTGTGGCTATAACCTCCTGGAATCCCAGTTGCGTGTTTGGCAGTATCGCTCACCATGGATCATGGTTGCTCGTTTAGACCTTCTCTTGGTTTCTCTTGGTTTGAAAAAGCCCTGAAAATTGGGGCAAGTGCCTGTAGCTCGCCAGTTTTCAGTGAACAGTTCAAAGCTTCTGGAAAGGGGGTCAATGACCAGTCCAGCCATTGTAATTAATACATGTACGACCCCCCTTCAAAAGTGGAATGGTAGATTTGAAAGGACCACCCTAGCGCAAGAAACATGCTTGGAAATGGAGGTGGCTCAAAGTTTAAGAGCCAGGGCACCGCTGGTTTTGGTCTATTTTGCATTTGCCAGGGTTCTATTTGGGCACCTATTTTGAGCCACACCCAAAACGCAAGATCCAGCATGCTTCGAAAGCCACTTTGAATTGGAGGAGAAGGGTCATCCAGGGCCGAGAAAACACTGCGACCGACACACTCACTTTACAACCACGCTCATGAATGTTCCTTTCATAGTGATCCCTCCATGTTCAGTCGGTAAACTAACCAATTCCACCCAACAATTCCAGGTTCAGTTGGTCAACTTACCAAATTCACCTAGAAATATTGGCCCCCGTGCGGCTGGCTTGAGGTTCGCTCGGCTGCCCATCACCTCCATCCGAGTCACCCTTTGGCGACTCGCCGGGCTGGTTGCGGTTCGAAGACAGGGGGTTGATGTAAAGGACCGGTAAACATGTGGGTCGGGGCAACCACAGAAAAAGAGAAGGGACCTTCACCTCATGGGAAAAGTTACCCATGGTGTTTCTTGGGGCGGTGCTGGTCTCCCACTGTTTGTTTGGCTCAAAAACATGTCATCAACTGTTTGGGTCGGAAACTCCAGGCAAGAGATCAATTTAAGCTTCTAATTGCAAGGCCGAACATGTCAACTGTTTGGTTCAGGTGCCTGTCCCAGTATCCCCCCAACAACTACTTTTTCCCATGTCCAACATCCCAAGCACTGTCCAAAAAGCAGTGGTTGGGGTGTGTCAGTCTTCAACGGCTTGTTTGGCTCAAAAGCATTTGTTGGTCGGAAATAAATCTAGCGGAGAACTATGAAACCAATCATGGGCAGAGAGGCGCTTGCACCGTTGCCAAGGCTTAAGTAGCTGGGCGGGAATGATTATGATCAAAGAAGCTCGTTGCTTTTTTGTTTTTGCATTTAGACAATCAACAGCTTGGTATGTGAATGGTTTTGGGCCCTTGTTAGCAACAGGTTTTACAACTCAATTGACTTGCATTCTTTTTCAAGGGAGCCACAAAATGCTTGTTGGACATGCTAAAAACTTGGTTCAAGGATCCCCTTTTCGGATGGCACGGCGAAGCCGAAACGGCACCAGTCCATGTCGAAAAGGCACCATTTGGATCCACGTGCCTTCACCTCAGCCTTCCAAACGGGCCCAGAATGCGTCTTTCACCACAAGAGCCCTCAAAAGACCCATTCATACATCGACCTATCGTGTTGCCGAAAGGAAGGCATGATGGATCAAGTTTCAATTTTTCCTGACTCCCTACTCCCCAGCGGCTTTGTATGGAATCTCCACGGAATATGTATTTGGAGGCACGTAATTGGCTTTTGCAAGAAGGGCAACCCCCTTTCCTTCGGTTCTTCGTTAATCCGGGAGTATTTCACATCCGCCTTTTCATCTTTCGGACGTTGTCTTCTTCTTCTTTTTTAAGGGAAACTAGAAGGAAACAACTAGGGGGGGGATCACGGGTGCGGCTTCCCCGATTTTGAGAGAAGGTGTTGGCTCGTCGCTGATTGGTCGTAGGTGCTGCGAGCAAACGGAGGACGGCAAGCCGCGGGTGAACCTCGAGCTGGAGGCGGGCGTGTTTGGGACCGAAGCTTTAGATAAAGCGAGACAACAGCCAATAGGTTACTGCACAATGTATATAGCAACATGAAATACTAAATGTACGTATGTATGTATATAGCAATATTGCTCTGTTGGACCATGGTTCTGGTCGACGCGTGTTTTGGACCATGTGCTGGGTGGTTGTTCGGGTCGAACACCAAGGCGAAGTGCGCGCCTTCGAGGTCGCTGCAAGTTTTGCTCTGCCAACTCGCAGCTTCTTCTCAAGGAGACGTCGCGGAAGCTTCCTTGCTTTATAAACGGCCTGTTTTAGGACACCCAGCAAATCAGCCAATGGGTCTGCAAACGCAGGGCCAACCTTTTTTGGGGGTCCCCCGCATTTTGACGCATACTCTTTTGCGAAGCGCCTGCCAAGAAGGCTGCGATCAGCTCGTGGGGTTTGTAGCCAGCATGCCTTCGGCCTGGGCCAAGTATGGAGACAAAATCCGGCACCTCCTTTTGGCGTGGTTTGAAGGGACACCAAAAAGACACGAACCACCTGGATGAGTCCCTAATTTTGAGAAACACCCACCAAGAGGCACAAAAGTAAAGGATTCTTTCTGAACTGTAATTCACCCAGATCTGTACAGGATTGTATGCGGGATGCGTTGATGAAGGCAGACTTTAACCCTTGGCTGATTTTCCAAAGGGTCAAGAGCCCATAGGTCTAAGTCTACCTTTGGGTATTTTAAACACGGCCGGATCCTCTTCAGGTGAAAAACGGGACCAGAAACCCTGTCCTCTGTTTCCCTTCTTTGAAACCTCCAACAGTGGCGATCGTTTCAATGGAAACCACCAGCAAACTGATCAAGTTTTGAAGGGAACATCCAGTGGCCTCTGTTCATACCGAAGGGGTCTGATTGTACGAATCATTCATGAAGCGGTGGCCTGCAAAGGGGCCCTTTGGTGACCGTTTTCTCCCAGTTGAGCCACAATGAGTTGTGGATTCACCCGTCAACTTGGTGCTAAACAGCCCAATCAATGTTCCCAAGGAAACCCAAAGGGGACTCACTCCCTGAATGCCTGGACTTAAACAAACTGTTTGGGAAGACCCTTTGAGTGGTCGATGAAAAGTTCAGACTTTTGCTTGCCGCCCCACTCGATCGGAAGTACGTGAGTCAGTTTTTCCAGACCCCCAATGAAACACACAGACTGCTTCGACCAGGCGGCCCTCCAAAAGCAGTTCTTCAAGTGGTTCCAGCCAGGAGCTCAGCAAAGCGAACCTGGGGTCTGCCTTTCGACCTCTGAAGCTCCACGGGGTTGGTGACAGCTCTCCTCTCGTCCTGACTTTGTCATTAACTTGCAGCCTAAAGAAACCTGCAGATTTGCTCCAAGGGAGTCTAAGAAGGGTGGAATTGCTGCAACTGGTCTTCCTCAGAAGCCAGCGTATGGTTGGGGATGGTCCCAAGCCCAAACCTCACACATTGGCGCCATGACAATCCTGGGATTTTGCGTTGCTATATGGCTTGCAGGGGTTGGAAAGCACCTCAAATGGCACTAATTTGTCCATCCAGAAGACATGGACCAAAGAGAGGTCTCTGTGAGATGCAAAGCGGATGCTGATAGAATGTATCTCCTGGATCACCTGGATTTGGCTCTCCACGGGAAATGGGGTCCCAAAGGGAAACGGACCGGCTTTGTAGTTTTGGTGAAGGGAAGTCACATAGAACGACAACCATTTTGACGGGTCTACGTTGTTTGGTTGCTTTTTGTTCAACCTCTAGTCTTGTAAGTTTTTGGAAAACAACTTCCTCCAGCAATAACATGCCCACTTGTTCCCAGGAGGTCGTTGATGGACCCAGTAAATAATGCACCATTCTCAAAGCCCCCGCAGAGGAACCTACAAGTGACTGGAGCATTGCTCATTTTTCCAGATCTCGATTTTCATATCTTGTATGGCTTTGGTGGGTTGTTAAGAACAAGTCAAGGTTGTGTCATCTCAACTCAGCTCGAGGTCACCCCTCGAAGGATCCCTTACAGACGGTGTTTTCCTTGGCCCAAAGAGGTCTTGCCACGGCCCGAAGCCGGGCATTTTGACTCTCGAAAGGAGCCAATTTGGGTGTCATTTTTTGAGAGTACCCCTTGGTTTGTGGTTTTAAAGCGAAACCAACAGGAAGACCATATTTTTGGGGTTCTCTAAAAAACGAGACACACACACACACATATGTAGACTAGAACCCATTCGACGGGTCACCCATTTTTTCCGGGCATCTCTGGCGCGCCCAGTCCGTTGGCTCTCAGGTTTGCGAACCAGCGGGGGCAGCGGGGGAAGGCACCGGGCGAAGCGCCAAAGATTCGGTTGGGTTGGTTTGATTCTGTTTGATTGTTCGATTGTTTGATTGCGTTATTGTTTGCTAGGTTGTCTGATTTGTTGGGCTGGTTGGTCAGTTGATGAATTCGGTATTGAGGTGGCGGTTGTCTTGCTTCTTTGCTTGCTTGCGCTTGTTTGCTCGTTTGTGCTTGTGTGCGCGCGTGTGTGTGGGTGTGTGTTGTGTTGTGTTGTGTTTGCTTGTTTGCCTGTTTGCTTGTTTGTTTGCTTGTTTGATTCGTTGCCCTTTGCCTTGTTTGCTTGTGTGTGGTGCTTGTTTTTCTTGGTTTGTTCCTTTTTTCCGTCTGTCTGTCTGCCTGCCTGGCTGTCTGTCCGCCTGCCTGCCTGCCTGCCTGTCTCTCTGTCTCTCTGTCTCTCTGTCTCTCTGTCTCTCTGTCTCTCTGTCTCTCTGTCTCTCTGTCTCTCTGTCTCTCTGTCTCTCTGTCTCTCTGTCTCTCTGTCTCTCTGTCTCTCTGTCTCTCTGTCTCTCTGTCTCTCTGTCTGTGTTTCTGCTTGTGAGTTTGTTTTGTTTGGTGCTTGTGCGCCATTGCGGACGGCTCGCGCGGGCGCCGCGCGCGCCTGCCTCGGCGACGACAACCATGACAAGGCGACGCTCGACGGCTCGCTTGATTGCTTGCTTGCGTGCCTGCGTGCGTACGTGCTTGCTTGCATGCTTGATGCCTGGATGTTTTGTGTTTGCATTGTTTGATTGGTTAGTCTTGTTGGTTTCGTTTGCTTTCCGTGTTAGTTAGTTGGTTAGTTGATTAGTGAGTTTGCTTGCTTTGCTTGCGTTTGATTGTTTGTTTGCTTGTTTGTTTGTTTGTTTGTCTGCATGTCTGTGTGTTTTATGCGTGTATGTGTGTTGAGTGTGTTTGTTTGATTGATCTGAGTTGATTCATACTTGGATTGTTTGATGTTTTGCTTGCTTGGTCTCTCGAATGATTGTTTGGTTGGCTGGCAAGGTGGTTGGTTGTTCGGTTGGTCGGCTGGTTGATCGTTTGGACTTGATTTGATTTGATTGTTTGAATTGTAGAATTTGTTTGATTGATTTGCTCATTTTTTTTGATTTGTTGGCTTGATTGATTGTTTGACTTGTTTTGATTTGAGTTGAGTTGATTTGACTTGATTCATTGACTTGATGTTCTGTGCATTGATTTGTTGGTTTGATTTGATCATACTTGATTTCATTGATTGATTTGCTTTGATTGATGTATTTTTCTTGTTTTGTTTTGTTTTGTTTGGCTGGCTGGCTGGCTGGCTGGTTGGTTGGTTGGTTGGTTGGTTGGTTGGTTGGTTCGTTGGTTGGTTGGTTGGTTGGTTGGTTGGTTGTGCGAAAGTACACCATGCATTCCCACTTGGATGTAATTCATACTGATTACCATTGCATGGCTCAAGATGACAAAGGTGCATTTGCTGCCTTGGTTGATTAGCAGAGATTAGTCTCTGATTTTCCCATGGTAGCGGAGCTCGAAGATTCAGGAGACCTTAGGGAAACCTGATTCTGAGAGCTGCCATGGCACTCGGACAAGATGAGGATTTTGCAGGAAAGCTAAGACTTCCCATGCAGGGAAATTCACTGGCAAGCCAGAGGACTGGGAAGATTGGAGCTGGGATTTCAGGACATATTTGAGCATGTTCCTGCCAGATTCAACAACGATTATGGACCGCATTGAGGCCAACGCAGACACACCCATTGAGGACGCGCATTTGAATGTAGCGGGTAACCAGGATGCCACAGACAGAAGGATTCAGAATTCCCGAAGGCTGCATTATTTGTTAGCAAATTTGTGCAGTGATTCAGCAAGGCTGGTAGTCAGGCAGAACATTGGCTGCAATGGTTATGAAACCTGGAGGAGATTGTATTCCAAATTTGCATTGCCGGACGCAACACGGCACATGAGTTTACTTAGCCAGATTTTGGAATTCAAGTTTCACTCCAATACATTTGAACAAGATTTCAACACCTGGGAGACCATTAAGGCCAGATATGAATCTCAAACCGGCCAAGCCATTCCTGATAGCATTCTGGTGGCTACCCTCTTGAACAAGACAACAGGCCCATTGCAACAGCATTTGAGGCTCAATGCTTCGGCATTGTTGACCTATGAACAAACACGAAACGTGATTGTGCAGTACCACCATTCCAGGCACATTCTTAGGAACATGCCGGGGAATGACAACCAAGGACCAGCGCCCATGGACATTGGGGCGCTGAAAGGATTCAAAGGAAAAGGCAAAGGCAAAGGATTCAAAGGATTCAAAGGAGCCAAAGGACCACATTGGTCATACAACAAAGGAGCATTCAGCAAAGGAAAAGGAAAAGGAAAGGATTTCAAAGGCAAAGGCAAAGGAAAGGACCCAAAAGGAAAAGGAAAGGATTCCACAGGAAAAGGAAAAGGGTCGATTGCAACCTGCTGGATTTGCGGCTCTCGCGGCCACATTTCCAGAACATGTCCGCAGAGAGCTGTGAGCGGAGTGATTGAGGAAGATTGGAATGAAGAATGGTCCGAAGAGCCCTGGCCTGATTCGTCGTGGCCTGATGGCTCATGGGACATTGCTGGATTGAGTTGGGATGAAGGAGAAGATTGGTCCTGGGATTCGTCTTGGGGATCATGGGATTCTGTGAACTCTTGGGACCACCCTTGGGATTGGTTTCAGGACAGTCAGATTCCAGAGCCTCCCGCTGGATGCGATTCTGCCGCGTTTTCATCGGCAGGACCACCCCCAGCAGGAGATTCACAGCAAGGAACCATTGGAGCAGTGACACAGGTGCCGCCGGGATTGAGTCCAAACATTGGCTCAACTCCCATTCGGCCAAAGGCCAAGCCAAAGGCCTCATCAGTTTTGATTGCTGCACTTGTCATGAATTCGGTCACCTCAGGATCATCCTTTCAGATTCCTGCCACTCGTGGCAGTCCGTCTGAGGGTGAAGGTGAAAGTTGGATGACAGTTGGAGAGCATGAAAGATTGTTTAAGTCGATGTATTGCTTGGACACTGGATTGGATAGCATGCCATGTTTGAGTGCCGGATTGATTGCCCCTGTTCCCAGACAAGACTTGTTAGATTGGTATGATGAACCAACCCCAGTGAAGGATTCTTTTCATTTCGTGACCACCTTGAAGGACTGCGGCTTGGATCACTTGAATTCAAAGTTTGTTGACACATTCTTGCATGAACAGTTGATTTCAGCAGTCGAGGATTCCACCCCGTGGATTCTATTTGATTCAGGAGCATCTGCCCATTGCTGTCCGCCAGACTTTGGTGAACAATGGCCATTGCTTCCATTAAATGGAAATGGCCCACCATTGAAGAGTGTCACAGGACAGCCATTGAACATGTATGGGAGAAGATTGGTTGGCTTGAACTTGGATGGACAAGATTGCTTCATGAATTTTTATGTTTGTGACGTGCCTTATCCGATTGTGTCGGTTGCACGATTGCTGCTGCAGGGATTTCGCGTAGCATTGGATGGACCAGACTCATTGGGATTGTTTATGCCCAATGGTAAGGTAGTGAGTATTCACCGAAAAGGCTCACTGCTTTTCCTAGGTCCGAACATTCTTCCATTTGACAAACCCCGATTTGAAGAAGTGTGTCAAGAGTTTCATTCCAAGTTTGGTTCAGATTCTTCAGGAACCATAGCACCCACATTTAAGCCCACCATTTACCACAACGACAGTTGGGAACTTGATCCGCAACGCGCTGTGCTGATTCGACATCACAAGCGCGCAAGGCGTGCGTTATTCACGCCAGGTGGCACCAAGGACAGGCCCATTCCTGTGGAAGATGTGGCGTCCAGACGCACAACTTACGTCCGATTCGAAGATGGACGTGAGGAGACCATCGCCGACAATTGGCGGACGATAGATTCTCCGCAACGGGCGTTGGATCAGTACTGGATGGGAAGGACAGAATTCCCGTTGCAATCCTTGCCGACGGCAAGACGATTGACGGGGAAGCAATCCACAATTGCAAGACCTCCCATTCAGGAAGCGTCAGTGCCAGCAAAGAAACCTCAATTGAAAGCGCAACCGTTTTTTTTTTAGGTCTTTTTTGTACTTTGTATTGATTTTTTTTTTTTATTTTTTGCTGTTTTGTGGTTTTTTTTGATGGTTTTTTTTTTTTTTTTTTTTCTTTTTATTTTTTTATTCTTGTTTATTTATTTTTGTTTTATTTTTTTTTTTGTTTTTGAATTTTTTTGATTTTTTGTTTCTTTTAGTTTTGTGTTTTTTGTTAGGTGGTTTTGTTGTTTTTTTTATCTGTGATTTTTTTTCATTTTTTTTTTTCTTGTTCTTTTTTGCTCTATTTTTCGATGCTGACATTGGCCAGGATGATTATTCCCGGTCAGTGAAGGAGCTGACGACGGGAGAATTGGAAGAAGCGAAGGAAATTGTGGAACGGCGATTGTGCATGAGTGACCCGGAGACAGGAGGACCATTCGGACATGATGAATGGTACCTCACACCCAAGTTTGACATTAGGATACACCATGAGTGGAGGAATTGTCTGTATGTGCCAGATGAGACCGATTCGGCCGCTCCCTCCAAGGAATTGCTGGGGAACGAGAGGCACACATTGGCTGTGTTCCTCAACGGGAGACTCCAGTGGATTCACGACCACTGGGCTGACCCAGAGGCTGCTGTTACGGAATTTCCTGAGCCATTCAAAGGCGCGACGATTTTTCGTCGGCAGTCTCAGCAATTCTTGGAAGAGAGCAACCCGGACATTCCGGAAATGTCGGCTCAACGGCCAAAGGGATTGTACGTTCCCAAACAGCCGACGGACGATGAGATTCGTGAACATGAGTTGACTCATCTGCCATTCAGATCATGGTGTGAGATTTGCGTCAGGTCGAAGAGCAAGCAAAACCAGAGTCGTGCCATTTCGGTGCGGCAACCTGTGATTCAGGTGGATTACGCCTTTATGGGTGATTCACAAAGTGACACACAGGTGACATTGCTCA